TTAAATCATATATTATGATTATTAATAATTTGGAAAAATAAAACCATTTTTAATAAAATGTAAAATATTAGTTGATACTTGATAATAAAATTTGTGACAATAATTGCTCAGGGGATAATACAATATTATATATTTAATGGAAGCTCATTCAACTCAATAAAAAAATTAATCAGGGTTTCTTTGGTCCACATAAATCTAGCACCCCCATAAATTTAGCCCAAATTGCGCCTATGAATATTACGCTTACGGAAATGTTTTCATATATTTAAAGAACTGCGAAATATCTTTGATTTACCGTGTTTAAAAATGATATACTTTGCGTTGGTTCAATCGATATTATTAAATGGTATAATAGTATGGGGTTCAGCATATCAAAATGTATTAGAACCATTAAATATAACCCATAGAATATTTGTTAGAATAATGATGAAAATTTATTTTATCGATCAATATGGTAACACTGCTGAACTTTTTAAAAAACTGAAAATATTAACGTTAAAAGAATTATATAATAAAGCTTCAATAATTAAAACTTTCATTAATAAAAAAGACTTCAAAACATATAATATTTACAACACTAGGTTTGTAGAAAATGGTAATTTACTTGTTAATAAACCTAATACAACACTAATGCAGAATTATTATATAACTAGAGGCATAGGATTATTTAACCAGCTTCCGTTGGACATTAAATTTATAGATAATACGAGTACATCTTACTTTAAACGAAAACTCCGTGCTCATTTTATACAATATTTTAATTAATGTCTTCATTATTATTTACATTCTTATCCTTTATTACGTATGTTATTATTGTATTGTTTATCATTATTATATTATACGATGTTATAAGACTAATTATATTATTACTGTTAAAAGCATGATAAACTATCTTAATTAGCTATTTTTTATTATATTCACTGATATAGAAATATTAGTTATTAATTATTATATAATTGTTAATTGAACAAAAACTATGTTTTATTTTAGTTACTTAAGCTCCCTACTCTCAACACAAGCTTTTGCTTATAGAGAGTAGGTATCAACAAAAAAAAAAAATTTATGTAAATGCTTTGTGTATATATATATATATATTGTATATTTTAATTTCTTTAAATAAATAAAAAATAAATAAATAAATATTTGAATCTTAGACCAAAAGTATGCGTAGAATATAATATATCATATATAACTATATATTAATAATCAACCAAGAATATTTCGATTTTACACCAAAAGTATACATAAAATATATGAACTATATATTAGTAATCAACCAAGAATATTTGAATCTTACACGGTTACTAGACATTATATAAATATAGAATTATGACTTATGAATAAAAATATTCTTATTGGTCAACTACGAATGTTTGTTTATTCTTCGTCAAATACACGAAACTCTAAACAAGTAAATTCAACTTTAAATATTCGTCTGATTGCGCACGTTTAACCCAACTTTAAACATAAAATAACTCTATGATACACTACTTATTATACTGCCGTATATTATATACTTATTACTTAGTTTTGTTTATAGGCACTCGTGTATTATATACGTTAGATTGAGTTTAGGAAAAAAAGCAAGTGAATAAAAAGCAAAGGAAAAAAAAGCGAGTGAAAAAAAAGCATATTAGAAAAAAAAGCGAAAACAAATTATTATTATTATATATAATATAGGTATAAATTATTACAAATAGTTTGTTAAAAAAAAATCAAATAAAAATAATTCATTAATTAAATATATTATGTATATTATAATATTATAATAAGTCATAAGTGTAGGTATTACATGTTAAGTGCATCAACATGATAGTGCTATCTAAATCTATCTCTAACCTAATTTTTTTAATCAGTGTCCAAATAGAGGGATGATTATTATAGCTAACGAGTTTAGAAAATCGATGATTAAATCCTTCTGTTTGATTATTAGTACGCTCTGCATTTTTAATAGTTGTTTCGTGTACATTCTACGTAGCAGGTGGGAAAATTGGGGGAATATTTCGAAATTTAGTTTTTTTACCTGGCCGTGAAATTCCAATTGGTCTATTTATTTCCGAAATATAAGTTTGATCAAAATAATTCACTAGTATGCTATAGCATAGGTTATAATCCTAAAATTAATACTTTAGTAGTAATTTTTGTTATTATGTAAAATTTATACCTATAATAATAATAATTGGTTTTCGCTTTTTTTTCAAATTGCTTTTTTTCCTTTTTTCACTTGCTTTTTTTCACTTGCTTTTTTTCCTTTGCTTTTTATTCACTTGTTTTTTTTTCCTAACCCCGTTAGATTTACGAATATTAATTGTTCACAGTGTACACGATACATAACAATTTTCAATTGAGGCCTGAGGGGGCTTACACTGGACCTTTCTGAACTAAAATTCATAGGCAGGGGTAAGTAGACCTATCAATTTGCCTACCCTAAATTTTTTTGACAAAATAGCCCAACAATATTTTTTCAGTTCTCTAGGAACTTTTTCATTTTTCCATGAAATTTCCCAATTTTTCCGGAAAAAAACGTTTTTTTTTATCAAAGCCTTTTTTTCTGGACATTTTGATTCCGATGTATAAACATAATTTTCAAATTTCTAAAAACCAATTTGAAATTATTCGCAATTGATTTCCTTAATATTGACCTTGCAGGTTTGGATCGATCGGCCAAAAGTGAGGAGGCTGAGCAAATTTGAAAAACATTCGCCAAAATTACAATTTTGATTTGCAAATTCTGAAAATTAATTTGCAATTATTTGTAAGTGATTTGCTGAATATTGGCGCTGGTTTGAAGTAAATCGTTCACCTCCGCTGCCGATCATAGGTCGGCGTTGGTAGTATAGGACTTTTCAGGCCACCGCCGATTCGTGATCGTTACTAAAGGATATTAAAAATACACACCTATAATAATTCGGCCATAGAGGCACTGCTTTAATATTGATCGGACCATTCAGAACATAATATTTAACAAAAAATGATTTTCAGTCGGTTTTTGTTTCCCGTGTTTTTTCGCATAATTTTATAGTCACGCGTATGTTATCCATATAGACACGCGGCGTGTGGCACTAGATTATAAATATAGGTGCGGAGGTGAACGTGTTAAAATGGTGCATGTTACATAACACTAATTAGTTTTCGTATATAATATACTTACCTGTATAAAAGAAGTCAAAGTTTATCTTTAGGAGCATTTTAGTCATTACTGAAATAATTAATTTCACCTATAATCCCTTTATATTTCGTATCCGTATTCCGTATTGATGATAACTTAAGCACTCGACCATAAAATATAATACATGTACTTTCGTAAATACCTATACCCAGAGGTTTATCCATTGAATTTATTTTATCAATAATTTTATAATAAGAAAACACTGTTAATTATTGGCTAGTATTAATCTTTAAAGTAATTTAATTAAAGAGATCAACTGCATAAAATCGCCAATCGCAGACAGAGTTTGATAATAAATTATTATAGTTTCTATACTCTTAACAGTTTGTTGTTTTTAGGTATTTTAACTTTTTTTAACACACCAATTACAAACATAAATATTTAAAATATAAGGTGAGTACATTTTTGACTTAGTAAATTTAAATTTAAAATTATATTATTTTGTTTTAGATTTGTCATATTATATGTACTGATAATATTAAAATATACAATACTTTATAAGTAAGCAGAAGTTTATCTTATCATCATTGTCTATAATATATATAATTTGATTTTTAAATAATATTTACAGTTCATTTATATTTTATGCAATGCAACTATTTTTGTAAATTCTTATTATTTACCTATGTGAAGTCATACTCTGAGATATTTTATGCCTTAAAAAATAGGTATAACTATGTTTGTATCATAAAATAAAAAATATTTAAAAATAAATTCCGTTTTTATTTATCTAAAATGATTTATGAGGTATTTAAGTTAACATTTTCTGATTGAATAAATAATTTTATTTTTTAGAAATTGTTTATGCTTTTTTTTAAATGTATGTGTATGTATAACATAATTTTTTGATTTTTTGAAATATATTTTACTTATGTAAAAAGTAAAAGTAAGCCACTCTCGCTCAGAATCGTACAGCTACCCACTTTTAACCTACTGTACAGCAGAGAAGCGTCTACTTACCCGCCATTTAAATTTTTTCATAGTTTTTTGGGTTTTTAATTTTTTAAACAACAACTCGAATGAAATTTTTAAAAATGTGTATAGGTATAATATACTTCGACTGAATATGGCCTGTTATATTATAAGAGTTATCTCCAGTGGCCAAATATAAAACTTGGCAATCAATTTTAAATACACTTTACAAAACATTAAATAAGTAAAACTACAAAATGTGTTATGTATTATGCATTTATGCCTATTCCGTGGTGATAAGTATGGTTTGGACTGGCAGTGAATAAGTACGTGTTTTGGGAGGACTAAGCCACCACCCCTTGCCACCCAAAGTTTCAATTACGAATAAAGATTAATATATAATTAAATTCTCTTTTATGATAAAGAATACATTTAATGGCAATACATTTAATAAATTACGGATAAAACAACGAAATTAGTAATTACCACAATTCATGAACGATATATTAATTGGATACAAATAATAATATGTTCTTTGTCATTGAGATAAAGTATTTTTAACGAGTGTTTAAAATAAAATTAACAGTTTATTTTGTTTTTTTCAGTTTCCGGCTTTCGTAGTACCTACATCCAAATGTTAACCTACGTAGACTTCCACTTAATCTACACACTTCCAGTTATCGGCTTATTATTATTAATCACCCGACCATTCATCAACCGCTCGGAAATTTTTAAAATTGCATTTATATGTGTCATAGCTTTTGTATACACAACACCATGGGACAACTATGTCATCTACAAAGGCGTATGGACGTATCCGCCAGAAAGAGTCTTGGCTGTTATTGGATTGGTACCTATTGAAGAATACATGTTTTTTATTATACAAAGTGTTTTGACATCCCTGTGGACTTTGCTCTGTGTCCGATGGTCAACTCCTTGCTTAAATTTCAACTATGACAAACGCAGCTACCAATTGATTCGATGGGTACCGATCACGTTTTTGACCATGGTTACGATCGTAGGTTATAAAATAGCTATTCCCGGACAAGCGACGTTTTACTTGGGATGCATACTGTGTTGGGTATCTCCGGTGATTATATTCCTGTGGTGTGGTGCTGGAAATTTTTTTGTGAAAAAAATAATACCGTCAACTATTGCGATAGTGGTCCCTACGCTGTACTTGTGTTGGATTGATCAAGTGGCCCTCAAGGAAAACGTTTGGATTATTAACGAAAATACTAGTTTAAATATATTCGCTATCGAAGACTTGGCAATAGAAGAAGCATTTTTTTTCTTCGTAATAAACGTTATCATTGTCTTGGCTGGGACTTGCTTCGATAAAGCTCACGGTGTAATTGAAACTTATTCGTTGGAGTACCCACAACGATTCAGCATGAGTTGGAAGTTTATTTGTCAACTGTTTTGGGCATTTGCTAAATCAGAATATAATATGCCACAAAACATCACGGTAGATATAAAAGGAAGTATTGGAATTCTTACAGTCGCTTCAAAATCATTCACCACTGCCAGTTTTCTTTTTCAATCCGGTAAGAAATTTAGGCACCAATGAAACCAAACTTTTGTAGGACGAGGGGCTAAATAGCTCTAAATCCTTTTGTGAAAATAGGAGCGTAATAGTCACTTGTTCCCACATCACTCTGTACCGTGAAATGCAATATATACAGTATATAACAGTGTTATACATAATATACAGTGAACCATCTAAATAAAAATGAATAATAATACAAAATGTAAAAATCACCCTAGGAAAAAATTATTTTAATTGTATAAATGTTTAAATTATATTTTGAAGATTTTTGAGTGAAAAAAATTATACTTAACTTATGATACCCTAAAGTAACTAAAGTAAGTTAATCTAATCACAATATCATTTTCAAATTTTCGCTTTTTAACCAATTTTTTCTAATTCTAACTTCAAATAATTAAAAAAAATTAACGTAGATTTACGATATAAAATTGTTGAACCGAGGGAAAACTATCTACTGTAATAAATTGATAGAAATTAATAAAAAAATGGTTTTAGTTATTTTGCGTAATTCGAAAATCTTACTCGTGGAGATTCGGAACTTTTAAGTGTAAAATTAAAATTTTTATACACAATGGCACTTCCATAAGCAATATTTTAATGAAATATTAATTTAACCTACCTTATTATACTAATATGATGGTAAATTATTTTGATAGTAAAATAAATGTACCATAAAAACATATTAATATATTATATTTAGTAATTTAGTAATATAGGCTAGCTAACAGCCCGTATTCGCTCAGAATCGTTTTTCGTATGTAATACGTATTGACAAGGTAACTCGACTGTATCAATTAGATTAATAACTGTCAGATAAATAGAAAATGTATCAAAATTACAAATTGAAAACATTAATTTTCTTCTATAAAAAGTGTCTGACCAAAAACAATTTTTTTTTAAAAAGGCAAATAAAAAATACGTCATAATTGTAAATAATAATAATAATAATTGCGATAATTATCGCTCCTTTCAGAATCTAAAAAAAATAAAATAAAAGATAATACTGGATTTACAGTAAATAAAGATAAAAGTAAATTGATGAAACTTTTTGTTAGTTTTAAAGTAACTATATATTATTTTTTGAAGTTATGAGTTAACTAAATGGATTGTAAGTTGTATTAAATATTATATTCATTTGATTGAGTTTTAAATTATATAAATAGGTATAAGTATAATGTTGTTTTTAATGGGATATATTTTTAATTTAGGGATTCGATTGGATTTAATAATTTTATACTCATTCTGCCGTGTAACGGATGACATGATTGATGACGAGTTGGATGTTGAAAAGAAAAAACGAAAATTTGAGTTAACCGAACGATTTATCAACGAATTATTTCATGAAAGAAAATCAGATTACGGTGTTCAAACAAAACCACAGGAATTGAACATTGATTGGACAAAATACGAATCTGAATTGACTGACGTGGAAATGGCGTGTTTCCGTGGATTATCTAGAATAGCATTTTATTTGCCTCGTAAGCCTTTCGATGAGTTGCTCGAAGGTTACAAATGGGATATTGAGGGCAGGTTAGTCAGAAATGAAGACGATTTGTTATTATATTCCACCTATGTAGCCGGAAGTGTCGGTGCATTATGTGTTTATGTGATGATGTACAGGTGTGATAACGGCAAGTATGATCTTGTCGAGAACTACAATTATGTCATAGAAAAAGCATATCAAATGGGACAAGTGAGTAAATAGTTTTTGTGATATAGATTGTTTGTTACACAACAATTGTATAAAATATCATCAATTATTTTTTTAGTCTTTACAAATCGTGAACATTGCCCGTGATATCGTCACCGACAGCGAAACATTAGGTCGTTGCTATATACCCACCGAATACATGGACGACGAAGAGGAAGAAGTAAGGATCTTGTGCCATGAAAAGCAACCGAGGTCTTTAGGTGATAAGAAGTTAAAAAAGTATTCCACACGGTTGATCCATCTGGCCAACAAACAACAATTAGAATCGGTGGGCGCCATCAGGTGTTTGCCGCACGTCACAAGAGGTTCGGTTCTAGCAACCACTGATATTTATCGAGGGCTTGTTTCTGCTATCCAGACAAGTCCGACTTATCCGACTAGAGCTTCATTGTCGAAATGGAATAAAATTGCAATAGGACTTTATTCCTTATATATTAAAAGTATTCAATACTTTGTATAGTTTGATTTAAATCTATAAATTATGTTCAATCACAATGCATAACTCATCACTTTGATCAGTTTCGGATTGAGATAATTGATACGCGAATGTTTTTTCCCCCCATAGTTAATCCTCCAGGATCTTCCTCAGTACTGCCTGAAGGATATGTAAAGGTGAATCTTCCAAGTCTGTATATGATACATATATTTGTCCATTATAATTTCTGGTACCTTTATCATTATCAAGACTATTCAAGTTACCTGGTTCTTTTCAATAAAGGTCATATAGGTATACAGTTTTAAATAAATACTAATATTAAAATTGATTGTTATAAGTACTTATATACTTATATACTTGATATGAGATCCAACAATGTAATTAAATTATTTTTGCATTTGTTTCTCTAATAGTCTATAACTAATTTCTAATAATTGTATAAGTTATTAAAATATAATTAATTACCAACAACAATATCAAATATCATTCAATTCAAAATACATTCTATGATTAATAAAAATATAATAAAAAGTACCTAATAAAGTTATAAATATTAACTAATAATGATCAATGAGTATACAAACATGTAAGTGACACTGTACCTCAACACTGAATAATTAGTTATATTTATCTTTTTTGAATAACTTTTCTGTTTATAACACACATAATTTATTTTGTGAATATTTTATATTATTAGGTGTAAACATTGTTACATAAATATTTATTACTTATTATACTTGTTACTTATTAATAATAGTTGTCATTTGATATATCGGATTGTAATTATTTTTTTTTATAAATTTAATTTTCACAATGTAAACACGAATACAATATAATTATTCTGATGATTGCGTTATTTATAGACTTGCTCTATGGACTATGGTATTGCCCGATGGGTGGTAAACTATATCATGACTCCGGAGTCCAGACGAAAACAATATATATACAATTTATAACGTTATGACTTATCACAAAGACTAGCCCGACTAGGCTATATAGACTATAGTAATGTATAAAAGTATAGTTACTTTTTTGTTTTTATACTTACTGGCAACTGTATAATGCATACTAGTTGAACCTATTGATAAACTGTATGTCGATAAATTATATATAAACGTAAATATCTTTTTTTTAAAATATTTATTAGAAATAAACTATCTATACAAGTAATGTACAATAAGCTTATGTGTTAAGAGAAAAATTGAATAAGAAGCTGTGTCGGGGGCGAAAAGGCACGGGGGGGGGACGTTCTAGATTAAATCTGTATATCATGCCCGATCTATTGATACCACAAACAGATCAATCTGCCCATTCATTAGATCGGTAGGCCTAGCTAAAGAAAATAGACAAATTTACACACATTCAATAGGCAAACTCTGGCTCGTGTAATGTACTACGGTCGTGACCGCTCCGCTTTTATTTTTTTACTTACCTTCGTGCCACTACCGTTGGGCTGGATCTGAAAAATAAATATTTTTATTAAAACCCCTTGTAAGATATGAATAGGCAATAAAATATGCAGGAATGCGGTTACCTATCTTATCAGAATTTTGATATGTGATAATCGTTCATGAGCTAACTTCACAGATAGGTATAATAAACAAAAATAATAATATTATTAATTAGTTAATTAAATTCTTTTTTCAAATGAAATAGCAAAGTTTGTCACCGTGAAATTTTGGTTTTTAATATTAAAAACCACGGTTATCTACACCAGATAACTGTGTTAAAAACAATTACAATTAATTATTTTAATTATATTTCGTATGTGTAACTCCATTGAAAACAAAGTAAACATATTTTAATAGATCATGATGGGCACAGAGAATGGAACCATTAACAAACAAAAAGATGTCGATGTTTCTTTACAGGATCAAAAAGACGTTGAAAATTTAAATACGTAATTAATTTGATATTTTAACCTGTATATTTATTTCATATGTATAAACTATTTTTGTTTCCTAAACAAAATTATTTGATCATTTAAAACAAACTTTTTGAAAATACCTACCTTTAATAAGTCATTGTATGCATAAAAAAAATAAATTTTTCATTCATTTAAAATAAATGTTGGATGTGAACTGTTTTCGCAGAATTTAGATAGAAATTGATGGAAACATAGCTATAGCAAGATAATCCTTCACTTGTCTAAAATATAATTGTATAACAAATAATAAATTAATAATAGGTATTTAATTTTACACTAACAGTTCTAGTTCAAAATCTCCAGTTCTGTTGAAAAAAAAGTCAAAAGGTCGATCATTAAGAAAAAGAATAGATGACGACGAACAAGAAGATGATTTGCAAGTATTGTAAGCTTGACTTTTTATTTATTGCAAAAAAATCATTCAAGTAAACAATATCACTAATGTCCTGATGAATTTTTAAATTTTTTAGTGGTAAACTTGAAGAAATGAAAACTATGCAAAAACTCAGAGACAGGCCTAATGGTGTTAATATCATTAGCCTTGCATTAGGGGAGAAACTTTCTCAAGAAGAAGAAAAATTAATGGTAAGTTATGCAATTTCATTAACTTTTCTTTAAATATAAAGATGACTTACTGTGTTTGTATATACATATAGTATTTATTTTGAACATAATGAATTGCCATTACACTTCAATTATCAAAAGTCAGATATTGTAAATTAGTAATTTATTTAATGTTGACCATCTTAAAATGTAAATAATTTATTATAATTATTATTTTTATTATGTAAGCCTAAAAAGTTGATATTTGATTAAAAGTTGTTTAAAATAGAATACTTAAATTACTTAAATTATTACCAATTCATAATTATAATTACTAATTAATTTATCATTCAAATTTTATTTAGGTTGATCCATTTAAAGTAAAAACTGGTGGATTAATAAATATGAATGCTTTAAAAACTGGACAAGTAACTCAAGTAGACGATGCTTATGATACTGGAATAGGAACACAATTTTCAGCTGAAACCAATAAACGAGATGAAGATGAAGAAATGTAAAAATATTATCCAATATTATTTTTGTTCATATAATTAAATACAAGTACAATAAATAAAAATACATTTTTAGGATGAAATATATTGATGAACAAGTGGCGGTACGGACTGGCCGAACAGTAGATACAGATGATGATAATGTCAGTCTCAATAAATCAAATTATTGTCCACCAGAATTGGCAGCATTACAAGCTGTCCCATCACATTTACGAAATTCAACCACTCACAGATCTGAAGAAATGTTATCAAATCAAATGTTAAGTGGTATTCCCGAAGTAGATTTAGGAATTGAGTAAGTTTTCTTTATAAGAATTTAGAGTATCTTAATATTATTATATTTATACTATTGTCTTAATAACTGGGGTCTGATATAAATAGTGTCTCACTAGGTAAGGTAAAAGGATGTCACAACGTATGCCAAACTGTGAAGCAAATGAGAAATATAATTCTAGAATTTTAATAAATCTAAAAAATGATATAACTCTTAGTGGATATATTTGTAATTGCACAATTTTAATCACAATTTAATTATAAAAATATTTATGATAATAAATACAATATACTTTATAATATTCTTTGATGACTAGTGCAAAAATAAAAAATATTGAAGCAACAGAAGAAGCTAAAATGAAATTAATACGTGACAAGCGCAATAAAAAAGATGGTCCATCACAGTTTGTTCCCACAAATATGGCAGTTAATTTTGTGCAACATAATAGATGTAAGTTAAAAATAATATTTGACTTTGAATGTAAGGCTCATTTTTAATTTCCTATATTATTCAATTCTAGTTAATATTGAGATAACAGGACCAGATGGGAAAAAAAATTATAAACAACAACCTGCAGTTAAACAAGATCATTCAGATGAAAAAAATGTAGATAAAAGAAAAAAAAAAGATAATGCAACTGATGATTTCCACTATGAAAGATTCAAAAAACAATTTCGTAGATATTAAGTTGTTTTCTATAATTAGTCTACTATATGTTTTATGTGGTTAATGTTGGTGTACTACATTGTTTATAAAAATTCTTGAGAACTATTAAAATACACATAATTTAAATTGTATAGGTGTAAAATATTAAAGATGATTTTTTTGTACAAAAGATTCATTAATACCCACAATATTATTGGGTTCAGCTATTATGTTAATTAAAAAAAACTTATTGAACTAAATAATGAAATGTTAGACTCAATCACTGTTATAGGTAAGCTCTCCAAACAAATAGAAGAAGACTGAATATTTTATGATGTATGAATAATTAAAATAATGTGATTGAGGCAAATCTAAGAAAAAAAAAATTAATAAATGTAGTAGTACCTATATAATTATGGTAGTGTTTGAGCCACTCCAAGTAAAACACTCCTGAATACAATTGTGCATAATGTTTTGGGCACTCGTCCAAGTTTTTGCTTTAATCATAAATACTATTCTGGAACACTCTTGGTGGATCCTCTGACTGGACGATCGTCCCATATAAGCACTGCCGTATACTGGCACGTTTGATATCAAGTGGTGTAAAAGAGTTAACATCCATATAAAGAATGTCTTGTCTAATTCTTGTTTGTTTTCTCTACTCTTACTGCCTCCTCTAGCCTTATGTTAGGAGGTTCTATACCACATAATTGTACTTTCTGAACTGGGGTTGGTCTTAGGCATCCCGTAATTAATCTGTTAGTTACATTTAGGGCCACATCTACCTTTTGGCATATGCTGAGTTTTTCCATGCAGCACAAGCATATTCACTAGTCGAGTAACATAATGATAAGGCTGTCGTTCTAAAGACATGAGGGTCTGCGCCCCTTTGAGAGCAAACCAGTTTTTGAAGTAAGCAGTTTCTTGTTACTATTTTATTTTTTGTGTTTTCACAATGACTTCTATATGTCAGGGCTCGATCAAGTTTAATACCTAAGTATTTTGGTTCGTCGCAGTGTTCTAATATGTGTGTCTTGTCAATTATTTCTCAGTTTACGGCGTTTCCGCTTAGTGTCTCTGTTTTGTTAGTGGAAAGTGGTAATCTGTGTTGGTAATTTGTATGATTATCAGTATAGTATTCCTTCATAGTATTAAGCGCGACGTTCAGATTCACTTCCACCTTCTCGAATATTTTGCCCTGGGTTGTAATAGCGAGGCCGTCAGCGTTAATAAAGTGCTTCGTTTGGTCCCCAATTGGTTGATCATTAAGTACTTATATATATTAAATAAAATTGGTGCTAAAACGCTTCCTTGAGATAATGCATCATTTTTTCTTTTCTATCTGCTCTTTTTGTTCTGCAGTGAATAGTGATACAAAATCTGTCTATTCCTTAATAAATGATTAATAATTGTTGTAAATTTTGCGTCTTCAGTTAGCTCATAGATTTTCTTGAGCAGTAACCTATGATTGACCGTATCGTATGCATCACTGCATCTGACTTTAATAGACAAGTTTTATCAATTACAACATTAATTGGTTTAGTTTAGATCAATCTGATATTAAGAAACTTAATAAATTTCACTACCTATTCAAAATGACTTGGCTTGAAGTTCTCCTGACGTTTTGACTGCTTTAATATTTCTTACAATTTCGGTGATTTGTGCCTCAGGCCCTCAGCTAACTGCTAAGAGGTAATTTTCAAAACTAAAACTCATTCAAAATTATTTAAGAAACTCTGCAGGTCTCAAAATAGACTTATTGATAATGCTATTCTCAATATAGAAAGAAACGAATTAACAAGGTATTGAAAAAATAATTGACAATTTTGCTAATACCAAAGCTAGAAAAAAAATTTTCGTATTAAAATCATATATTGATATCTATTATGTATTGGTTTTTTTTATAATAGTTTAAATTAAATATAAACGGGAAATAATGACCCCATAGATAAATTTGCACTGGGCCTACCTAGAGAGTCTTAAGAATAAAGATCTGTGGCCCACCTAATTCTAGCTACGGGCTACGGCACTGTGGTCTGTGGTGCACCCATTACTGGATTAGACACTGCATACATTTTCGTAATATTTAAATATCTACCATAATGATTGCAGAAAGGTGTACTTGGTGACGTTGATGTACCCAAATTGCCTAATCAGAACGCCGAGCAACCATCATTTTATTGGAAAAAAAAGATCTAAACATTCTAATGCTATAGCAATTACGCCTAGAGAGTAGAAAGAAATTAAAATCGGAAAGATTCATTACATATCCAGTTCGGCTGAACATTTTTGATGTTATAAGTATTTGTTAAATAAACCAAATGTTCACCGAGTGAAAATTTAGTACAAAGTTGTTCATAAACTAAAGTTATTAGTGCAATATTTAAAAAGGAAAAACAGAGTATAAGTTCACAGTAATTTTTTTTTGGTCCCAGAAGTACAGTTTTTCTTTCGTGCCTTTGGGCAGTAGTCTAGAGCTGAGCATCTTGTACATGGCAAAATATGCTTTATTGGAACTATTTATTCTCAATTGGATCCCATTATGCATATTATTTTGTGTGTATCTGTTGACTCCAAGGTATTTAAATTCATCCACTTGTTCAAAAGAGTAAGGAACCATTTTTAATGCTGTTTTATTTACTAAATGTCGAGTTAATTTTAGGTAGGTACTTGGTTTTTTCCCCATTGATAGTAAGGTTTATTCTGTGACTGGACTTAATTAATTTCTCCATGGCCTTAACTACATCGTTCTCTGTACCTCCTGATATTACAATATCGACAACGTAATAGTACTCTAGAATTACATTTTTTTCGTTAAGCTCCATTTCGTAGCACACTGATGTATTATTTCTAAAAACTTTTTCGAGCGCCAGATTAAACAATAGGTACACACTGTACTAATATACTCAATAATTATATTATCAAAATAAAATAAAAAAATAAATTTTAATTTTAAGTGCATATTTAAGAATTTTAAGAGCATATTTGTATGCATATGTCGTTAGATTTGGGAGTATATTTAATAATTTTTAGTGCATTAAATTCACAGCCTTGCTCATAAGTCATAAGTATTTCATATACCTAGTGTAACCAAAAAATCTAAAAATTATAAAAACACAGTACCAATGTATTTTAAGTTAAAATTTGGACGAAATTAGATATTTAAATGAGGAATAACGTTCTTAGTGGGTAATTTTTTTGTAATTTAAAAATATTATTTGTGGATAGGTACCTACTATTGAAACTTGTAAAGTATATTTTTACATTAAACTCACACATGAGGTTTTAAAAAAATTAATTAAATTAGTCATCTGCTTATTACCATTTATTATAAATTTCTTAATATTATTTTTATAATAAATAATACTACTAATATTTGGTAGTAAAATAAATTACTTTAATATCAAAAGTATTATAAAATATATTTAGTTGTAAATTAGTAAGGTAAGCTGATATTCAGAATCGTTTTTCGTATACTTACTATTAACTAATTACCTACCTACCTATACAATGATTTTATATCGTTAAATTCAAATTTAACACATCCATTACTGGCTACTGCAGTGACCTCCATTGACACGCCTACTGTACAGCAAAGTAGGGTACTCACTTGCCCACCTTTTTAAAATGATATCTGAAGACTAAAAGTATTAATAGAGTACGCTAAGGTCTATGATAGATTAAATATCGTCCCTTTTATAGCTGAAAATCTCGGCGCTCTGGGCTAATGTCTAGTAGGCCTATACAATTATTGAGTCATGTGTCCGCAGTGTAATAATATAATAATATAATAAAATATTTAAATACCTACCTGTCACGAGAGCTACGTGACTGCAAATCGGTCAAGCCCGTCGGCCGTGGGCGTAAAGCCGCCAACTGTATTGTATAGCCATATAGTCAAATAAAATATAGACGTACCTATGTAGGTTATTAGATATATTAGATACCTGTGTCCTGTTTTATATTTATTTTGAATTTTGTACGATACGACATTATAGGCCTAATTTCTTAATACTTTCATACTCTGGGAAATTCAAAAATAATAAATCACGGTGTGTGACTTGTTCATTTTTCAAAAAAATAATTTGCAAAGTGAAAATCAAAATTCCTCGATTGTAGGAGAAACTTCGTTATCAACGTCATACACTGGTCGTTATCACAACTCACAAGATGAAAGTAAGATATATTCAATATTCATCAATCATCGTTTCACTTCTGAATCTGAAACGAAAATAATATATCAATAGGTTCCTATCCTCACATTTGGAATGTCTTACAACGTAATGTTATTTTTGAAACATCTGAAGTAGAAATGTTATCCATGGAAATTGCGGTCGGTGAACCGCTTTGGTTAACTGCACAAATCTTCGATCTTCACTGAGACAGGTCAAAAACGAAAGAACACATAACAGACATGGTCCACTATATTGTTTTTCGCTTGCAAATTTCCCGATAGACTTGTTTTTCGGTTAGTATTCAAGTATGGTTTTCGTGCACAACATTTGACTCGCACCTTATTTTTAGACCCAACAAATGAAATGCGTTTCAACAAACAGGAGATGATCACATTGGCTCAGCAACCGTCTAATAAATTTGACAAAGAAGGGTTATTATTTGTACGGGAACGCCAAGAAGGGTTTTTCAGAAGAACTGAGAGTGAGTATTTATAATTTGACTCATTGGTAACTTTAAAATTTTTAAGTAAATAAAATTAAATCAAGTGTAACTAAGTACAAACTTACCATTCATATTCCCTTAGAGAGTTACAATATTGTTATAATCTAATATTGGCATAGTTAACATCAGCTTGGCATGTTTATATATGAATTGTGTGTGAGTACATCATTGTTTGGAATTTTGCATGATACATTTTAGTATTTTTCAATTAATATCATTTTTATTGTATTGGTTTAATAATTCTCATAAGTTTTGGATTTAAACCATTAAACATTGTGTGTAAAAACATATTGGCCAGTTTTGAAATAACTGAAAAATATTTAACAACCCTAATTAACATAATTGTTTTAACAATATAAAAACCGCTAAACGTATATTTAAGAAAAAATAACTGATAATATATGTCAATATTGCCATGAATAAGTTATTAGGTAGATACGTTTATTATTGTTTTTATTAAGATTTATGACTGTAATAAATACATACCTACATAATAAAATTTAGCCCGATAATATGTAATGTTATTGTAAACAAGTTCAATCTACATCAATAAATAATAATTCATTTATAGATAAAGATTATAGTAATAACAGAGAATAACAATTATTCTGTGGTAATAATATGTGTTAAATGATAACAATACAATTTATTTATTTATTTGATCACTAAATAATTTTAGATTCCGTTTTTCTAGAACATTGCAGAAGTGTCACTAATGGGTAGTTACTTCATTCAAAAATTTCATGCAGTAAGCAACTTTACTTATTTGTGTTTGTGGGATTAAGCTTTGTATATGAATAACTAATGCTAAATTTTTTAAACAAATTTTACTAAAAAGTTTTTATTATTTAATAATATCAACATAATATTTTTATATGGCATTACAAATTTATTGAATGTATTTTTTGTTCTTTTTTCTAATTATACTTTTTCTTTATTTAAAGAATCTGAGCTTTTGAATTTTGATAAACGATTATGAAATGAGAAATTCTTAAACATTTAAAGACAAGGGTTTGAATGTTTGATGTATAATATAGCGTTTGAAATGTGTTATTGTGAATATAATTTATTTGATTATTTTTTAAAAATCTTACTTGTAATTTTTTACTACTGTACCTAATTATAGCCCCGCAGATCTACAATAAAAAGTAATAAATATAAAAATCAATTTAAGTAAAAATATAAATTGGAATTCTAATGATTAAGGTTATTGTGGTAAAATAAAAATTAAATTTTATGACTAGATTTCACATTTTTATAAAAGAAAAAATAATTATGTACATTTTTGAAATTATAACCTATGTGTGGTTTCTAGGATTGTGAATTGTGCTATTTTTGCATACAACAAAAGAAAATCTAATTATTGCATTTTGAATTATTTGTTTTTTGTTTTGGTTAAGAGACGAGAAGTCTTATGTTTTTTCAATCACAATTGATTTTTAGACTATTAGATTTATTTAAACAATTTCAGAGAGAGATTCAAAACGAAGCAAAAAACGGGAACGTCTAAGCGATTTGAACTGTTATGGCGGATCACATAAAGGTATATGATTATATGCATTTAGAATACTTAAATAATTATATAATACATAAACAAAATATGAAGTATGTTAAGTGGTTTATTTATGATAGAATAATAAAAAAGTATACCTATATATTTTATTTGAGCCAATCTGGTTTACAATGTTGCAAAATAACATCTGTATAGTCTGTATTGTAAATACGCACAACTGCAAATTTAAGATAGCTGTAAACAAAATTTAATTTCAATATCATTCCCAATTAAACTAATCAATCTAGTATTTATGTAAAACAATATACATGTCTACATATATGTAATATGTATTTTTAAAATTGTATTATTAGCTAAAACTTTTAATTAAAAATTTTGATTTGTGATTGGTTTTTAATGGTTAATTAATTCATCTAATTAAATCTAGGGAAATTATTAACTGTATTATTACAATGTTTATAAGGCATAGTTTTCCCCACCTATGTATTATAAACAGACTGTACATATAGTTGTCCATTAATATTTAGCATGAAACTTATATATTGTTGCATGACACATCCATATGCAACCCATTACTAGCCAACCTAACAGTTAATTGTTAATTTATGTTGAAATAATCTTTGAACCTTTAGTTTCTTTACATTGCATGTTGATAAGTGATAATTTTTTATGTCAAGACTCAAGGTAAAATTATTAATGTAACTAATACAATAATTTTATTTTTTCATTTTTGTTCTCATATAATTATGAATATAATAATATTATACCTACAAGCATTTCTTATTGTATTATCATTTTTCAGGTCAGAATCGTTTTTACATATTTATTTAAATCTATACAATATAATACATATACATAGGGGTGCTCTGAATTTGTTGGCATATAAAGCTCCAGTTCACTTACTTCATAATATTTTCTTTTTAAGTTAAAATTTAAATAAACACTGTTAAAGTACATATTTGTTTATCTTAAATAACCAATTTTTATATTACATGTATCCTTTCTGAAACCATCATCTATGAATTCCCACATTAAAAACACTGGGTATGTTTAGATGTGCCTAATGTCTATAGTTCAATCAGCCACACCCGTACACACACCTATGAACATATATTTATTAGTTTAATTATTGTGTTCAACAGATTATTTTGATTAATTGGTGATTATTTCAATTTATCAGTGTTAAATATTGACTATTATAAAGTTAATAAATGTTGAAACAAAAAGTAAATTATTTTAATTAATTTCATAATATTATTATTATATTTGTTTTTAATGTTAAATGTTATTATAATATATTGTGCAGTATTATTCATAATATTTTTGATTCTATACATTTTACTTAAATAGCCACTATATGTTCATGTTAAATAGGTACCTTATAATCAAATTTCAGCTTACAATATTTTATTGATAACACTAATATGGATATATTTTTTTTTTAAAGCTAATTTTGAGCGTTGGTGTCGTTTAAGAGGAAATTTGCTATTTTATCTTAAGTCTCATGATCAGTTATCAGATTTACTTGGTGTTATTGTTCTACAAAATTATTCAGTACAATTAGATGAGTCTCCTCCAGAAGGACCATTTAGTTTTCAAATAGGTAAACAATTTTCCAGCTCAACGATTTTTATTTGTTTAAAAAACATGATAATTAAGAAAAAACTAATAATTTAAATTAATAGTATTTGAAAATGGTATTTGTCAACAAATTGCTGCACATACAGAGCCAGAAAGAGATTCTTGGTTAGAAGCTATAAAGCAAGCAAGCTACGAAATCATGCGGGCTAGACTGTTGGATTTAAGAAGACAATTAGAAGTAAAACGAAAGCCAGATTTAGATATTAATATGTGGAGATTACGTAAAAATCAACCTAAACTAGGTACATTTTAATACATTCTTTACCTATTTAAATATATTTTTTACTTCCATGTTTTATATATGGTCATATCCATATTTTAGATCTAACAAAGGTACCATTGTGCGAAATATGTTTTTCTTGTGACAACCTGATGTGTGATGGGCATGGGCGTTCTCCAAATCCAGCAATTGTTGTATCAATTTGTGTACCAAGTGAAAATGTTTGGATAAACTATGCTAACACAGAAGTTATCGTTGATAATAGTAATCCAACATTTTTGAGAACCATATGGTTACAGTGCAGTGATGGATTAACTGAGGATTGTATCCTTCGAGTATCAGTCTATGATGTACGAGAATGTATTTCTGGAACTGCTGTGAAAATGGGACATTGCGAAACAACACTTTGTTCGCTGTTAGAAACTACTCATTCGGGAAATAATGGCCAACGTGTTCGTTTGCCCCTGTCATCACCAAGTATTAGATCCGATTTAGATAAAATTATTGGTTTTGTGTCCATGACAATTTGCCGTCCAGACAAACAGATTGGACATAACATGAGTACAGAGTCCACACCATGCAAATCATTAATGTATAGCAATCATAACTTTCCTGTGAGTTAATTAAAAAAATATTGATTAGAATATATTCATAGAATATAATTTTTAAAATTATTTTAGATGGTAAATCATCGAAGAACACAGTCATTACCTCCAAGACTTGGATCCAGGTTACGTGTTCCATTACAGAACTATCTGTATTTATTATTTGATAATGTATCATTTGTGACTTATCGTTTTCATTCTGGCCTGAGGGGTGATATATCTGTTTATGAAATAATGGCTGAAAGCAAGTTATGCTTTTATTTACCACAGCAATTATTGTAAGCATTTACTCATCTAATTTAGTAGACAACAAGTAAAAATTAACCATTTTCATTTATAGAAACATATGGATACTTGAAGAAAAAGAACTTTTACAAGAAGTGTCAGGAATGGGTGAATTATCTGAGCCATGGCATTCAAAACAAGTAGAACTACTTGACCGACATTTGCAACTATTACATTTGTATTCTCAAGCCAAACAAAATCTTGAAAATCAAAAGGGTAAATTTTTAACACATACTTTGATTTTGAAGATTATTTATCATACATAATAATCTTCCAACGTATTTCATCCATATATATCATTTGTTAATTATTGTTTTTATTATGCAGTGTTTGGTGAGTTCCTTATAAAAAGGAATTTGTTTTGTTTCTTGTTCCTTAAAAAGAGGTATTTGTTCCTTTTTAGTTCCTGAGTTCTAAATAAAATAAAAATTCTTATTTAACCAGTTCTTATTTAATCAATGTTTTATTTCAGATACCTAGGTACTTAGGTACCTAACTTTTAATTATACCTATACATACCTAAAAGTACATTTATGATTTACTATTTAGTTTAGGAATATAATATCAAATATAATTTTTTTCTTTTATTCATCTATATTTATTATTTTTACTCTCTATTTTTTAAACAATTTAAATTAATATTTTATTATATGATTAACTTAGATACTCCATAACGATCACTAATTGGAAATATACACACTAAGAAAAAAATATTTTGATTTTAATTATTTACATATCTGTGTTAACTGAAACTCGAAAGGAATGAAAAAATTCATTATTTTTCTTTGAAAAAAGGAACTTATTTATTTTCACCATATTTTTTTATAAAAAGGAATCCGTTCCTTTTGGAACTCTTTCCTTCCAAATACTGTAAGTCTAACTTTCATCTAAAGTTTAGAATATTAGATGTTAACTAGCTATTTGATAGACATATTATATTTAGAGTCTAAACAATTGTCTTCTGTAAGAAATCTAAGTCTAAATTTTTTTCAGGTATTCATTTTAAACCAAGTTCGCGTAAAAACGACCGTTCTTTAGAATTTGCACCAACAAACTTACACCTACAACGCATTTGGGTTCAAAATGATACACTAAAAAAGAGTGGATTTTATGATACAATCACAGTTGGCGCATTTACTGCACATTCCCATAAGTCTAAAACTGGAGGATTGATAAAGTAAAACAAATTTCTAAGAAATTTCTAAACATTTATGTTTCTAATAATATGTATGGATATTTTAGATTATTACAACAACTCAAAGAAGCACCACTTAAAACAAACGGCCATGCCATGGCCAGTAGTAAAATTACTATGGCGTTTGATGCCATTCAAGCAATTAAACTTCTAAGACGAGAGGTAGTAGATGCAATGAAAAGTTTGTTAAACTTAGCTAAAGACAAACAAACTGCAGGGATGATGCCAATTTGTAATGATATGATATCCAAAGTAATTTTATTTTTTAAAGTCACTATTTAAAACCTTTTTGATGTTGAGCATCATTTAATAAGTTAATTAGTTGTGTGCGCTTAATAAGTTTAGCTTTATTAGTTGCTTATAATTATTCACTACTATTTGTCATATTTAATTATAAATGAAATGGCTAATCCTATTGAGCGTACATAGTGGTGGACTGAAGGGTTCAATTTTGAAGCAACTGTTTCAAATTTTCAAAGCGGGTGGTGCCACCCTGTGACTGTGGTGCAGAATACATGCTAAGACCCGACTTCTTGGTTCTTTCGGCCACATTTTATTTACATCATAACTTATTATAAGTAAAAATGGTGGGGTGGTGGTAGTAAATACTTAATTATGAAAATGCCTCATTTATAATTTAAGTTCAGTCTGCCACTGAGTCTACATAACTATAGAATGGTCTTAATGATATTGTAATACATATAACATTAACATATTATAATTTGTAGACTCGTATTTTGCTAAGCCTTTGGGATCCAAAACTTGTTGAAGAAGCGTTAAATTTTATTGAAGAACATAAAGTGACTCCCGTCTTGAGTGATGACAATGAATCCATTAAACATCCTTCAAATTATCATGTATCACCATTTAAACGTATAGCAAGCCAGATAAATTTTGATTTACAATCACCAGATACTGAGGATTTGTATACTCCCGAAAGCCCAAAATGTTTGAGGCATTTGATGAAGTTTGATTCAAAGGAAATCCAAGAAGAACATGACTTTAGTGGTAATGAAGACCAACAACAGTTTATTGTGTTTCCAGAATCTAAAGGTGAAATGGATAATAGTCAAGAAGATGCAAACCATATTTGTGGTATGTTTTTGAATCAAATTTAACATTGTACTATATATTTTATGTGTTTAAGTGCTATAAAAATATATTTAATTTTAGGTTCAAAAGAAAATTCTCTTCCGAATGAAAGCAGCAACGGTATGAAAACGGGTCAATTTTTGGACACTTACTCAATGTGTAATTCACCGTCAGCTAACTATTATAAGCCTACTGAAGAACCAGAACCTTGGGAACTTACTCAGTTGAATATTGAAGCCAGTATTATGTGTCTTGTCAGCAAAGTTAAATTTTTGTGTGGCCGTTGCAATAGTCCAGCAGTGAGGTTGAGGTCTCAAAGAAGTCGAAGTTTTCTTTCAAATTCATCAACAAATCAAGTAAATATTTATACATTTTATGTTTGCTTTGATACTTAGTTAATAATATTTTCCATATAATATACATTTTGCTACAAAATAAAAATATAAAATATGCATACAATGTCTAATATATGACAAAACTATTATTTGCTATTTAGTGTTTATAATCACTCAAAAATATTTTAGGCAACAAATTGTCATCAGCCTGTGAGCTTAGATTCTAGAATCACTGAAATTGACAATAACAAAGCACAAACAACTAATAACAAGTGAATATATATATTTTTGAATCGTTTACTAAGTCACAGGTAGAATATAAAAATATATTATTCCATGTTTTTAGTGCACCTTCTAGAAACAAGTTTACAGAAGGACTTGATTTTAATCTTATGACTGATTGGGGTTCTGAATTAAAGCCAAGCATGCGTAAACTTCGTCAAGCTATGGATGGACTTTTAAAAACTGCTAGACTTACGCATAGTGTTTTTAGAGTACAAGAGGATAAACGGTCAGCTGAAAGGTCATGCAATGTTCGTTACCGTAGACATGTTTGTTTTTCACAAGCGGTAATTAAAATAAATAATTGACATTACATTTTAAGAATGCTTAATTTTAATATTAATTTTGCTTTAGTTGACTGCTCTGGTTAGTGGCTTAATGGCAAGATTGTGGTGTCAAAAACCTGAACCCGAATTCCTGTATGTATTGTCTTCTATTGGTTGCTTAGCCTCTTTTGAATGTCTATTGAGTTACTATGGTAATGAGATCGACATGTGGGGTGACATGGCTGTTGCCATTGAAGATCTTGCCACTGTAAACTTCACCTTATTACCACTATCACAAGCTGTTAGGTATTATTTATTAAACTATAAAAATAATATATATTTAATAGTATTTATTTAATAATTCACATTATTTTTGTAGAGAAAATCCAAAAGATGAAATCATGCCACGAATTGTTGGTTCTAAGAATTCTTTATGTGTTTTATTACCAGTTCCAGATTTAATTCAATCTTTATTACCTTCTAAAAACATTGCTCCGTTTCGGGTCACGCCTGTTTTTTTTAATATGGGTATTAATGAAATGGCAACCATTGCAGAAAACCTTGGAAATACAAAACCACAGGATAGCAGCAATATTGACAATTTTGAAAGATTAAATGAATTCTGTTCGAGATATCGAAAACTTAATATATCCAATAATGGTGATTGTGAGCGACAAGGCACTTCTGTTGCAGAACTAATGAGCAATTTAAAAGATTCATTACAAAGTAGTAAGAGTAAAAATGTAGAAATACTGCAAACAGCAGCTATAGTGTGTCGTCGTTTAAAAGGTAAAATTATTATATAAAATATCTAGTATTACATTTAATGATATTGTTATAATATATTTGCACACTACTTATTAATGATAATTATTGATTATAATGTTTGTATTGCTTTTATTTAAATTTGTTTTTCAATCTGAATAATTCTGGGGGCATAAATGCTTTTATTCTAACTATAATTACTTTTAGGTTTAAGATTTACAAGTTGTAAAAGTGCTAAAGACCGAACAGGTATGTCTGTTACACTAGAACAGTGTTCTATTCTGAATTTGGAATATGGACTTGCAGAAAGTGAAATTCAAAGAGCATTAGATTGTATGAGAAGGTATATATTATTTTTTGATTATAATAATAAAAAAAAAAAAGATAAAAATACTTACGGTTGTCATAATAAGCCATGTGAATGTGCAATGTTTTTCAGTGAGGGGTGTAGGAGAGAAAATGCATACAAAAACACTGGTGTCAGAAAATATGCATTTAACAGATTGCAACACTTCACCTTACCACAAATGTACAGACCTCCGGCAGGTACTTATGGATCAAGCCAAACTTAAATGGTTACCATGGTTGCTATACCATTTTGTTATTTATTTTATTTCATTTTTCATTATTGATTTTTCTTCCTTTCAATTGACAAACGAAATTGTTTTAACTTAATAATGTTCCTATACTGAGACTGCTGTCTGACGTACTTAGAACCTCTGCGAATAATTTTTGGAATAAGAAAAACTCACTGCTGTTATCAATATCATTCATATTCTGAATGGGTTTTATTTTCAAAAGAAAGAATAAGTGCTAATTAATTTACTTAATTGATCACGGGGTTAGATAAAAGTAAATGAAGTACAGTAGATCAAATCACGCAGAGAGGTTTTAGTCTGGGTTAAGCAAATTAGCGATAATGGTTGATTTTGTCCTAAGAATTTTGTCCATAATATATGGTTGTCTGTCTTATCCAGTAAATGGATTAAATAGCAAATTCTGTATTAGTTATGTACGAATTAAATTAGTCATTACTTGCTAAATACTTATTGACTTCAAACTAGTACTATAGCAGTATGACTAAATGCTTGTTTAGTCTGATATTCACACAGGATTATAGAACTATATTATTTAATTACTGAAAAACATGATATTTATAGTAATTGCTATATTGGTACAAAAATTTGCAAACAAATGTACTCATAAGTCTGGTCGCTACTGTATCATTTGTAAAATATCTATACTCTATTCAAAATGAGGAAGGTTAGGTACCGGCTGGCTAATTTTTGCGATTTCGTTCCGAAGCTTTGCCTTGCACATCTGCGTTTATGGAAGAAGCATCTGCGCGCCATAGATAAAAACGGCTGTCTTTCTTATTTTGAGTAGAGAATAGGAGTCTCATCATTAAACAAACATTTGCTCAAGTTTTTGAAAATGTAACAGGAAACTATACTACCTTAAAAAGAAGAATAATTTGTGTGGACTATATAAATATTATTAATTGTTCTTGGAATTGTGACCATGCTGCATATAATTTTTCTACCAGACATCATATTAGTCAGTCCTTGTTGTTTTTTTTTTGTAGACCCAAATGTAGAAATTTATAAAAAACAATTTGTTTTAATCTTTACACTACTCTGTATTTTAGTTAGCAAAGTGAACTTACGAATGAGTTCTAAACATTATAATGTAGTATACTATTATATTTAATTGATTTAAAACTCAACATAATAATACAACTATCACAAATGTTAATATTCTTGTTTCTACTACTCTTAATGGGAAAATGGTTTTTTAGAAACTTAATATTGCAATTATAGGATGAAATATTTTATTTTAATTAATAACAATTTTTTTTAAAAAGTTATTTAATTTGAGTATCTTGACTGTTTTATTATTGACTATAAATATATAAATCAGAGGCTCCAGCTCAGCCAAGAGTTCAGAGGGATTGATTAAATTTGATATGTAGGGCTCCTCAAGCCCCCATACTTATTTCATTTTTTTCAATAGTTGTCAGTTTTTATTTTTTTTTAAATTTTATTTAATGCTTATTTGACATTATTATTAATATGAAGCTCAATGGGAGGTGAAGGATCCCATAAAAAATGGTATTATTTTATAATCTTGTCAAAACTATTTGAGAATATAAATAATATGTCTTAAAAAGTTAGAACTATACAAAAGCTAATATATTATATTGAGATTTGAAAAACAAGAAAAATGGAGAAATATATTGCCATTGATACTTTTTCGCTCAATATTTTTGCAAATCCTTTGTATTCCAATTGTATAATATCAAAACGACACTTCCCCTCAATTCGCATAACAATTACATACACATTAATAATCTAAAAATGTATATCATGGCATACACATAAATGTACATAAAAATTCTATCGTTGTTTTGCATACTTGTTGTGTTTAGAAAATATTATAGAAAATATACTTCAATACATTTTTCCCGAGTAAAATATAAGTTGCATTGCCTTGATATTTATAATTTGTGACTCCAATATTCTAATAAAAAAGCAAATTAAATTAAATTTTGAGACAAACATTTTTCCTCCTATAATGAACTATTTTAGAAATAATTTTGACTGTGTATCATAGTATATAATAACAATAACAAATAATTGTATAGGTACATTATTAAATTATTTCATTACTAAATAGTAAATACTAATTGTATTTTGGCATACATGTGCTGGATTGCATGAATGATCACTAAACATTTAACGAATCAATTGCAAGCCATTGGTCCCTTAAACATGATTTAGCAGCCCGGTGTTGGTCCATTCAATTTTGTTGAACCATTGAATCAATACATTTTTCATTCAATCTGGCATAAATGTATTAAAAACTGAAATTGATACAATTGTTATTTTTCAGTCTTCTGTATAGCAGTAGATGATAACAAACAATTTGTATAATTCAATTTTAACTTAAGAAAATAATTATAATATTTAAGATTAATTTTAAATAGATTTAACCTAACCTAACCGTTAATTAAAATGTTTTTTATAAAACCTTAAATTACATTATATCAATTATCTATCAATGTTATGTGTCTATTTCTTAAGACACAATGTGTGCCAAGCTTAAGTAAAAAATTGTTGAACATTAATCAATTAAATTAAAGTTTACAATTTAACAAAATACTTAATATTATGGAGTTGAGCACATGTCTTCCTGTCATTGATATCAAATCATAGATTCTCTTTTATTTATGGATATAATCATGTTGCTCAAAACGTACTACAGAACCTTGAAATTATGATATATTTATTATATTAACTTACTTTTAAGTTATTTAAAAATTAAATTTACAACATTCAGATATAACTTAACATTGTATTTGTCCCATGTATGATTTTATGTTATTGATAAATGTATATCTATAAGTTTATAAGTTTTGTTTCGTTGGATTTTATTGTTAACTAACTTATGTTTTTAGTCTGCACATCTTTATTTTTGAAAATTATAGCAGAAATGTTACCATCAACTGGATGATTTAGAAATTTTCAACAAATTTATCATTTGTTGTGCAATTCATTTTTATTATTTCTTCTATGTAGTATGTTTATTTATACATTATTATTTATTTATAAATATTATAAATTTTTATTTTTTAAAGTTATTGCATTGAAATTATTACTATTGTTTTTTTTCTATTCTTGTTATATTGTTTCTATTCATATTTTTCTGAAATACCTAACAAACAAATTTTATTTCATAAATCGAAGGATTTTTTTTGTATTATGATTATATTATTTAATAGCTCAGGCTTACCTTTATGTACTTATTAAGGTTTTTGACATTTTATTGTATTTATTTTGTTGTACCAAACTATTATGCAAATAGTTATATTATTTGATGTGCAATTAAATTGTTTTAGATAATTTTGTGTTTATCATTAAATAGTAATTACAAATATCGTTCAAGTGTAGAATAAATCACAATGTACAATATTTATATATTATGAAATACTATTAAATTTTGTCTAATGCCACTTAATTTGTTTTTAATTACTAATTATTACTATACTTAGAATATTATGTTTATAAACTTAAATTATTTTAAATTATTTATCAATAATTGATGGCTCATTGTCAGTAGTATCTTCTATTTCGCATATTAGATAATAATCTGTTTTTACAACCTTGTATACAGTATACTTAACTAATCCTTTAACATCCTGGCCTGTTATACTATTTTTGTTAAACAAATATATTATATACAATATTTATATTAATGGCATTTGATTGGTACTATAAAGTATATTGTCACTATTTAATATTAATTAGTGTTTGACAAATAGTCAGCTGAAATAATTTGATTTTGTTTTTAAAATTAAAATAATTTTATAATGCTAATACTTTTTTGAATTTATGATATAAAACAGTTTTACTCTCTTCGTGGTAGGCATATTTTAAACTATTATTTAAAACAAATTGTCATTAGATATTTGCCTAGTTCAATATTGCAGGATTTTTTTTCATAGAATCATCAAAAATATTATTTCTGTTTATAATAATTAAGTCTTTTTATTTTTATTAATTGCAAAAATAAACCAACATTAACAACATGTTCATATTGTATAAAACAGTAAGTAAAACATTTGGTAAAGAAAAAAAAACATGTACAATTATGAAAATATATCAAATATACAATAAATTTATTTTATAAATACATTATTAAAAATTAAAATATAAAATTAACAATAGTGGTCACTTAAAACCACAATTCCCCTAAATCACCTTCGGTCTTAATATCCAAGCTGTCATCATGAGGACTGTCTTCATCCGAATCACTGATTTCCAAATCATCTTGGATATTTGCGCTGCCATGGTTTTTATTACTTGACTCTGAGAGATCTTTTTCATCACTTGTGTCTAGATTACGACTGCCTGTAGGTAGGAAGTCTGAAGGATCATAATTTGGATCGAGGTCCATGCTTTCGTCGGCTATTAAAAAAACAAAAATTATACGCTGTTAGATTAGTATGATATTCGTATTTCACCTTGGATATGATTGGAGAAAGTTTCAGGAGCAGGATTGTATCCCATGTTACCGAGCAAAACCATGGCTTCAGCAACTTGTTGACTGTCATCGTCTGGTGGATTTTCTCCAACAACTTCCATGAAATCATCTTCTTCGCTCGAACAATGTAGATCTAAAAACAAATAACAATAAAATTTAAAATCATGTAATAAACATTTTTTTTTTTCTGAACAAATTACCATCTTCTAATATATGATTAGTTTCTGTTTTGAAATTACTATCTGGATCCATTTGGAATTCTATGTCTTCAATGTTCACCTTGTGTTCTCTCGGTGAATTTAAATTCTGAAAATCGTTTAATTTTGAATGATACAAAATGTTTTATATAAATGTGTACAAAATAATAAGGTAACATAACATACATCTTCAACATCTTGCATATCTCCATAATCATCCTCTGCGGCAGAATCCATTTCAACCTGTTCTAGAGCTCGAGCCTGAACTAAACTGATATTTTGTTCCACTTGGGTCAAGTATTGATCAAACTGAAATTGATACAGTAATAAGATTTTTGTTTCAGAATTTATTGCTTAAATTACTTACCTCTTCTAATGATTCTGTGGCCACACTTATTAACTTTTTTGCTTGTTGTGTAAAGTCTGAATCTTCACCATTATATGCAACACTGTTTTCAAAAATTAAATTTATGTCAGCCAAAAATTCCCTACGGTTATGATACTTATGACCTGAAAAAAGTAAATAATATGTAACACATGATGTTATAGATATAGAGCATTGCATATAACTAAAGTTGTGTATATTTTTTGCTGGTATGGAGCAGAATTTTTTTTATAACATAATTTGCGGTCTTTTATTAATACATTTTTAGTATCAGTCATGTTTCAAGTCTTCAAGAAATAAGATGACTTAATATTTTCAATCTGTATACTATATTTTGAGTAAAAATTTGGTCAACAGATGGGGCAGCTTTACCTTTCCTGAGCACACACCTATGTACGTACTATCCTAAAACCAAGTTCTAATAATTTTAATTGATTAATAACTCAACTAAGGTATTTAAATAATTATGATATTGCAAGTTTTAATTTAACATGTAGTTATGTCAGTATTTATAATAAGGATCTTATAATTTAAAAGAGATTTTTATAAGTGATGAGTTAGAATGTAGGAAATACGTTTATTTCAAGTTATTGTGACCTCTTACTACATGTTATACTATTAAATTGTCCACCTTCTTTAAGTATCACATATTAGCTTTGCTAAGGCATACTCAAACCATAAAATAGACACAAAATCGAGCATTCTAACCTAATGCACAAGCACCTCATGATTGGACGAAAACCACCAGTCTGAGTCTCGGGCCCCTTATCTACAAGACCCAAATGAATAGATATTAGCTCTATCTTTCATATAATCTATGTAAGCTCCTAGCATCAGACAAGATATCATTACTCAACTCACAACATTTCTTAATTTACTAGGATAAATTGGTTTATTTTATAGTACATTATTTGAATAGTGAGTTACCCTAGTATGATGTTGTGTGAATATTTAGAATTTTCTCTTAATAAAACCTATTTTTTTTTCATCTTGCTGGTTGTGGGCCACGTTTTACAAATGTATATTTTGATTGGTCTTCCTAGTACTAGGTTTAACTGTTGCTTCGGTAGAAACTGGCCCGATTAACTTAGAGAGCTCATAACTGTATAATAATAATAATACTCACTAGAAACACGTGAAGCTATAGTTTCTAAATCAATTGGTTGTTTAATGACATTGTAATAATCCTTGACTAATTTACGATTGACTGGCTTCATGAATGGCCATGCTTCACTCATAGTCTTCACTTTACCAACAACATTATCCAATATAAATGTTAAAGCCACTTGGTCATTATCATCCAACAGTGGGTTGATCGCTTTTTCCAGTAACATAAGACGTTCTTCTTTTTCGTGTAGACGATCTACACAAACACCCAACATACGACGAGCAGCAACAGTTAGTGAACTCTTGGCACCTAAAAATTAATTGCCCCTTTGTAAGTAATAGATTTAGTTAAAAATATATACTGTTGTAATTTATTCACCATTGTACAATGTAGAATTTTCAACAATTTGATTGACATCAGAAAGAAATTCTTCACGGTTCTGATATTTTTTCAAATGAAGTCCATCTCTAATAGATTGTAAATCCATTGGTCTCTGTACTATATTGTAGTAATCAGGCACCTTCTGTGAAATACAGTTTTTAGGTGAACTAAATCGATGAATTTATTCATAACTAATAATAATAACAGTTACTTTACCTTAACATTAACTGGATAAATAAATGGGTGCACGTCAGGCATACCACGCATTTCATTTAATATAGATTCAAATATTGTTGATAGAACAATTAATGGGTCAGTACGGCGTCTGTTGGCAGAACGATCAGGTTTCTTTAAATAATCACAGTGCAGTTCATTCTTACGTTTCTTGTTGCGCGATAACGCATCTTTGGGTACTTTCAGAACTAGTGACCTCCTTTTTACTTCTTCAGCATGCTAAAAAACAAACAAAAGTAATTTAACATATACAGTACATGATTAAAATGTAAGTGCATGCTAACTCATAGTTAAAACAAACCTTCAAGAGTTTACTGGATAGTGTGACTTTTGTTCCGTCTACATTAACCAAATCTTCGTCCTCTACATTCATTTGTTTTTCGATTTCTTCTTCTTGCTCCTCAGTAAGAGCAACATTAACTGACGCGTTAGGATTTAGATTGTACTGAGGACAGGCTTTGTTTGTTCTCATGTGACCAACATTACCACATGCTCCACATCTGACTTTTAAGTCAGGCTTCATTTTACTGGGTTTTGGTTTACGTGGTCTTGGAGGTGTGGCTTCCATGCGTGGCTTAGGTATTGTGACTGTGCCAGAAGTGGGCATTGGCACATCATTACTCAAGGAATTGCTTTTGTTGACCATGGAGTAACCAAAACCTTAAAATGAAACATTAAATATAACAACACTGAATATGTGCATCAGGTAATATGAAAATACCAGGCTGTGGTCTGGTGTTATTAGAAAAACGTTCACGTTCTTGATTCCTTTTTATACGTCTCAACTGTTCTTGGATTCTTCGTTTTTCACGTTTCATCTCTTCTTTCTGTGCTTCATCCATAAGTGCATACTGACGAATAAAACCTTCATCTCTCGTTGTTCTTATTTTTAGATAAGCATCAATAACACCCGGTTTACGTACAACTTCTGTTCTAGTGTACTCTTTCCCATCTGATCCTTGAAATGTTCTATATATCCTAAGAACACGACCTGTAAGCATAATTAAATGTTTATTTTCTTTACTGTTATTATAATAATTGTGTTCCATCATACCTGGTTGACCAGTAGATGAAAACTGCATACTATCATCATCATCCATTTTCTTCTTGTCTCTTTTACGCAAGTCGTCATTGGAGGAGCACCCCATGATCATTTTACGAAGTTCATGACGTTCTTGTTCTTCTTTTTCGAGTGACAACTAGATTGAGTAAAATTATTAATATTAATGTAATATGTATTCAAGAAGAAATTAAAATACATACTTGTGTGCTTGTTTTTTTATTTGACAACATATTTTCAATGTTTTTTCCCATTTCTTCAATGTCAGAACAATCTTCTTCATCAAAACTTTCTCCTTCGTCTGTGGACAACAATTCATGAGATGAAAGCACTCTATTTTGTAAATCAAATATTCTTTGGCATTCTTCTTTGTATCTAAAATATATTGATAACAATGTAAAATTTAATAATAACTATTAAAAACAATTAAGATTACTCTAACATCAAAATAAAATAAAAGAGAAATAATACAAAATAATGATCTTACATTTCATAATACATTTTTTAATAGAATGGCCCTAACTTTATTAAAGAATTAATGTTTTAAATTCCTAAGAGATCCACAAGACATCATCATCTCAAATATCATTTATCATTATAAAAATGTTGTAGTACACACTTAAGCCACTTATTAGAAAGACTTTTGGTGAAATATGTCAATTAATCAATTGTTTCTTATTGACGATGGGTTTCTATTAATAGTAGGTTGGTCCATTCCCAGGCATATTATTTCAATAATAACACGAATGTATCAAATTATCCATGTTCTAAATAAGCAGCTTCCACTGTATATTATATCATATTATGTGATAAAATTATACAACAGTAAAAGAGTGTTTTGATAATTGATGTGTAAAAATAAATATTATTTTTATATTGTATTTGAATAATTTTTACCTTTCCTGGTGTTCAGCAATGGAAAAACGATTGCCTCTCGAAAATTTTGTCATTCCTTCTTCACCAGCTTTAGCTTTTTCAGTAGACAAAGTTCGAACTACATCAATAACTTCCCATCGGGACAATTTTTTTATTTCTTCTTCAGGTACTGCAAATTTTCTCAATAAAGCTTTTGCATTATTTAATGACAATCGTCTTAAATCTGCATCTGTTCCAGTCACCATACGTTTAGGTTGAGCTTCTTGTTCTTCTTTATTTAACTAAATTTAATATTAATTATATTAAAAATACAAATGTACAAATGTTTTTAATAAACAATAGTTAATACAGTGATCTAATAATATTTAAAATGGATAAAATTTATACAAGATATTAAAAATAACATACCGTTGGTTTGTTAGGTACTCGTACATATGAAAATCCCTCTCCACATCCAGTGGGATCTGCAGGACCAGTGAGTTGAAGTAGACACTTATTTTTCATAGCTTGTATGTATGCTCGAGTTGTCATCCAAGGTGCAACTTTAATTTCATCATCCATTTTCAATTGCATTTCTTCATCATCGTCTTCTAAGCTAGTTAAAATAAATTTTTCTCCATAACCAGCATCCTATAGAAACATTGATAAACAATACAAATTCAATAAATTAACTGAATTTCTAAATTACTTTAAGTCTCTGTTCGGCTGCAATCATGCTAAAATAAGCACAACATTGCTCTGGTGATACCATGGCACGAATTTCTTCTTCCGACGGTAAACGGAAATCAGGTTTAATTACCCACCAATTTGAATCAGAACCTATAGTATTAAAGTATAAAATACATTATTTAATTTTGTTATTATTAACTATATTTATTGACTCCCTCTAATTATCATTACTTACCAGTTCTTTTAAAATCTGCACATAGCTTAAGACGTTTACGAATACTACTTTCTGAATGTGATGGAAATGCTTTTTTAATGTCATCCATTTTTATACGCCTTGGATAATCAGTACTTTTCCAAAATAATCGATAAATAAAAACCTACTCAGAAAAAAAATGTTAAAACAAGAATAAATGAAAATAAAATGTAGTTTTTACCTGTAAAAAATCTCTCACAAAATTGTTAGCTCGTTTAGAGTTTGGACCAGGAACTTCATACAATGGACAAAGTTGGCCAGAAGTAAATAAAGCATCTATTTCACGTATATAATAGGCATGCCTGAAAAGTAGAAAAAATGTAATAACTAATAGAATATTTGTAATTAGCAACTTAGAAAGTTGATATAAGTATTAATAGGTAATATTGTATCTTTCATTTTTGAATACATTTCAGCAAAAATCAATGTTAACTCTAATTTATTGAATTTAATAGAACAAGAAAATAAACTTCAGTTACCTTGTTCTTATGAGTAAGAAATCATTTTCTAAAGGCTTGTGTTCATATATTGGTGTTCGGTATAAATTATTTTCAATAACTTGAATTGTCCTACCAGGTGATAGAACACCCAAAAATGGTGAAGTATGAGCATAGGCAATTTCTCCAAACTGTAAACTTGGTGGACCCGGATCTTTACCAATTTTACGTTTATAATAATTTTTAATTTTAGAGCACATTCCAACCTAAAAAATATTTGAATATAAAATTAATAATCACATTTTTAGTTAATACACACACACACACACACACACACATATATACATACTTGATTCAATAAAGGTGGGTGTTCTTCACAATACTCAACAAGAATAATTGAACCATCTCGGCCAGTCAAATCATCTGGTGTTCTCATGAAAAATACATCACCTCCACCAGAAGCTATTCGTTCTTGTTCTCTAAGCTAAATTAATAATAGGGTTGTTAATTTATGGTGTACTTAGCATAAATAAAAAAAGTGTACATCGTTAGAATGTTGTGTAAAATAATGTTCTGGATGTACAACATATTAGTACCTATATGTTATTCATTTAGACATTTGATTCAATATTTTATTTACCTTCGCTTTCTTTTTAATGTTTTTCAAAAGAGGCTGCACAGAATGAAATATAGGCTGAGCAACAGCACCATGAGAATAACGTTTCATAGGAGGACGATGGAAATTTCTTAAACGCATTGGTCCCATATGAGTTTGTATAAATGGGGCTTTTAACTCAACAACAGGCGTTGAATGTTGGATAATATTGCCACCCCCAACTTTAAGACGTAATGATGTTTCCGATGACCTTGGTTGATAGTAACTGGAAGTTTTACAACAAATTATAAATTCCAAATTTTATATTCAATAGTTATTAAATAAATCATTATAGGTTTAATATGGAACAGAAAATCCTTATTCTATTTATACACATACCAGTCATTTGATACATTAAATGGATCTCTGTCTGGAGACTTGGGTGGAGGCAATGGAGTATCTTCTTCGAGAACATTAATCACTCCAGCTTTACCAAGTAGAAGTTTTGATTTTTTAACATGCGGATGAGGAATTTTTACTTTAACTGGAGTAGCATTATCTAGTCTTTGTTTTGCAGGATCTACATCATCAGGAACACCTAATATAATGTTTTCATCATTGGGGTCTAATGTTAATATTTTTGGACGAGGTATCTTTTCCATATTTTTAGCATCCCAAATGATCTCATCTTCCCAAGTACCATAAACTAATTCTTCATTCTCTACTGGAAATATAGAATACCAGGTATCATCTGCGGTATCATTTATTGGCTGCTGCTTTGAACCCCTTAAAATGATATAAAAATATAAGTTAACTTAGTAAATAAACATAAAAAAAAATATAAACAAGTAACAAAATTGTATCATGTACTGAGACACAGAGAAGCTATAATCCAATATGACCAAATAATATAAAATATTCACTCTTAGACTGGTCCTAGTTAGTGATTCAAGCATAGGCCAATAGACAGTTGGCAGCTACCAGAAATGTATAAAATACCACCCGTTGAATTAACAACACAAGGGAATAATATCTTTGGATTAAGAATTAAAAAATTTTTTGTGGTAAGTCTTAAGCTTTGTCACAGAAATATTTGACGGAAACACGTGTTTTCGACATTGTTTCCAATTTCCCGTCAAAAGCGGTAGCATATATACTTGTTTTACACATCCCTGATGTCATTTACAAAATTTTATTTTGCCAAGTTCGGCATATTTACAGTTTTTAGTGCTATGTTGCTTATTTTAAATTTGAAGTGCAATTAGTATTAAACTTGTTTATAGAGAAAACTTACATATTTGATTTAGGGGTCATTTTGTTTTGTGATTGTGATACATTTATGTTGGATGTAGCTAATCGTACTGAACCACCTGCAAGAGGAAGCATTCCCTTTCCAGGCTGGCTAAAAGCCTGAGCAGTACGATTAGTGCTACTCGGTACCCATCCAGCAGCATTAGTCTTGCTATTCAGTTTTTGAAGAACTTTATGTTTAATATCTTCTCCATTCCATATTATATCATCTTCCCAATGCAACTGACTAACCATTAAATAGGCGTCTTCTGGATATGGATTTTCCTCAGCATTGTTTCCTATGTCTTCAGTCTGAAATAATGATCAAATTTTGGTACTCAATTAGTAATCGAGAAAAATCAAGCTTAGAATGAGATTTATATCAAGACAATTATTTATATTATGTACAGACAATGTATGTGTACCAATCAATTAACAGGACAATTGTATTTTTTTATATTGCTCTAATTGGTAGATTTGTGTATTCGAAATTCATACATTTTGTTTTTACTAATATTTTGTCTAATTGATTTGAACATTAAATGTTATCCTGTATTTTTTTATATTTGTATCATTAATTAATTAATAATAATAAAATAACATAATTTTATCATTTTTTATTTGACTAAAAATACTAAACGAATATCCAATACAGTAGGTCACATACTAAATGCATATTTCAATTTTAATAAATAGTAGTACTGAAGAGGGCACAACTTGATGGTAATAACATTATCTGTGTTCTTGTGTTGGTTTGTATAATAGTTCAATTTTTTAACAAGTAATGCATATATAATGGAGTGTAAACTAAAAATGCTCATAACTCACTTAAATATTAAACTATTGTAAAAAACCAACGTAGGAACACAGATAATGTTCTTACGATCAAGTTTCATATTAGATGAATTCACTCTAGTTTTTAAACTAATGGACTTAAACGTGATTTGCTGAGCATGAATTTGCTGTTACGCACTTGCAAAATGGATACAACACATGCGGGTGTCCTCTTAAGAGTTCTAAACTTTAAAAAAACAATAATTTATTATTTTGAAATTGAGAAACAATGCTAATAGTATTTTTAATGAACTTCAAAAGATTTGAAGGGTAATTAAGACTGAAATAATTTGAAAGAGAGTGAACATTATATAACAAATTAGGCAAATTAGGTATCTACATTTCGCTGTTACTATTAGTTTTATTCCTAAAATAATAATAAAAATAAAAACAATAATATAAATCCATACAGATTCCTAAACTTCGGCCAATGAGAGAGCGAAGACCAAAACTCATCTGTTCTTGCACATTTGGTGGTAAAGTGGGAGAAATTGGGGTTATGAAACTGTGGAGCTCAATTATATGCGTGAGTGAAGGAGTAGCACTCTGCCAGTGGTGGAGGTATAGGGTTAAATAAGATATAGATAATAATGTATTTTTTAATAATTCTGGAAGAGGAAAAAAATTGAACCACTATTTGAAGATGATTGGCACTAACAATTTACTGAATACTAACAGACTGTAAAAATACTATCCATACTCTGTTCCAAAAGAGAATATCGGCTAAGATAGGCTAGAGCACATCTCTCACATTACAGCATTACATAGGTAATAACAGGTAAAACAAGAAAAAAGTGCACGGAACTGGTTTGGTCTCTTTTGTAACACAGTATAGAAATTACTTTTAGTTTAAATATAGAACAATTTATAAATTGCATACATACTTTATTGTCTTTAAGTTTAAAACCATAATCAAATTCTTCTCCATTTTCAGGAACTCCCAACATATCATACCACAATTTAGCTGGACCACCTCTCCAGTATGCTTGATTGTTCGAACCATCTTCATTTTCTTGTCTGTTTGGATTAGTTTGTTTAGAAAAACTTTCAATTGGTTGTAAAAATTTCTCCTGAAAATTAATAATTATAACAAATTCAATAATAACATGTATATTATATAGAAAACAACCTCATCGTCACAAGCAATAAATTCAGGGTCTGGCAATGAACCATATTCAAGACATAGGAGTTGAGGTTTGGTTTCATTATCAGAAGAATTATAATCATTTGCATCACTATGTCTTCTTTTTTTACGTTTCGTTTTGACGTTTCTCCAAACTTTAGGTAAACGACTTGATTTATTGGGCTTAAACAATCTAGAAAACCTTAAAACCTATAACCAACAAAGAATACAAACAATTAAAGGAATATATGATTTTTATCATGAGCATCAATATTACTTTTCCAACTCTAAAATCAGGAAATAATGTTGTTACATCAACGTTTTCATATTTTGAAGGTAACATAGCAGCCAGTGGTGTTTCTAGCCGCTTGGATTTATCAGTTTGTTTATCGTTTTGTTCATTGTCACCATCGTACCCACTCTCCAAAACTTGTTGCTTGAAGCCAGCCGTTTCTTCAGCTAATTCCTCTATATCAAAAAAATCTTGAGCGGTAGGCGACTTCTCTTCAGTGGTATTTGTGTCTTCATGACCATTCTCCATTCCTCGAAGTTCAGATGAGTCAATGACCTCGGACACCATCGAACTAAACCCAAGCTTGGACAAGGAAGCCAAGTATTTTTTTGTATCTTTGTCCAGTAAGTCATCATCTTCAAGTTGCCCGCTCTCATCAATGTTCCCAAACATAAAACTTGTCAAGTCGAAATCACCCTGTTGGGCTTCGGAACTGCTGTCGTCATTCATATTTAAACCGGCGCACAACTGACCACCGTTGCGAATTAATTATCTATTTCATAATTTAGAGAAAAATAGTTAACACTTAATACTTAAGTATAACTTACTGTGGAACTCAACAACAACCAACAACTGCACAGAAAAAGATTTAAGGTATAATGTTTATGGCTTAATAGAGATAATATGCTGTAAATAACAAAACAATGATAACGGTACAGTTAGGAAATCTAGAAATGTCAAAAACCAAGCAACTATCATGATTTTTGTGATTCTAGGTAGCACTGTTTGAAAAAAATTATGTGATAACGGTTTAACAGAGGGAAAGTAATAGAAGTACAAAGATATGAAATAAATTAAAATTTTACCGAACATCGATTAACCATCTGCCCATCTCAGAAGTTCAAAAATAATTTAATATTTCCGTCAATTAGTTCGGTAAACGAAAGTTCATAAATATTAATTCATTTTTTTTATATTGCATTTTACTTAAATTGTTAATTCAGTATGGCGCTAAGAACGGATAATATGTATGTGTCCTGCATTAAAATATTTGGTGTTCCAATTGTTCCGCCACTTGTAAGTAGATACATTTTAAATGTTGACTTAATTTTCTCATGCTAAAATAATACATTTTTTAATTAATCTTAATCCTCTATTATCAATTTATCAATGTCTAAATTTTTTCAAAAGACAACTTATAGTAGAGTGAGTATTTTATATTTTCCCTACCTGTGGACCAATTACATTTGTTAAATAGTCTGTTTATAATAATGTCATGTACATACGATGGTGGGTACATAAATACATGATAATATATTATGTTTTAATTGAACTTGATATTTCACTATAAGTTCAGAGTCCTCTTTTTATGTACTCCCCTGCTTACTTAGTATTATTACAAGAATATAATGCATCATAAAATCAGTCTAAAATTTAAATGACTAGCTAAAACTTAATTTTAAATAAAACAATTGATTGAATCCTATTCATAATTAGATTAGATACTAACCAAGTATGACTTAGAAAGTCAATCCAGTATTTGACATACCTTCTTAGTTCTTACTTACCTAGTTGAATCATAATTGTTCATGTAATTCAGTATAGAATAACTGCTACTGATTAAAGTTTCTGTTTAAGGTAGATCAATACTGTAAAAGATTTTAAACTTTCTTAAACAAATTTTATTAAAAAATTACAAGAAGTATATTATGTACTTAAGTTGGGGGATTTAGGTATATCTATAATTATATTTTATAACCTACATTAGATTTAAGAATAGTTTATTACAAATTTACAAATATATTTGTCTAAAGTGCACTTTACTAACGAAATTTTCAAACTTTTTGTTTTCAAAATACTTGTTTTTTATGCTTAAAACAATAGTGTAAAAATAGTATAGTTGCTATTTAACTAGCAGGTCTAATCGAAGACTGAAGAAAGGTTAGATTCATTTGTTAGGTTATACTTCTACCTGAAGGGTTGGTATGCTCTCCCCAAGATCCCGAAAGGGTCCCCTACCCCTCAATCTCTCCACAGGTTGACAAAATTTGCCCTGGGATGTTTGGGATCTAAAATAATCCTACCCAACTTAAGGTTTTGCGACCGGAACTGGTAGCCAACTGGGAAACAGAACTAGGAGCAATTACATGTTATGCTTTAACGTTGCCACAATAGATTAGGTCACTAAGTCAAAATTTCAAGCCCCTAAATCAACACAATTCACAGCAGCGTTATATGCGTTGAGCCCGCTGTGCACAGTACATACTATTTACCATATAACAGCAAAATTTAAAATGACCATAACTTCCAAAATAATAGTTTCCAGTAAACAATTAGTGCACCACCGTTTTAAGCATTTAAAAACAAATCGTTAAAAAAAAATTTGAGAATCATGGGGGGTTGGTAAAGAGCATTTGTTCCATAAATTGTATTATTTGTCTCTCCATGATTATGATTTTGTATATACTCTGTTCAGTAAGATAACACTACAATTCTGTGCATCCCCACTCAATACTCTGCCATTTAGATCACTATGACAGAGTGCTGTGTAAGGATGCGTAAAAGAACCAATATTTGTCAGGTTGCAGTGTTTTCTCTCACTGGATAGAGTATAGGTAAAATACTATTACCTAAATAGTGAATTTTTTTTAAATGTAGATGACAGATCAGAAAAGAAATGAAATGAAAGAATATAAAGAGAAGGCAATGGCTTATGAACATAGATTCAAGGGTAAAAGAATTAGCTTGGATAGTGGAGTAATGACTGCAAGTACAGAAATGCAAAAAATTGAGAACTTCGAATCCCCTACTACTGTGTTAAAAGAAACTGTTTATTGTGACGTAAATAATAGTAACAAAATTACAGTACTTCATGGGATGAAAACTGATGGTTCTATTTCTCCAGAAACACCTACATTAATTTCTGATGAAGATGAGAATAATTTTAATGATAGTTCTTCCAATAAACAACCAATAAATATAAAGTCTTTAAGTGTTGGTTCAACTGAAAACTCTGATGACACTTTGATTCCACAGCAATCATCCAATTGTAATTTAACTGTAAATAATTCAACCATCCTTAATGAAGATAATTTAAATGATAAATCTCTGTATAATGAATCAAGTATTGAATCTATAATTCAAAATTCTTGTGACACTTTGGTTCCGAAACAAGAACCGACTCAACTTTTAACTCTAACTAGTACGACTATCCATGTTGATGGAGATAATATTATATCGACAAAACAAATACCTCGTTTAAGAAGTAATTCATATACTTTATCATCACCAAGTCCTGTGATGGTAGCATTTTTAAATAGCCATGTTCAACAACAATTAATGGAACCAGAAAGTTTAAAAAATAATATTAATTATAGCAAAGAAAGTAAATCTGAGCCAATTAATATTTATACGATCAACGCCTATGATGATAAACTATTGAGCGCTAAAAGTCTCTCACTCAATTCTGTTCCTAAATCATTTCATAAACAAGAACTTATAAACAATTCCATAAAGCCTAGTTTCAATAAATATACAGAAAATATTGCTATTTCTGATCAAAGTCAAGATGAAAGAGGAAGCTTGACTACAGTTGCAACAAATTTTAGTAATGACGAAAGTATTGGAGGAAGTGTGATAACTGTTTTCAATGGTAATAGTTTTGATAACAATAGCAGTCCCAATTCAACAACATGCAAGTCTATGAAACATTGTTGTTGCCGACATAGCGATGATGAATATTCTTTAAGCAGCAGCAACATACATTACAAAACTCTCGAAGAGTTAAACCTAGAAGCTGAACAATTACGCATAGCAAAGTTGGATATTGAAAGAAGACATCAAGAAGAATTGTCTAATTTAATAAGAAAACAAAGAGAAGAGCAAGAGAAAATTGCAGTTAGGTACTATTTAGTATCGCAAAGTACATCTGGAATGTCTTTTGATGGATCTGAATGTTCAGAATCTATATCGAAACAAATGTCATCAAGTTCTCCATCAATTCAATCTGGAATTACAGTCACTAATGACAAAAGCATATTATCTGATACGTCATCAATTATTTCTAGTTGTTCAGTTAATAAAAGTTTGGTTTGCTCGTCTCCAAGACAAAGAATATCACCCCGCTCTCCAAATTTGCAGCAAAATAATATTAAATTCTATCATAGAATACGTAGTGGATTAACAGGAAAATGGACAAGAGCTCCCACTGAAGTCGAAAACTCTGCGGCAACTATTATAAACGCCGGTGTTAGAGGTTATCTGACCAGAAGACTATTGCGTACTGAAAAGGCTCAATTGTTTAAAAAGACTATTTTAGATTCATTGAAGACAGCTCTGATAATGCATATGGAATTGAAGAAGCAACAACCTACTGAATCTGATCTTGAACTCCATCGAAGAATCATTAATCAGGTAACTATATTAGATTTTAAGTTTTTTAAATTTAATTTCTGTAATATTAATTATTTATTTAATTTTTAATTATTAGCTTACTACTGCCTGCTATGATTTGAATGATTTGATTTTGGGATCTGTACATGAAAGAATGACTGTAATTAGAGGCGATCGTGATCGATTGATGGCTGTAAAAATGCGACGTAAATCAAGTTCAGCATTGGGGATTAACAAACAGTCTCCGATATTGAATCAGTGTGTTTTTTTCATATTTTTACTGTACAAAATTAATTGATCCATAATCTAAATATTTTTTTTTATTTATAGACCAAAGAAATCTAGATCGGGATATTCATTGTCGAAAAAAGCGTCTGGCCATTATACTGAAAAGAGTTCCTACAAAAAATATTAATATTATTTTAGTAAAAGAATTATATATGTATTTACAATATTTTAAATTTTTAGTTTTTTTTAGCTATGTTGCTAAAAACCACTGTTTTTGTTTTTAGCACAATAATAATTTTATGAAAAGTTCTCATTAGTTTTAAGATTTTTACCAAAGATGCCGTCCCAATTTCGGTTGTTGTATACATATAAGAAAACCAATTATTCTAATTATTATGTTATTTTAACACTTACAAGCACTTTTTTTTTATATTTTGTATTTAAATTTATAAGTTAACAAATTATATTTATGTTTAAGTGAAAAATAAAACACTGAATGGAGAGGTATTATTATAAAATACTATAAATGAATATATATATTTTTCTCAATTTACTGATTAAAAGTTAAAGTCCTTAAAAATCTTTAATTCGATATTTAGAGCTCTGAGCAAGAATAGTTTTTGAGTTTATCTCCAAAGCTTGTTTATGGATAGACTATAGTTGTATAATTTAATATATTTGTCACCTAACAGTAAGATGTTCTAATTTAATTTAAAAAAGTGTTGGTAAATATGTGTCATAATATGAGTGTTTATAGTTAGTTGTTGAATTAATACAGGGCACTATATTAATTGTTTTCATTCTAAACATTCAATGCTAACACTTTATGTTATTCACGCAATATTAATGAATTAGATTGTTACAAGATATTTATTTTTAAAAAGAGTTACCTATTTGCTGATGATATTAGTTTTTAAATTGTAACTTTTGGATATTAAGTTTACAAATTTCAACTCAAATTTATAACTTGCCATATTATATCCTAACTACTATGGATATCTATAAAACTTAAATAATTTGTATAAATTACTTTTAAAGTTAAAATTTGATGAGTTGGGTGAGTGCTGACACAAGCTTAAATAACAGGCGACCCAACCTAAATTTTGACATAGAGCTTCTCCCTATGCCTGTCGTCTCTGGTTGTCTAACTCAAAGTCTTGTGAACCTTTCATAACATTGCCATTTAAAATAACAAAAGTTCACTCTTTTTGCCTATCGCCCTATTGACTTCAGTCTCAAAACTTGGCTTTAATCAAAAAATAATTTGATATTCAAGTCCATATTAAAACATAATATGTACAGGTCTAAATTAAAAATTATTTTCAAGCCATTATTGAAAGTTTAAGTAATGAATTGTTTATCACGTTTTGAGTGAAACCTTGGTTATATATAGAGTCAGTACTATTATATTGGTACAGAATAGATGAGAGTTATGTGATAATAGCACTATTAGTTTGTGTTTCTACTGAGTCTGAGTGTGGAACTCAAGAAAATTAGGTAAAATAGAGTAGGTACCGTGGACCATGGTATTGACGAACAGCTCATATTATAAGTCATATACTCATATCTAACCATAAGTCATTCACGATGTTCATATTATTAATATATATTTCGATTGATGAATTGAGTTATGACCTCATGGTCCGTTTATGAGTATATTAAGGGCTATGGTTATAACAATATTATCAAGGGCTATGGTTATGACAATATTATTTACTAATGAACTTATGTAATTTATGTTCGAAACAAATACCACAGTAATTATTGACCCATTGCTCAGCTAAGAGCAAATATTATAATATTAATTAGAGTTTTAATACATTTAACTGTTTAAGATACTTTAAGTGCAGAAAATGAACGTTCGCTACTATTATTCGCTCATACTGCTTGGTATATTGACTCTGACAAGTACATTTGTATTATAGTGTCTTCGTTGGGGGAATGTATAACAGATATTCATAACTCTAATAAACTTCAAATAATAACTAGTCTCATATTATTATGTTTTTCTTGATACGGAAATTAAAAATGGGAAGAAGACCCTAAGAATTTGAGGGCCCAGTGCTTGTGATCAATTATTCAATAAAATATATTATATTAGTATTAGTCAAAATATTTTGAAATGTATAGAAAATGGTGAAATAAACATTTGGTGAAAATTTCAAGTAGGTAGTAGGTATTTACGGTTATCCATACTTTTCAAGACTTACTATAGAGAATTTTTTACACTTGAACACCAAAAGCATCAACCAGAATCTTTTTTCTACCAGAAATGATGCATTTTTCTATAATTAAGGTATGTCTCCAAAGTCCAGACACTAAAAAATAATACTACTGAATAGTACGTAGTAGGTACTATGTAAGTTATTTTTTTGTTTCATTTCGAGCTTTTACTTCAAATTTCCCACCAAAAACCACCATCATATTTGAGGATTGAAGGAATTTTTCAAACTTGTCATTAGTCATCACTCATCAGACTTACACACACAAAAAGCACATATCTAGGTAATTGTAAAACCAATACCTACATTTATTTTTCCAACCAGAGTCTAAAACATCGTTTATTCTTTTTTTTATTATTGTTGTACCTAACAGTAATAAGTATACAAGTATTATGCATAAATAACAAAAAGTCACAAAGTATAGAACAAATTATTATTTAAATTTTCATTTTATAGTATCATTGATTTGTGATGAATGATTTTTTGAATCACTTTGAATTATGGTTGTTTGATTTATACGATACTTATCAAATATATTAGATAATTTCATCATAGACGTTTATTATTTATAGTGTTCTTTATAAAAAATGTATTTATCTGAAAAGTGTTGATGAAATATATCCATATGTATAGCGTAATTAATATTATTCTTGAGCGACCTATTGAGGATGTCCCGTGAGGATATACCTTGTAGCCGTAGAGGGGGATTCGCCACATTCGCAAAAACCGTTATTCGCTGTTTCACCTGTAAACTAAAAAAATGATTAAAAATCATGAAATTAATGAAAAAAAAATGTTGAAAGGTCAACATTTTCAGAAAAATAAACTCTACACAATGGACATCATCAATTGTTTCAAAAATAAAAAAAATGAAAAAATGAATTTTTTTATACCAAAAAATAAAATAAAATAATATGTAGTTATTGTCTCTGTCAGTCTAATCAAAAATAGATCTATCGTTTATTTATTATCCTGAGAGATATCTCAGTGGATAAATCTTGGCGGGACACATTTATATAACAAATATATATTTTAAAAAAAAATCATCGGCTGGTATAATTTCTACAGCACCAGACATTTGTGTTAATAAATTCATCTATGCTGTACACCAGAGGTGGTCAAACAGTCAATCTCGGACGATTTTAAAATTGATCTTATTTGTTAGAACTTATTATTATATATTTACTACATACATACTTAGTTACATAGGTGTCTATTTCGGATTAACCGGTTTGTGTGAAATGGCATTTTCTCACATGAAAGTTTTAAAAGCTGAATGCAGAGCTACACTTTAAGTACAATTTATGCCATTTATTGTAGAAGTGTAGAACTTACGTATAACAGATTAAGTATATATTTACAGCGTTTATGACAATGACATCATATACATCATGATTTGTACAGTTACGTTCTCTTCGTTCATAAAAACCATTTAATTATACGTTCGATATAAATTTTTCAGCTTTAATGAATAGGACATCAAGGAGTCGATACTAGCTATAGAAATTATTTTATTTTATAATAACTCAGCTTAATACTTAGTAAATTTTATTTAAGGTGCTTCTATTTCAAACACAATCATTGAATATTTAAATCACGCATAGCCATTAGGTTAGCATATAAATCTTTGCACAACATACTGTGCATACATATATTTTTTTCCACTCTCGAGCCCGTTGCCCCTGAAATAAGCTCGCGGTGCACAGGTTGGGAACCGCTGCTCTAGATCAACATTATGTAAAAATAATTTAAATAATATCATGGTAAAAAAAAAATGTTGGAAATTAGATGGAAGATACATTTTTTTGTCGAGATTTTGCTGTAGGTATACTTGAATTGTTTTCACAATTATTTTTGATTATAAAGTATGGAGTATTGCCATATACATTGTATTATTATTTGACATTTGTACTTATAAAATATATTGCTGTACATATATAAGTATTTTACATTACAAAACTATAGTCTTTAACACACAATTTTGACAATATTGTTATATTTGATATTGGTTTTTTTATTGTAGAAATTTGTTTTAATTTCGTAACTATGTACGGATTTACTCGTATTATGGATAACATGATTGAAAATTTTTACCGCGTCCATGTGGACCTAGCCTAATCAAGTTCCACATATATATTATATTTTAGAGGGGTTCATATTTTACAGCACGGCGACCTGTGGGTTTCCATAGTGATATGCGCAGCCATAACTTTTTGTCCGTCTAACTATATGTTTAATTTGCGTGTAGATATGAATTGTTCCAAGTAAAATTCTACAATCTGTGTATATAAAATCGCTGCTCATTGGCATGTACAAAATCGAAATAATTAATACAATTAAGATTAAACATAATATTATTCATAGAGAGTGTGCACCTGGCGAGGTCCAAAATCCACCGCAGGTGGATAGCCTACCTGATAATATTCTGCTCACATTATCACAAGCGAGTCTCATATATAGTCGGCATTTTTAAAGGGCAACGAAGTGCAAGAAGCCGGGTAATTCAGCTAATTAAACTAAAAAAAATTAATAATTTGTATATTTTAATACAGTTATAGGTACCTACTTAACATATTATTTTTAAATTGAACTAAAAAATCTAAGATATCTATTTATACATAGAGGAGACCGCCCCTATTCACTTATCAACGCCCAGACCAAACCGCTGGATCTAGAGATTTGAAATTTTGTACAGAAGTTCTTTAAGTAATGCGATGTAGAGGCACACTAAGAAAGGATTTTTTAAAATTCGACCTCTACGAGGGTAAAAGGGGTGTTTTTTTATATAGCTATATAATACATGGGCAACGCCGTGATGGGACAGCTATTATATATAAATGGACCATGGACCATGGAGAAGTAGTTTGTTTAGTATTTCAGTCAATATGATATTATGTACACTGCAACTATCAACATTTCTTTCGTGCATTTTAATTTTAATTTTATTGTTTTCAGTTTAAACTTTAAACATAAATTTAAAGCTTTATTTGATATATTATTCTTATATATTAAATATAATAAATGATTTTTATTTTTCATAGTTGTCTAATATATATTTTATACATTATGTATTATAATACATTAATACATATATATGTATGTAGGATCATTATAATGTGTATACATATTTCTTATAATTTAAATTTATGTTTCCTACTGTGTGGATTTGCCTCACACTGACACTGAACATTGAACAAGACATGGGGCACCCAGCTTCACCTATCTACATCAAGAACATATTTTCAAACTATTCGGCTACCAACTTCACCAATTCAAATGGATTTACCTGTAGATCAACGCTGTTGCACCTAACCTGCAGGTTGCCTAAATTTAAATAAATTTACTGACCACTTACACGAGACTACCTAATGTTAGTTTTCATTCCTACACTTCCCGTCACCTTCGCACATACAGGGTGGTTATTAGAAACCTTCACTTTTCCACCTTAAGTAATGACATTGTTTATCGACATTAGTTTAAAAAAAAACAAATAATAATTGAAAATTGCATATGCCAATAAATAGTTTAACACGAGTCAAAATATTTTGTTTAGAAAACATGGATATATAAACATTCTGTGAACATTTCATATATTTATGATATATTTTTTTAGAGTTACATCAAAAACTAAAATCGATTTTGTCGAAAACCGAGTTTCGGACAAATTCCCGGTTTTTTGTTTTGTTTGTTTTCCTGCCGCTTTTGAAAACTATTGGGAATTTTTTACCTTTGACCCACCCAAAAAAATGAACTATACTCACTTTCCTACCAGAAAAGCTGTTGAAGAAAATCGAAGCAGTTTATTTACTGTACCAAAACGTGATGACTGACAAAAAAAGATAAAAAAATTAAGAACACACATAATTGTAAAATCAATACATTTATCGCTCCGCTCAGAATCTAATAAAATATAACTGTATATAATAAGTTACATATACAGTTGTGTACATATATATTTTTGATATATTTGACATTATTTGAATTTTGAATTCTTTATTTCTATTTCACTACCCCAAATATCCATGCAAGTTTCGGTATTGATTGTTTTTGTTTAACCTATTGGTGTATCCAACACGCAACCCAGACCATTTGATTTTTTGTGATTTTAAACAACACTCACGCCATATCATTTTTGTACAATTAGGTACTAGAGCTTATTGATTTTTTCGACCAACATAATACCTACGGTGCCTGTACAAAAAATAAACATTAAATAAACTGTATTATTTTTTCTTCACATTTTTAATTTGAAATCAATACAATCTGTTATACAATAGGTATTACGTGTTACAACAAGACGTTGTGTTCAGTGTTATATGGGTAGTTTGGTGTGTGTGAAGTTTGTGTCCAGTGACACCACTTCAGGAAATCAAAAAAATGGTAACGATAATTATTAATACTCCCTTGAAAATACAAATAACGGACTGTGCATATCATGTAATATTCATACGTACAGGCTTACAGCTCGGTATAGGCAAAGTAGGATATTCTTAATGGGAAACACGCATCATCTCGAAAATCCTACAACTCATTAGGTTCGATACATGAAATTTGATTTTTATGATACTCAGAAAAATGCTCTGCTTAGGAATATAATATTGTTAAAAAATAATTATTATTAATTTTAGTAATTTACTCATCACTAATTTTTCACTTACAAATAAATCATGTTCTTATCAAGCCAGCTGATGAATCCATACATAAACGGTTTACCCTCACTCTCTCCTACCGAAAACATCGTAAATATATGTTGTCAGCTTTCTAGCTCATATAGTCTCCATTCTCTGTACGACTGTGCGTTCCCAAATGTTCAGTCAACACTGAACACCACCCTTCAAGTCTGCCTACTCTCTTGCCAACCCTATTGTCGTGTGTGAATGCGTTCTCTAGAACCCCTACATGATTGAAAACGGTTTTGAGTAGATTGTCTATCAGGTTATATTACTACATAAGCATATTTTATTATATTTTTATATTGCTACTAGTAATTTATTTTACTATTAATAATACGGTAGATTAAATATAAATATTTACCAAAAATGATGCATTTAATGCATTCTTAATAAATAATATATTATTATTATAATAATACATATGTCCTATATATTTATATAATATATTATTGTTATTAATTTTTAAATTAAAACTTACTTTAAGTCAGTGGCTTACCACAGAAAGGTGTGAATAAATTTGTGGTATAAATACTAAATAGGCTATACCTCGAAATTAATCTAAATATTTTGTAAATACCATGGTGAACAGTAAAATATAACAATATCGTAATATTAATCCTGTTTAAGGTAAGTACCTACAATGTTCATGTTATATTATACGTATGGGCGTATGCCTACTGCCTAGAAATGTATTTCCTCGTGTCTAGACAGGTAGGTAGGTAGATACCTAATCTAAACCATAAGTAGGTATAAAATATAACACGCATGCGGAAGTTGTACTATTGCGATGAAATTGAAATATTGAATTAATATCGTTCCGTGTAATATAATATGTGTATAAAAGTAAAAAACACGCGTTATATTAATATTTATGCATTTTGTAGGTACTATTTCATTGCATAATAGCATATAAGTACTGCAGTTGCATTGACGCTTACAACAATTCTTATATTACTCACATAAGCCATACCTATGACGATGACGTATGTGTATTTGTATAAAATATAATGCATAGGTAGGGACAAGGTACCACCGTTACTATTGATTATTTTACTCCCTGGCAAATGAATAAATTAATTATTATGAATTAATGTATACTTGTATAATGCTGACGTAAACAGGGTGTGATCCATTAAACAACGATATACACTTGCCTTCCAAGTTAGTTCTTGGGATTAGGAAATAAACTTTATTCACTGTTATACTGCCTGCCACTTGTACAAAACAGTAACTAATATTTTTCCATTTTATTTCATAGTGATATTTTAGGTTTTTAATCGGGGGATTTTTCATTTGAAAAAAATTGTCTGACTTACAAATAATAACAACTAATAAAACTTATGTTTTTTTTTTTTTATTATTATTAATAAATAAATAAGCATTTAGGTATAATTTAGACAAGGAGAGTGCACCACAACACTCGCTGGGCACTGCCCTTTGTTATATCACTCAATACACTCATCTAAGTTTTAAACGGTTAAATATAGTATATTGTGTAAACACTGTTGGTTCGACATTCGATGTCTGTCATACGCATTATTAGATGTCTTAGAAAAGTGTATTATCTGGTCCCAATTATTTAAAAGAAAAATCAAACAATTATATAGAAGTTAAAAATAGTAAAATTATACAGAATAGAAGTGGAAATAATTGTCCTTGGATAAATGAAAAAAATGTAAGTAGGAAGGTGTAATAGGCATAGGGCGTTTTATTAATAGACCGGCCCTATTCACCGTGTCAAAATAGGTAGCGCTTTTCGGTTACTGAATTACCCTGATACAGTACGCAATAGTATATCGTGTGGCTACAGAAGTGAACTACAGTAAAACCTCTAGATAACGGACACTCACAGGGCCGACAAAATTGTCCGCTGTTGGGAAAAATTAATAAAACAATATTTATGTTTTTATGTATTTATGTCTGAAAATTTAAATTTGATTGACTTTTTAAAAAATATCTTACTTTAGGTTTATCATAACATGATTTATTAAAATTATTTGGATGAAACAAAATATATTATACAAATAATTACTAATTGAAAAAAAAATCTGAAATTTTAGTTTGTTTTTTTTTCTTGTATTGCAATTTCCTCAAAATTAGACTGGAGTTGGTATTGATAATGAAACTGCATAACAATATCATATATAATAATATTGTCCTAGTACATATTGTATTGTATACACAATAAGTTCGTATTTTTTGGATAGCTGTCCGTTATTTAGATATATTTAAACGCTTCTGACTACCTAAACCTGTCCGCGTCCGTCATTCAGAGGTGTCGGCTATTTAGAGGAGCATTATTCATTATTTTCAACGGGACTATGTCGGGACCGGAAATTTTGTCCGTTATTGAGAAGTGTCCGCTAATTAGAGGTGTCCGTTAAGAGAGGTTTCATTGTATTTCAGTCGCGGTCGTCTTTTGTTCAAAACTGAATTTACCTTCCCGCTCGAGCCACACAAACTATTTTTTTGTCACGCCTTCGCGTTTATCGAACACGGCAAAGGTAATGCGTGAATCTATGCAACAACCATACTATTTTACGAAAACATTTCACAGAAGAAACATGCAAGGAGGTATAATATGAATAAAAGATGTAACCAAAAGTTTATGTTTTGCAATGACCGTGGTATAGATTTCAGCGTCTGGTTGTGCAGGAGATACGTACAGCGCCTTTGGGGATTTCCACTTTGTCACCTGCTGGATGGAAAAAGGTCGCTTTCCAACGGTTCAACCGTCATCAAAAACTAAACCTCGGGCACAGGGGTGACAAAAAATATACATACATTGACACAATAAATTTATACTAAACGGGCTGCATCACTGTGCCGTGAGGCACGTGACTCGCAATTTATTTGGTATTATAGGATGGGCCAGTCTATATGAGTAAAAGGCCTATGGTAATATTGATATATTTCGTATCGCGCGGCGGTCGACAATATAATATATGTTGCAGCGGATTTGGGGAATGCATCATGAATGCAGCACGCGCATTCGAAGGTCAGGACGATGGTGCAGTTTCGCAGCGTGGCTCGTCGGTGTCGCGTCAACAGCGCTTGCAGCGGTCGGCTTGGAAAAAGTACCTCAGGCTCTTGAAGTACAGCGAATTGACGGCGACGAGGATCTTGTCCCACTTGCCCAGCGACGCTCTCCGCGGGTACGTCGGGCTTGCCTCCACAGCGCAGGCCACTCCCCGGTAGATGTCGGTGGCCACCAGCACGGGCCCGCGTACCTCGTACGGCAGGTACCGGATGCCCTCCAGCGACTCCAGCTGGTACTGGTTGGCCAGCCTGATCATGCGCGTGGCGTACGTTTTCAGCTTCTTGGATCCCAGAGTCCACGGGTCCCTGTCGGCGCACAGGGTGTTCACGTCCGCGGCCGCGTCGTCCATGTACTCGGCGGGCACGTAACACCGACCCAGCGTCTCGCTGTCGGTAACGATGTCCCGGGAGATGTTGACGATCTGCAGCACCTGTGGCACATAAATAAGCACAGATGATATAGTATAGTGTGTGCATAAGGCGTACATTTAGTAAAAATATGGGGGGGGGGGGGGTAGAAATATCAATTAACGAGTATTAACATAATATAATAATATGTATTTACGAGGTTAAATTATGAATTCCTTTTTTTTTTGGAGGGAGGAGGGTTAAGCCTTCCTCCGCAATTTACGTCTATTAGCGTGCGAAGATGCTAGTGTGAAATTGACGAAAAAATTGAATGCTCGGAATACGAGTACACTGTATTAGTTGACGAACAACTGTAATAGAACTATTTCGAATACCAATATTTACTCTCTCTTTTTTTCTACGATAGTTGATGTAAAAATATTACGTCGATTGTCGAGTCATTTTTTAAAACTTATTTCTTTAAAAAAGTATGTGTTCTTTATTGCCTTCAGTTATATTTCAATATTTGTATAATATATATTATAATTTATAATAAAATATTATGTATATTGGTTTTTAGTGAAGTTCATATAATGTATATTCCATACGGTAAACTACTCATATTTATAATAATTCAATAGGTACAGTAATTTTAAAGAGTTTAACAGTTTATACATTTTTTTAAGTTTGGCGCAAAAAGTTGACTATTATTGTCTACTTTTCAGTATCATAACTACATATTTTGTGTCCAAGGGTCCAAAAAAATATACACGGAAAGAACGAAATACGCAATTTAAATTTTAGTGTTTAAACTTGTTATTGTAAGAAATGATTTTTAGCTTGGTCTTCTATAAATCTAGACCAAATAAAAAATATTCAAATCTTACAACTTTTGAGCATTGCATATTAAACACAGGGTGATTTACCAGGCACGCTCACCCCTTTTTACTACAATACTGCATTATTACATTAAATCTATTTTTAAAGTAGGTATACAGAAAGATCATATTTTCAAAGTTTTGAGATTTTTTGTACTTATTTAATCCCGTGAAGTTAAAATCTTATGTTTGTAAAATGATAACCCTGCTTTTCTACTGTACAATTATTCTTATTATAAACATTTTGATTTTAATAACTACAAAACTACTTTTTCAGATTTTGAATTAGGTTGGCTCATCAACATTTTCAAAAAAAAATAATCCGTAAGATAGTGTAGGTACAGTTAAAAAAGGGTTCTCATTTGAAAAACAGAAGTTTGATCACCACATGGCACTTCTTAAGTTGTATAAAATAAAACTCAAGAATTTGAAAATATAGTCCTTAGGTGAGTAATCGAAAATCCAAAAATAAGAATTAAATAGATTCATTGTTAAAGAATAATGGGTGAGAGCATGCTTGGAGAATAAATTATTCTGTGTACTCGTATATACAAACACGTAATATTTGCCATGTGCTCTCTCACCTGTCCCATCTGTTGTGCTTTTTTGATAACGAAATTGTGTCTTTCATCGTCGTCGATCTTTGCACCACTTTTGTATACCATGACGTACACGCACAGCGTGCCCACACTGCCGGCCACGTAACTCGAGTATAATAGCAGGTCGGTCTCGTTCCGGACCGTTTTTTCTTCCACATCCCATCGGTAGCCGTCGAGTAGCTCGTAAAACGGTTTCCGGGGCAGGTAAAACGATATCCGCGATATGGCCCGGAAGCACGAAAGCTCCTCGTCGGTTAGGTCTAGGCGGTAACGTTTCCAGTTTATTTCTGGTTTCCGTGGTGTCGTCGGCGTCTTCACGTCGTAGTCTCCTGTTCTATCCGCGAACAGTTCACCGATAAACTCTTCAATCAGCATGAGTTTCTGCTTCTTGACGCCGACGTTCGGCTCGCTATCGATCATGTCGTCCGTCACTCGACAAAACGCGTATAGTATGATCAAATGCAAACGGACTCCTGCAAGACCGACAATCAGTGCTCGAATTATTGGAAAATTAAAAGAAAGGATTCTTTCAGATTTATATAATATTTATTTAGGAAATTCATTAGTTAAAGGGCAATTTGCTTTTGAAAAATAATCTATGTATAATATACTTATTAGACATTTATTATTTACCATTAAAAATTAAACGGCTAATAAAGTGATGGTATGAGGCCATAACTATAATACATATCAATGCATCTCACATCTCTCGAATAATACAGTATATCATATTATTAATATATAATTATTCATATTTATGTGAGATACAATTAATATTCACATTTTGGGGATCAGCTCTCGCAGTTTTGATATCGACAACATGTATGTATGTGTATACACTACACAGTAAAAATGATATTTTACCTGCTGGAAAAACGAGACTGGCCGCGTTGAACGATTTGGAAGCCCTTTTAAGCACATTTAAACACTGCCTGATGTCGTCGACCGGACCCCGTGACATGTCGCATTCGGCCGTCACGAAAGGTAGCATTTGTTGACTGTAGTATTTCAAACTTGGCCTACAAAGGAGTGGAAATTCGAACGTGTACGTGTCCGCAAGCCCGTAGGACTTGTCGAAAGCCATGCTGCCCAGGACGATTATCACGTTGGTGATCAGGAAGAACAGACATTCCTCGAACGGCAAATCATCGGCGATGAATATGTTCAACGAGGTTTTCTCGTTGATGTGCCATACGTCGTCTTTGAGCGCTATACGATCGACCCAACACAGGTACAAAGTGGGAACAATAACCGCGATCGCTGTCGATGTCGACTTTTTAACAAAGTAATTACCGGCACCGTACCATAGGAACATTATGACCGGGCACGACCACCACATGATGCAGCCCAAATAGAACGTGTTTTTGCCCGGTGTAGCTATGTTGTAGCCCTGAATTGTCGCCAAAGCTAAGATTAATATCGGTATCCAACGGATTAGTGTGTAGCTTGTCTTATTGAAATTAAAATTAAAACAAGCCGGAGACCACCTGGTACAAATCAAGGCCCACAGTGATGTCATAAGGGTTTGAATGACGAAAAACATGTACTCTTCGACGGGCACATATCCTATGACGGCAAGAATGTTTTTGGGCTTGTACATCCAGGCGTTGTGGAAGATTATATAATTGTCCCACGGTGTCGTGTACACAAACGCCATCATGCAGACGAATCCGATTTTGACTACTTCGAAGCGACTTATAAACGGCCATGTTATCAAAGCCAATACTGCGACGACTGGCAGGGTGTAAATAAAATGCACGTCTAGGTAAGTCAACATTTTTAGTCTAGGTGTTTGGTGAAACTAAAAAAATTATAAAAAAAAATTGTTAGTTATAATAGCAGTTAACATATTATACAAATATAAGAATGAAGATTATGTATTATATAATAGTAAACTAGTAAACATTTCTTTAAAATAAAATATAAGTAGGTATAACATTCTAAGTTTGAATTATTATTATATTAGATAAAAAATCGTTAACTGCTGAAGTTAAAATCAAATACCTAATACTATTATTTTAAGAAAAAATGCTATACATCTATAATAGTATCCTTCTTTCTCTCTCCAATTTCGATAAATTGGAAAATTTAATTTGTACTCTTTATTAACGTTTAATTTTTTTTTTTTTTTTGTACATTGAGTTCTGTGTCAATATTATATTCAAGATGTAGTGGATGTGTTGATAGTAATAATAATAATTTTTTACTAAAGAAATTATTCCAATAACAATATTTATAATGTGAGAGTTTATGTGAAATGAAAACAATATTATAATAACATACATAATTATAACAGTTAAAATCATTTAACTTAAAACTAAAACTATAAACAATAAAAACTGATATTGGGAAATTCTATTCAAATGCCAAACTAAAGAGTCATATTCAAGTTATTGGATCGTACTAGAGAGCCATACAAAACGTTTAAGCCTGGTTCATTATTAAAATCTGTACACTTTCGTTTTATTAAACCTAATTTAAAATTCGATTTATTTTTTATGCTATCAACATGATATTTAAAAATAGTTTGAAGTTAATAATAACACTTAAATCATTTATTATATTTTTACAGGTTTATATTTCCACTTCCATTTTTTAGTGCATACAAATCCGTGTTCTAGACTAATTAAATTACCTACTGCATGTGAGTAGGCTCTCGCATATTTTTCCTATATCCAATCTATATTTTATGTTATATAATACATATGAAACAAAACATAGTATACCTATTATAATATGTAGTATCATAATTATGATCGTCTTACATAATAGTATATTCTATTTTATTATTTATTTATAAATAATTATTCAACATTCGCTGTGTTTTCAAACTTTTAACCTTTGCCTACCTTTTTTAACCTTATTCACTAAAATGTATCTTAACTATAAAATTAACAAATGTTGCGCACAAGGAAATATTTATTAGTTGCATAATATTTATATATTCACACACAATTGATACACCTTATAAGTTATAATTACACATATTAAATTCTAAGTGGCGTGATAAATGAATTGATTTTACAATATTGTGTTTTTTTTTTTAATAATGGGTATGTGATAAGTAGTCGAAATAATGCTTTGGTTTTTAACTTTGGTGATGATTTCTGATACCAAAATTATTGAATCTAGTTAGTACTTTTGAGGGGTAAAAATATAAAATTCCTAAATAGCGTCGAGAAATAAAAAATGTGGTCAAGCGTGGGTATGGCTCTTCGTTGAGTGGATCTATAATAATGGACTCGTTAAATTGAAATTCACCGATGTAATAATATAATAGTATACACCAAACGGTTCTGAGCGGAGACCGTCGTCTATCAGCACGCATTATTACTAAGTTTATTTTATGAGATATTATTGCTTTTAAATTAATTTGTTTTCCTATACATTTTATGGTATTTATTTTAGTTTTTTTGGCTACAGAAACATTTTCAAATTGTACACAAGATTTACACTTTACAGTGCTCAATGATGTGGTACACAATCGACACCTAACATATAACAGAGCGACTTCCCCGGCTCTTTTATTTAAGTCATGTAAAAAAATATTATATTTTAAATATTTTGAAATTATAAAAATAATATTCTACTTTAGAATATGAATAAAAAAATTTTACCTAAAAAGTAAAAAAGGATAAAATTTTTTTTTTCAAAAATGTGGTTATTTTTAATGAATTGAATTACCATAAAATGTGAAAAAAAAGTTTCATACTTCGATAAAATATGTATTTAACTTAAAAAAATACTTTTGAAAAGTATAATTATCCTTGAAATTATATTAATATTTGCTCATTGAACTAGATTAGAGCATCTCATATGATATTTAATATAGAAATTATCTCAAATCAATTAAATATATATTAGGTATAAAAGTCGATTATTGATGTTTGTTATGTAATTGTATTATCATAATTACCTACATAATTTAATTTAGTCTATAATCTGTAATATTAGGTACATAGTCTATCATTTAGTTCAGACTATAATCTGTATAAAGAATATTTGGTAATAATTACTTATAATTAATAATTTGTATTTAGTAAAACCTTCATAAAAGTGAATTTCGAGGTTTTTTTTTATATTAAAGACTGATTGTTGATTAATAATATAATCTAATTTCGATCAAAGACTTTTGGGACTTATTGTAGCTTATGTACATATTCATCGTAAAGGTTTTGACGTTCTTCCTTTTGTTCTTGTTTTTTTATTTTGTTTTAGGAATGGACAACATCAATAAGTTTCATATATAAGACTGGAAAGTTATGAATTATGATAAATGATAACAATTATTCTCCATGTATAATTTTCAATTTTATGTCATGTTATTTAATTTCCATTATTGACCAGATGGGTCTGGGGTCCAGGTTATGTATGTAGTACAGTAGTAAGTTTTAAGTTTTATTTTTCACTCAGGTAGTCTCATTTTAATTAAAAGATGTTATCATTATTGAAGTAAAATATGGTCACAATGAACAAAAGATTAACGAATAACCGGTATATTAATTTTAGCCTAAATTAGTTAAATGATTAACTTACTATAGTAGACCAGGAAAAATTCATAGAAAATTAAAACTACCAAATTCACTATATCATTTTATTTTTAAAATATTATAGCTACCTACACCTACAAATAATTTGTAAAATTGAAATGTTGATATTTTACATTTTTGTTACATGACATAAAGTTGCTAAGCTTTTTGACGAAAAACAACTATTTTATCAACATAAATGATAAATATATCATGTCTAAAAATAGATCGAAAAGAGGAAAAATATTAATTTTTATACCGGCATTTCCATATGATTCTAAAGTATGAGAATTAAGTACAACGTTACAGTCTCTATACGATTATTTCTTTTTTCCATTTTACTAAGTAAAACAATTAAATCGATTTATTCGAAAACTGGTGTTACTTAAATACTACCATCTTCCCTTATTTTCTTCAATTATTAAAAATAGTAAGTACCGACAAATTGTATCCTCTCCCTCTCCCCCCATCAATAGTGCCAACTAGATCAAATTTTCCGTCAGAAATTCACTACAATGTTGAAGATACTCAATGATTCGATTCGATTCTAAACATGAAACGAAACACACTCTAATTTTCCTTTCCAAAAAAACCAATAGATTTCTCGCTATGCTCAGGATCATAACAAATAAAAAAATCATTTATTGCAGCTTTAACAAAATTATTAATTCGTATTTTTATATACCTACTTCATAACAAAAATAAATGGATGGAAACAGTAAATACTAAATACACTGATAAAATTTGTTCGTGATTGTTTTAAAATTAGTGTTCATTAAAGGTAATATACTTATTTTATACATTCTTGATAAATGTGAATAAATTATGTAACACAGGTGGTTAGGTCACTCGATTATATAGAGATCATGTTTTCCTTAATTTGTTTTTGTGTTTTTGTTTATCTGCAGTTTGGAAATTTAAATTTTGACCACAAAAAAGTATCAATTACTTTGATTATTTTTTTACCATAAAAGATAGTGAAGAAAACTTGAAGCATTTTCACTACTCAAAAAGCCAAAATGAGATGAGAGAATAAAAAAAAATCATCATTGTAAAATCAATACATCCATCGATCTGCTAAATCAATGAAGTTATTGATCAATACTCAATTGTGAATATTCCATTCAAATGGACACACCTATTTATTTAATGTAATTTATTTCCATTCTACATAATCATTTCAACTAAATTTAATTTTTTTACGATTTAATTAAACTATATTAGGCACCCATACTGGAATTTTAAAGTGAAATTGTATAGAATGAAATGTACGGAAAATAAGTAATCACATTATGTAATATATTGTTATGCAGCAATGACGTAATGATTAACAACCGATTAATAGTACGAAAAGTATAATTTTAATCATTTTTAAAATAAGTTACCTTCCTTAGTTCCTTAGTCATTGATTTATGAACTATACATGTATAGTTTGTGTACACGTATTACTATATAATATGTAAGAGGAATTTTGATTTTTTAGTTTCTCACCTACAAATTGTAATTTTTCAAGGTATTTTAATATACCCTATAAGTACTTCATACAGAATATATTATTAATATATATTCAAATATAAATATCTGATAAATTATTTACCAACAATTCAGTATGCTAGAATTTTTGGAGATCATTTTAGATTAAGTTGTGTTTTTATTCAAAATCCACAACATTTATAAAATATTCGAGTGTATATTATAATATACTCAAATAATTTAATTATATACATATTAAGTATTAACTTATGTCAAACAATAAAGAGGAAAATAATATGACCTAAAAAATTATATGGCATAAAAATAATGACGCTAAAGGTATATATTGTTATGTATTGGAAATTGTATATAACTTTCAAACAAATTCTCAATGAATTAATAAATAAGTAAAATTATATGTATGTACTTATATATCAATGTAATATATTTATGTATTATACAATAGTTTTAGGTTTCTAAATAAATGTTTAGAATACCTTATACCAATCCCCGTAGTGTCCGTCAGTACGGCTGTTATAGTTATAATACTTACAATTTACATAGTTGTATTAGGTACTCAGTACTATTGTTGACATGAAGGTACCTATTTATTTAATGTCTGTAGTTACTGTACATATATTTTATATGCGATTATAATTCACTGCGTTGTATTCAAATACGCTTGCAGGGTGAGCTTTTCTAACTTGTTTAAACGTGTTGGTCAAAAAATATTATTAGTCCGTAATCGTTTTTTTGTTTGTGCATGAAGTTTTGACTTTTTAACTGTTTATTATTGCTGTATTTCGACAAATCATAAGGTTTGTAACTTTATATTTAGGGTTGTTAAGTATATTGAATATTGATACATAATAGCTGCCGATCCTGCACGGCTGCACTATTTACCCAGTGTCATATTAAATGTCCACAGATATACTCTTTAAACTTCTTTAAATGTAAATTACACAGATTTTTAACACAATTATTTGGGTTGTTTTGATCAAATATAAAACACAGGTCTAAAATGATAGTTAATTATAATATTTAACAATTTTATCTTCAGTTACTTACCTACCTATTAAAATGTTTGATAATAATTCATAAAAATAGTTTTAAAAAAATAAAAAATAAATGTAATATTTAAAATTTGTAAAAATGGTCCAAGTATAGTTAATATTTAAACTTTTTTTTTATAGTTACTACAATTTTCAAATCACCATATCTCCCATATCTTCTAAACCCTTTATTACCCTTTAATAGTATTGTTCAAACACAGAATCCTCTGCTGTCGGTTAAACAGGAAAAAAATCCTTTATATCATGTAAGACACACTTATTATTCTTGGTAGTTGATAGGTAAACAAGGTTAAATAACTTAAAAACTACCCGTTAGGGTTATTTACAAATAGATCTATAGATACGTCATTGCCATTTTTAGAATAATTATCCGCTAAATAATTTTAAACAGAAAAGGGGGAACCTAATTTGGAAAACGTACATTTATATCTCCAAAGGAGACTCCTTAAGTTATAGGTACAATAAATCTTAAGAATTCGAAAATATCTCTTTTAAGTACATATACAATTTTAAAATATCAAATTTCAAATAATAGCATTGTTGAAAAGAAAAAGGATGATAATACTTGATGAATCACCCCTTATAATAGTAATATATACTATATGTATACATACAACTCAATAGATTTTAAAATAAAATTCAGTCAGTTAGGACTTATGATAGTAGGGGTGGCTAAACCACGGTTCCTATTTAGTATAGTGCGCGTAGTAGGTATTATTTATTTTCCTGCTCTTCATATTATTTTTTTATTCTAATGTGACGCTCACGACTCTACTATAGCTGGCCACCTCTATATTATAGCATAATATTTTAATCCTAACATTAAAAGAACATAATATATAAGATAATTTAGTCAGTAGTGTTATTAGTATTAATTGTAGATGTACAAAATATAAATATAAATTATTATTTTACTAACCTATATGGTATAGAATGCTGGAATCAGATCAAATTTGTTTTGTTTTCATCTATGTAAAAATATAAGGACTTAAAAAAATCTGTACAACTGTAGAAAAGCAGATTGTACTTCGAAATGAAAGACACGATCACATTAATAGCTAACTAATAAATGTGTGAGCCTATATATTAATTATTATGAGAATTAAAAAAATCTTTAGATAAGTAATTAGGTACTGTATATTTCTATTTATTTGTTGTTAATTAGTATAACATTATATAATATGAAAATTGAAATGCAGTTAATAAACATACTGCACATTGTAGTAAACCTTATAGAAATCTGTGCTTTATTATAAATTTTATGATTATAATTATTATGATTATAACTATTGTTAATTATATTATTTACACCTATTAGTTACATAATGAATATAACCTTTGAATTACATAGTACAAAAATAAAAAATTATTTTTAACAACGCTTATTATACATACATTATGAACTTTGTTATCAATTCATCATTCAACATTAATACAATTCCCTGTCTGGGTGTCAATAATTCGATACTACATCTGCATGACTAGGTGTCTATTGTTTATGTCTTACAAGATAATAAGATAAAATTATAACGCAGGTACTTAAACTCAGTATAGTACCTAAAGATCAGCAGTAGGTATCAGTTATACCACCAAAGCGTACAGAAACTGTTTGAATTAATAATTTTAAATATTTGTATATTTTTGTATTACATTTTAATTAAAAATAGTGAAGTTATAAATATAATATACTGTTTGAAAACACACTATTTGACTAAAGGTACTTTTTATATTATTTCTCTATAATTATTATGTTTTAGATTTTGTCGATTTTACAAAAGTGTGTGTAATAAATAAAATAAAATGTTTGTTGGCCATCACTATAGGGCTGTGAATTTGTAGGGAAAATCAATTATTTTTAGCTTATTGTAAAATATAGCTTCCTTGACACAAAATTTGAATGAGGTACTTACTAATGAATTCAATTTTGAAACTTTAATTTTGTAATTTTGTGTTACTTTTTTTTGATATTATTAATCATTCGCGGCATTAAAAACTTTTCACACACATAATATGAATTATATTTTGTAGGCACGTCAAACTTATTTAATTATATCATACATTTAAAATGCTTTACTCTTGCTGCACATGCTTTTGATTTTTATACTTTTTAAATTACGATTTTAAGTGCATATTTCAAGGTTTTTTTTAATGCATTCATTTTCATCACGTTTAAGCAGTAAAAATGATCCTTGTTACGAAGATGCTTTATCAAAGTTTGGTAATTTTGTCATTGAATTTCAAGTAATTTTCAAAATAATCATGAAAAAATAAAAACAAATAACATAAGCCTGGAATTTATTTTACACATCACTCGTTTCCAAGAAAATTAATTTTGATTATTTGAAGAAATTAAAAAATGAAATAACCGTAGATACTACTAATAAAATTATAATAACTATTAACTATACTAACAACATTTTCAACAAATATTTTATATAAGCATTTTCTAGACATTACATAATTGATAATATTATACTTATGTTGCTAAATTTTTTTTTCAGTATCAAGGTTAGGCTATTAAATTGAATATTAGGTTACTCGTTAAATCATAAGTTGTTCACAGTCCAACTAAAAATACATTAGTATAGGCCCATGTTCATATTTTGACAAAATTAGATTTTTTAAATCTTAGAGAAAAATAAAGATGCTAGCTATACTTTTGTAATTAAAATATATTATTTGTGTGGTCTTGAACCTTTTTTTCCATTACGTAGGTATATTATTATTTCTATACTCAATTAATATAATTAATAAAATATTTAGATCAATTTTATGCTATTTAAATCACGAGTTTATTCAAATTATCCGGTACATCGGCATTGACATATAATTTATAACTTATAACTAGGGCTCGGATAAAAAATGTCCTAAAAAATTATATTTTAACCACAATAATATTATGTCCTTAAAAATGACCAAAAAATAATTTTAATACTTCTTGAACAAACGAATATACGAACTTATAGAAAAAAGTGGGTAAGTGGATGTTACTCTGTTGTGCAGTAGGTTACAAGTGGGTACAAGTGGATGGTGTTAAATTTGAATTTAGTTATGTACGAAAAACGATTCTGAGCGAAGGTAGTCTGTCAGTCTATAATATTACTTAGTAATTTAGTATATTTGATGATATCATTGTGGTTAAAGTAATTTTTTTAACAAGTAAGCGAGTTAAAGTTAGTTATTCAGTAAAAATTTCATGTATCTACTATTTTTTTTTAGAGTCGCATCAAAAACCCAAATCGATTTTGTCAAAAACCGAGTTTCCTTAAAAATTCCCGTTTTTTCTTAATTTTTTGCTTGTTTTTCCTGCCGCATTCAAAAACTATTGGATATTTTTTACTTTTGACACCTCCTCCTCCCCTCCAAGTAACAACTATATTCACTTTCCTACCACAAAAGTTCCTTTAGAGAAAATCGAAGCATTTTTACTGTCCTAAAACGTGATGACAGACACAAAAAAAAATAAAATAAAAAAAAACATCATTGCAAATCAATACATTCCTCGCTTACATCAGAATCTAGAACGCATGATTGCGATATAACAACCAATTAGTTGTTACTGATTTTAGTGCATAACAGCCATTAATCGCACTGTAGCTGATAGATAAAGGCGTTATCGACGTATCGAAATCATGAATAGTTAATAATAAATGGCCAGAACAAAATTTCTTGAACTAATATTTTGAATTACTAAGTTTAGTCTAAAAATTTATATAATGTTTTAAAATGCACTAAAAATGAATAAAGGTACCTAAAATATACAAATGATCTAAAATGTCCAAAATTAATACAAATTCAAAGTAAAAGTTCAAGTTGCTATATGATGCTTGAAACAGAATGTGTACTTGAAAATCATTCCCAAAAATAATGCAGTTTCCATTCAAATCCGGACACTACTTTTAATATATAAGTTAATTGCCTATAATAATATTCTATATATATGATACTATAAATCTATTACACAGCATAAAGACTTTATTTTTTAATATCTTTTGCATTAAATAACTGAAATCTGTTGATGGAATATGATACAATACAATTTAACATGCTTACAATTACAATTTATACGAAACTTTTAAATACATTAGTAAAAAGTCAAATAGTTGATACAGATACACATACACCTAAATATTTATTACATAAGACAATAATAGTTAGAAAATAAATCGTTTGTTTATCGCACAGACGTAGAATGTAAATACCTTTTAATTAAATAGAATTGACACAATATTTTTAATTTTCTGGATTTATGAGCCAAAAAAGTATGAAGTCGTAATGAAAGAATAACAATTTTGATTTTTTTCTACTATAATTATATAGAAATTATAAGTTTAAAAAAAACTGGGGAAGTCGTTTTGCCGTACAATAAGTTTCATGTGTACCTCCTTATTGAGTAGGTTGCCATATTACACTAGGTAGGTATTTCATTACGCATGTGTTAAATTTAATAAATAATTTTATACCTACGAAACACGAGGTAAGACGGTTGTACATATTTTTTTAAGGATATTTTATACTTTCCAATTGGCAATTTGATAGGTTCCACTAATTTTCACCATAAACCATTATAAATTTTGAAGTAAACACCGATGTAACGAATAATTAGTCATCGTTATTCATCTTTAAAATAACGTCTCTCTGCGACACAGGCAGTGGAGAAATAATTTTAATTTACAAAATAAAGTTTCTTAAGATACTATTTTAAAGTTATTATCTTACAACTCTTAAGTCTGTGTGTACAGTTGCTGACGCACAAAGTACAATTGATTGAGTTGATTGTAGCTAATACCTATATATATATAGCTTTATATTTTTTAATTTCTTTAAGAACAACTTATGAAGGACATTGTATTATACATTCAATATTTTTTATTTAAATAGTTAAATTTATGAACATTTAAATTGAAAAAATAAATAATTTCAAAATTTAAAATAGTTCAAAATTAGCAAAAAAAATATTTTGAAAATTATATTATGTTTAGAAAATGTTTGTATAAATGTCTGTTAAAAATTTCAATTATTTAGCACTATTCGTTTCAAAAAATAACAAAAAATAAAATCGATTATGTCATAAACGGAAGTATAATTATTATTATATTATTAATATTATTATGTCATGAACAATTGTTTTTTTTTCCGATTATTAAAAAAACTTTTAATTGTTTACATTTAATCTCCCAAAATACCAAATGGATATAATTTGCTACGAGATACAATCTTCGACGGTGAAGATTAAAGCAATTGAACTGCTTTAAAATCTGACCACTTATACACACATATACACAACAGCAACTCGCATAATAATTTTAAAACCATTACATTCATCGCTTCGCTGAGAATTCAAAGTGTATTAAAAATTGGTATAGGTATTAAAAAAAAATTAAGGAATATTCTATACCCGTAGGTTTTTAAATTAATATATAAGTGTCCAATCGTCCAGAAAGATTCTAAGAGCAATAATTCACTACCTACAATATTATAGTAAAAATAACACATTAAAATATTATACGGCTCAACATAAAGATAGGTTACCGACCTATATCTAAATATTGACATTTAACTTATTAAACTGACCCACATTACAACATTAGTATTATATTAGAACTATATCAATGTACTTTGAACTTTATAATTAATTATCATAACTCATTAAAGCCGTACCTAACAATTAATATAAAACAATAATATGGGTTTTTGTTCATTTCCGGATTTTTTTGTGTAAATATAGTATAAACTTTGTACGAATGAACGATATTATTTATCCTATAAAGCACTATTACAGGTCGACGAATAGAATACGTAGAACACGTGCACCTATAATGTTATAAATGTATAATATACCTATCATATTATATTCCCACGGTGATGGGAATCGAAATCCCACGCTTTTCAACGTAGATGCAGAGGTACCTACCTAAATTTACTATTTAAATAATATGTTTTTTAATAATTAAAACTACAGGCACTGCAGTTACCTATACGGCTATACCTACCTAAAATATATTTTTAAATATTTAAAAGCGCTTTATTATATAGCAGTTACAGCTTATTTTTTGTCAGCTAAATTTATTATGATAATATTTATGCGTATACATTACCTCGGCTTTATCGTACTCGCTCTCAAAACAATTTCGGCGTTTACAACCGGTACGCAAACTTTATTACCTATCTAAAGACTAACAATAAAAGTCTACACACAACGGAGATTGAAAAATATAATCGCGTTCGACTGTTTACCGCGTAGTGCGGCGTATAGATGATACACCTATCGGCCGATTATTATAATCGATTACAGATCATTAACGTTTCATTAGCGCATACGTCACATCACAGGTCTACCCATACATATTATTATTATTAAGATACGTATAGGTAGTGGTGGACTTAAGCCAACATAGAATAATAATAATAATAATAATAATAATAATAATAATAATAATATTATGGTAGTATTGCTTTTTATACTCACGGCGGCCGCGATTACGTAACATTTTGTATTTATGCGTGGTGTAAAAAACTATTTCTCATATATGTATTATGCCTATAACGATGCCGTAATGAGACGACTGCAAGGGCGTTCGATAATATAATATTATAAAACTTAACATAATATCGTATTATTTTATAGGCACATAGGTAATTACGACATTGATAATATTATAATATAATGTAACATTATGACTATATATATTTATGGAAAAACGCAATAAATAAGCCTAACGGTGGCGGAGGGGGAATAAACTAACCATACACGTTTGCGGTTCAATCGTAAGTACGATAATTTTATTCAGTAGGTAGGTATATTTTGAGGTTACGCGTTTGTGCCGCTAAAATATATTTTTTTTTTTCGTCATCCTTTCGGTCGGTGGCCTAGCAATGGTCCTAACAGCTCTCAATATAATATAGACCGCTTCTCTGCCTCAGCGATCCAGCTTGTAGTAGGTTACTACTACTCACGCCGCCAAGCCTATGACGCATAATATTGGGTTTGTAAAGTATAAACTCAACTATGGGCAAGGCAGGTATAATAAAAAAATGTCAATATTAGTCTGGGGGCCTAGATAATCTTTCTGAGTCTTTTCACGAACATATTTTTAATTTCACTCATTCAAATATATACACATATTCCGTCATCGACAAATAATTACAAGAAATACAAATCGAATCCTACATTGAAATACAAGGCGTGCAGCGTCCAACTAATACCAGGTTGCTTAGTACATTATAAACAATCACTCTACTCCTTACAAGATATAACGAATTAAAAGTGAGCTAATTGTACCTTAAACAAAATTTAGTGTGGCCCATGATTCATCCATTGAATTAATACCTACAATTTGTATGCAACTCTTAAATGTAATATTTTAATATATAGGTACTATTAAACTTAAATAATAAAAATTATTATTATTATCAACCGTGCTTACAATGTACAAAAATAACGAATAGTAACAACGTATTAAAGAATACGTATAAAATACCTACAATACCTACGTAATTTGATCTATTATTTTCAAAAAATTAAATATATTTTCCATACCTACATATTTACAAACTTCCTTCATAATATAACGTATTTTAATAAAACAAAACACAACAGTTTTGGAGGACGCCGCGAATTGTGTCCTCCGGACTCGGGGATGGATTCACATGGTTCTTAAAAATAAAAATTGCAGCACTATCTTTATCTTTAATAATACTAAAAAATTGGTACTTGGCTACTTTTCAAATGTATATGCTATCTGAAAAGTCAGGGCCTATATAGTTTTCATATAATATTACAATATTAATAGTATACTAACCTATATAATCTCGGATCTCGGGCCTTGTAAAACGTAATCATCGCAACGTACTCACTGGCCACTGCATACTATAGGCTTCGCACTAGGTTCCTCTATAGATAATATATTCAATAAACGTATTACGCCAGTGTAATGTGACTTATATGATATTATCAAACAGCGCAGTCGTGTAAATATACTATTAAAATATTAAATGATTAAGTCGTACGAAAGCACTCGTATTCACGATAATATTATTATGATGGATATTATTATTATTTTATGTACGATAAATGAATATTTTACGATAATGTTATCGTTATGACGTTATCGTGTACGATGTATATAACATTATAATATAGCAACGATATTTTTATGTTTATAAAATGCGCATGAGGATTAAGGACGCACACGCTGTACAGGACCTCCGCGCCGTATCGATGGACGCGAACGAGTTGTGGTGGCCGGCGTGGGATTTTTTGTTGGAATACGATGTCAGCGTGTATTTAAGTCGGTGTGGCGCAACATCGCGCAACATTTGTTTTTATTTTAGAGCGGATACCTCTACACGGCGGCGGCATGACATCGTGTGTTATTATAGTGGCATTCCGCCCCTTCCTCGCATATAATATATTATAAAGTCGCCACTGCCGTGTGGTGCAACTAGCACGCGAACGGGACGACCGACCATACCACCTGCGACCAGACGACGATAACATTCGATACATTACGGTTTTGGGCATTTTTATTTTTTTTTTAATAACGTCTCCCGGGCAGCTTGCACGCGACGCAAAAATAAAATGGCCGAAGATCGCGTAGAATATTGTACGAGTACATCACTACGATATAATATTATTACCCATACATTTTTGTACTCACTATGTCAAGCCGCACGCCTTGCCATGCCGGCGATCCCAACTCTATCGTTTCCCGAGCAGACGAATCGCTGGTTTTTTACAACAGGAGCGTCGGCCATCGTTGAACTGCTAGTCACACAGTCACTATATCGCTTCAGTTATGTCGTGTCTATAATTATGCGTCACGTGAATAGTATATTATAATTAATGTGACAGCTGCCACCTCGTCTGCGACGGCGAATCGCTTCTCGGGGTATCTTATAGGCGCAGGGGGGGGGGCAGAATTACGAATAGCGATTCTAACGACGACCTTGTAATTACTTTTCCACCACCATCGGTTGACCTCTTTCACCCGCCTACACGACGCCGCGTTTTAGTAAACAAAATGTTGTTTGTTGCGTAATATCATAATAATAATATTATTGTACGAGTGTTGTTGTGTTGCCGCCGCGGAGTGAGAGTATAGGCCATCACCGCACACGGATCCACCGCACCATAACATACGATATTATATTTTAACGCCGCCGTGACGTAGTGAGCGCTACGATTTTATTATTACTATTATTATTTTGGTGATGGCGGCAATGTTGCGCCGTACCTTGCAACATAATATTTTATTATCGTGGCCGTGCAGTCGTGTGCAGTGCGAACGATAAGCCGGACAGTCGTGTCAGTGATCCTTTCCGAGTGCGGTTTGTACGAGGACGATAATACGCGTGTATCTTGCGCAGTGACTTCCCTGCATAATATACGAGTGCAGACGATAACCCAGTGAAGCTGCCCACGCCCGAAGGTTATACGACAATATAAGCAACGATATTATCACTGCGTGTCCTTTGTTTCAATAATAATAATATCTAACCGAGCAAGCAAACGCGTTACAACCGAACCGCGGTATACATACCGCTGCGATACCACAAGCGCGACTGTCGTTCCGGGCACCAGTCCAACAAGATATACCCAGGAGGGGGAACCCGCCAACCAAAAGGTAATTTGGAATTTTTCACCAAGTATACGCCGCGTACTAGTTGGTAAACTGCGTCCCATTATCATACGTATATTTTTAGGTCGACATAAATAAAATAACTACCCGCCACCGCCTGACGGACAGCCTACTGCTGCAGGTTAAGCGATTAAGTTATAATAATATAATCAAATTAGGTAGTCGTCGCTTGTGTTTTTGGCCTAGATTCTCGACTACCTCGATAGAAGCTTCACTCCTTCATTATTTAACTCGGAAAATTGTTGAATTATTCACATATTAGTAAGCTAATAAGTATTTTGTAATTTTTAAGATTTTAATAAATCAATAAATATTAGTAAAAATTAGCACATAGTATTTTGAAATATGTAGGTAATTATGTGCACAAGATATTATAATGATCTCAATTTATAGTCGCATTAATTATTACTAATTTAATGCTCTTATATTTATAGTAAAAAGGATGTTATATTATTAAATATAATTTCGACTTCTAGTATTTGAATTTAAATAATATATTAACTAAGTAATAAATAAAATATGTTGATTTAGTAATCATAGGCTACAAAACCATTACAATATTTTTATTCCAATCATTTACATCACATTTGAACTAAAAAAACATACGAGTTGGTAATTAAAAAAATATCCAATAGTATTGTACCTAATATTGCCTATGTTACATACACATCAAACAAAAAGTTAGTTAAAAGATTTCAGTTTTTCCAGAAGAAACTTGAAAATCACGTTGCCCAAGTAGGTACTAGGTAATTTTAATAAAAAGGTATTCAATTGCATTAAACGATGGTTTTATGGTATTTTACTGCATATTTCTTATATCTACTGTGTTTAAATTACTTTAAATTGTTAAACATTATAATAAGGCAACGAGTATAACATTTAAATTTTTTCTAAATTTTATTAAAATATCAAAATATCAAATTAAATCTTTTTTTAGCAACATCGAGAGTTGAACGCCAACTAAATATTGTTACATAATATTCACAGAATTACATGGCCGCATACATATATATAGACGTATTTAGTCTTTGACAGTGAAATATAGTTCAAATCGGTTCAAGTCAAATGGCTGGATTTCTAGTGTCATTAATTTAATTTAATTAATCTAAATTTTTAACCATTTCAATTTTCAATTAGTTATCTATAGTATTAGGGTTTGGGACTCAGTTTACCGTGCTCAACTTCAAAATTTAACTTAATTGACTGGTTAATAAATACTAATATTATGTATTTATTCGTATTGATAATACCGTTGAACAACACAGTACCTGTCCAGACTAAAATACTACATATTTCCTCCTTTACTGAACTGTCTGCACTGAATGAACTCTCCCTTTTTTCTAACTAGGTAGTGTATATTTTATGCTGAAAACTATGGAAAATTATTAAAAAATTGTAATAAAATCGATCGGCATTCGTTTTTAAAGTAAAGCAGTATTAAGTTTTTTTAAATGTATTTATATAGCTTCCAGCTCTAGACTAATTCAGCTCGACAAATACATAAGACATACACATATGAGGACAATATTACTTGATAATATAAATATCTTACAAGATAGCGATAGTACCTCTAACATAACCATATTGAATTGTTTGTACAATATTGGTTGGATAATGATTGATCAATATCTAGTTATTCCATACTATTGTGGGTCATATTATAGCTTAATTTATTATTATTTTGATTCAAATTAACGTTTTATATCTTTGTCTATTTTTTAAAATTAAATATAATTTAAAATTTTTATAAATCTTCAGGTTTTTTTTAAGTTTTCATTGTTTTCCGGGGCTCTGAAAAAAAAGTTATTTTCCGAAATTGTATAGATTTTTGGTCCCTAATTATTAACATCTGATTCTACTATTTATAGGAACATTTTTATTTATATTTTATTTATAATAAGGAAATTACTAAGGTTACTAGCTCATGGCACATTTTATTGCTGCATTTATATTTCATAATTAATTATTATTAGCACATAATAATATCATGTTTACTAAGTTAAGTAATTATTATAGATATATAAGTTACATAATAGCCACAATGCCACATAATATTATTATACTTGTATAATATATATACTATAGTAGGTACTGAACTAATTAACAGTTATCTATGAAATGTACAATACCCAAGAATTTCCATTTTTTGTTTACATTACGTATTATTAAGCCTAAAATGATTGTTTTATTATTGAATTATTATCATTAGTTGTGATTTAGCAATCATTATAGCAATTTTAAGTGGATAGTTAATAATATGAGCTGTACAGCTTATATAATAATATGTTAGATTTTGTCATTTTGATATTGTTATTTTATAAATACAACGAAAAAAAGAATTTTTTACGTATTTATAGTTTAACATATTAATACCTAAACAATAGTTTACAATCAACATTATAAATATTTTTGAGGTTTTTGAAAAAAAGTTTTTAAGGGATTGTTGAATTTAAAATAAAATTTAAATGGTTATAAATTATTACAAATTTTTGAAAGCACATTTTCAAAAAAATATTATCTAAGTATTACATTACGATATTGTATTTAAAAGGTTTGTATCATTAATTGTACTTAAGGATTAGGTTAGATTTATTCATCCCTAGAAAATAGGTATTTAATACGATATAATTAATAATTAGTACATAGGTTATTACTTATTACCATTCAATGTCGAGATAAACAACGCAAGATAGTTGTCCGCCTATCGGTCTATATGTATTTTGTCCTGAATTTTAGGTTTATTATAACACACATGGTATTTTTTGGTATAAATAGACTCTAAAGTATGTTAAAGACCAAACAGTATGATCATGATACAGCATTATACAGCATTTTTTAATGGTGGCCGTAAACATTCCAAAATCTGACATAAATTAGTAAAGTTAGAATAGTAAAATAAGACATGTAAACTAAATATTTTAAACTTATTTTCATACATATTATATAACATTATTAATTTATGAGGTTATAACTAATAATCATAGAAAATTTGTATTTATTCATTATTACTACATTTAGGTATAGCTTAGGTTTAGTTATCTGTCATCATAATTCGTAATATTTAAGTATTGAAAGATAATCGTATAATCATAAATCATAATAATTTATTATGATTGTAGGCAATTCATTATATTGTAATTCATACGTTTTTCATCAATAGATATTTTTAACACATCAAAAACAAATATCATAAGCATGTAAACTAATCTGGATCAAAATTTATCGAAAATATAAACTCAAAACTAAATACCTTGGTTAATTAAAAAACAATTGTCGAGTATGAAATAGATAACAGCTCTCCTACAACAGTATAGGGTTACTACGTCATTGAGTATTTTTACTGTTTATTTTAAAAAGTGCTGACAATTTTGGATTTTTACCTTTCAAAAGTAACAAACTGATTCAATTTTCTATCAGAAACCTGTATCAAAGTTAATGATCAGAACATTTTTTTTTACTGTGCCTTCAGACACATAAAAAAATAAAATAAAAAAAACACATATCATTGTAAAATCAATGCGTAAACAGTTCCACTCAGAACCTTAAATAAATAAGTTAACTAAAAAAAATAGTAAAAAATAAATTTATTCATGAATAATTTTATATGCGTTAAGGTTATTTTTATAGCATTTTACATTCCCAGTCTTGTATATGAATAAAATAACGTTAAATCCAGCGTCATAGTTGTAGTGGATCGAATGTAAGAAAAAAATTCACGATCGTGTATCTTTCTTAGACTATAGGTCTATAGGTGTTCGTATACCTGTAACAGTCAGAATATGTTCCCAAACAGTGTAAATTCTTTTACAATCTTTGGCCAAAGCTATACATACATGGGTTGGATGAATATTATTTGCTCTTACTATAGATACCTATAAATCGATCCGAAATATCGTTCAGAAGGGGAACGTACGGTTTGAAAATCGATTTAATATTATGTTTATAGTTAAGGCGAAAATGTTTACGACTTTCGGTGTTCGGAGTTAATTCGTAACAGACGACCGTCAATATTGTTGATGTTAATGTACCTAATTCAGAACATTCTTGTTGTTGCGACGCCGATATGATATAATGACATAAATTGCATATAATTATGAAATGGCTTCCAAACTATTGCGTGACTGTTGTTATTGTGTATTCGATGGCATATTGTTGATAGTCGGCGGTGAATACGTTTTTTTATGTGAAAATCTACTTTATTTTAATATTATTATAATTATACATTATACGCATATATCCATACATCATAATAATATATATAATTTACATGCTCTGTAGTATGCACTACAAAAATATTTTATATAAAAATATAGAAATATAATTTTGGATCTACCTATAATTCAAATGTTTTCAACGAAAAATATGATCGTTTGTAAAATTAAATATTAGTTAATATTAACACTTAGAATACTTGGATGTAGGTTTAAACGAATTAAAATAAATACATAAGTAATACATTTATTTATTTTCTTAAATGAACAAATAAATAAATTGGCTAGCTTATGCATTTTAATTCGCAATAACTATAATATTATGTTTATTATGAATTAATGACTTTATGTACTGTATTTATTTTTGTCGATAAATAAATTAACTAATGATCTAATGAAATTCTATTTATGTTTACTTAACATGCATTAATGAGTTTATGCATTTAATACATTTGAGGAAGCAGCTAAGTACACTTATATTTTTATTTGTTGTAACTTTTTTCTAGTAATGAGCAAAATGTTGAAAAATATTAAATAATTAATTTTGCAAATAATTCTATTATTTTTATTAGTACCTACTTATACATAGATACCTATTGGCTATTTGTATTTACGTAGAGGGATTTTACTAAGTTTCCATTAGCGTATTTAAAGCTTTAGTCATTACTCAAATTTGTATACTTAGCTACTTTTTACACTAAGTTATAACGATGGGTTTTTGTTGGGATATATAGTACACTAGTACTTTAAAATTCAGATCTAGTTTTCAGAGTTTAAATACGAAAATGTAAAGCTATGACCAGTTGACTTTTGTACGTACCGGCACTGTTAACTATATTTAGGTGTGCACATATCTCTCGTTCGTGTATTATGTTTGGTTATATTGGATTAAAATAAACTTATATACTTGGTTGATCCAAAATTGTATTACTTACAGTTCACAAAAAGATAAATGTTATACAAATTGTTGTAAGTCTGTAAACCCTATTCACCCCAAGCAATGGAGGGTAGGATAAAGCTTTTTTCCACAGCATTTTTTGTAATAGTTATTGTTTTTGGTTTTAATTTTTATTAGCAGAAATATTATTGATGACAATCATTTTTTCCTTTTTATTTTGTGTAAAATGAATTATATTTTTTTTATAACTGTTCTAAGTTGTAGGTATCTATATTAGTTACATACAGGTACACTTTTGGTAGAATCGGGCACTGCACAAAAATCGTGTTTTGTACTCAATGTTTGAAGATGTATGTAAATAGTCAGATTATGTCTACTATATTTCATAGTACAAATTGGATTTGTACACACGTATTATTTAATCATAGTATTGTTATAAATGATTAAACGGATTAATGAGAAAATATAGTAATATTGACAGTCGAAAAGTCGATGTAAAGAAATAATATATAACCTATTTAAGCAATAAATCTTACATATTAAATACACATATAAAATATAAATATATTAAGTACACCTATGCAGTAAAGTTTTTGGCATTTCAATTTCAATTAAAATTGAAAATCTTAAACATGGTTTTTTACGTATTTATATAAGCAAAAGCATAAATGAATATAAATGAAGCATGGACATAATAAATCGATATGTGTTGGTAATCATAACAATTGCGAATAACATAATTATATAAATAAATTATTTAAAATAAAATTGATAAAAATTAAATGAAAACGTTGTTACAATGAAATAAAATATGCTGTACATTTTTTTTAAAGATAATAATATAAAAAGTAAACAAATAATACACAATACATTTTTAACAAATTTTAGTTTAATTTTTCTGTAACTTATAACTTAAATTTGTGTTGAAGAATTGTTAAAATGGCAATTAAGATTATTATCATTGGATCTGGAGTTGGTGGTACAGCAGCAGCCGCCAGATTGAGCAAAAAAGGATTTCAAGTAGAAGTTTATGAAAAAAATTCGTATAATGGCGGTAGATGTTCAATAATTAACCACAATGGACATCGATTTGATCAAGGTCCATCATTGTATCTCATGCCTAAAATATTTGAAGAAACATTTAAAGACTTAGGAGAGGACCTAAAAGATCATGTAGAAATACTACAGTGTCAAATTAATTACTGTATTAATTTTCATGATGGCCAACAATTTCAACATTCGTGTAATTTATCTAAATTACAACGATCGTTAGAAAAATTTGAAGGAGAAGGCGAGGATACTTTATTGAGATTTTTCGATTTTTTGAAAGAAACCCACGTACATTATAGAAGAAGCATTGAGTTGGCAATGAGAACTGATTTTCAAAATTGGTACGATTTCTTTAATATAAAACATATACCGACTTTATTGAAGTTGCATCTGCATAGTTCTGTTTACACAAGAGCATGCAAATATTTCAAAAGTGATCACATGAGAAAGGCTTTCACATTCCAGACTATGTACATGGGGTAAGTTATTAGTAACATATTTAATAAGAATTTAATATGAACGGATCCAAAAAATTTTAACAATGGGTGTTCAAAAGAAGTCGATATACTTCTCTATTTTAGATTAGGTGTTTAATTATTTTATTGGTTATTTAGGTGACAGTAGCCATATAGCCACTCCCACCCCCTCTGAATCTGTGAATGGTTAAATATGTATGAATGTGATATTTTAAATAAACAATAATGATATTATATCATAATTTTTAGAATGTCCCCATACGATGGATTGGCCCCGTACAACTTATTACAATATACCGAAATAGCAGAAGGAATCTGGTACCCAAAAGGAGGTTTTCATTCGGTTTTAGAAAGTCTTGAAAAAATTGCTGTAAAACATGGAGCAAAGTTCAATTATAATAGCGATGTCCAAGAAATAATAACCGATGACAATGGAGTGGCAAAAGGAATCAAATTGATGAACGGTGATGTGATAAACAGTGATATTGTTATTTGCAATGCTGATGCTGTTTACGCGTATAACAAGCTTTTGCCAAAAACGTCGTTCGCAGAAAAACTCGGCAAAAAGAAATTGACTTCGTCGTCGATATCGTTTTATTGGTCGATTAACCAGGTTATACCTCAGATGTCAGTGCATAATATATTTTTGAGCGAACTGTATAAACCAAGTTTTGACCAAATATTCGAGGACCACACGTTACCAGACGAACCGTCATTTTATGTGAACGTACCTAGTCACATCGATCCTTCAGCAGCACCAGAAGGTAAAGACACATTCGTGATCTTAGTACCTGTGGGGCATATATCAGACAGACCAGATATTGATTTTGATCATCTTGTGAATAGAGCCAGAGAACACGTGATCGGCGCAATAGAGAAAAGACTGAATATTTCGAACTTCCGAAGTATGATCGAACACGAGATGGTGAATGACCCGAGAACGTGGCAAAGCGAATTCAATTTATGGAAAGGTTCTGTATTAGGATTATCGCATTCATTTTTTCAAATCGCATACTTTAGACCAAGTTTGAAATGTAAAATATTCGACAACTTGTATTTCGTCGGTGCTTCAGTACAGCCCGGTACCGGAGTACCAGTTGTGTTATGTGGTGCAAAATTATTAGAAAAACAATTGTGTGCTAGGTTCTTGGAGGGAAAAGTTGAAACAAACATATGGTCGAAATACGTTTCATTTTTAATCGGCCTTCTAGCACTTCTGATTTTTTGGTTTTTTTTTAGATTTTAATAATTAACTACAGGTTTCCATGTATGTGCGTTATGTGGGTACAATTACCAGTGAAATTAATCACATTATTAATATGACTATATTAATAATTTCGTACTATTTTGGGCGTTTTGTGGTATTAAATGATGTATTAATTTTCAAAATGTAATTTAAAAATGGAAAGTATACTGAACTGTTAATTTGTTGAATTGTATAAAAATAAAATTGTATTTAAACTCTAATGGAAATAATAAAATTGTTATAAATCGGTTAGCAACGTTTTTTTTTTTTATGTATGATTTTATTATGCTTAGTTTATAAACAATAATACTATTTGTTGCTTTAAATTTTGCAATATTATAAACGTAATCATAATTTACTTTTTTTCTTTATCTTTAGTATATTATAATATAATTAATATAAATAATATATTATAGTTAAGAATAACATAATATTTGATATGAGTATCTAGTCTAATTACAAATTAAAAAAAAAAAATTGTAGAAAATTATAAATTGTAACATATTATGTGTATATTTTTTTCAAACTATAGTTTGATATACTGGTAGTATATTTTTGATACCTAGTTACTCCAATACCCTGAGTATCTGACTCGATAGTTAAATAGGTAATTAATATTATGTAAATACTAAGCAGTTTAATATTAATACATGATACAATATATTATTATATTTTCATAAATAATGAATATTATTAATAATATTTGTTCTAACTTATACACACAAATACTTTAAAAATTAAGAGAAAACTGTTGAACTTTCAAGAATCTTTCCCATAAGTCAACAAATATGACTCCATACAGATAAGACAATATAATTTATTATAAACACATAAAGTCATTACATTTTCATAATTTAATTTACTATACAGTGCACACTGTTAAATAGATAGTGACCATAATTTAAGACATACATTTTTGAAATGGCATGAATTGTTAGTCAATGACTAAAATATATAGGTTTTTACAATATAATATTGCTTTATAGTATGTTTGTGGTTTTATAAACGTTGCCTGGAAATTATGTCAATTGTCATAACTATCATAGGCCATGACTTTTATCCCAAGTCAGTTTGATGAACAATTTATTCACCTTTTATACTATTATAATTTTCAATGAGATGGTCTGAGCTTGACTTACTCACACCGTGTGCTCGCCTTTATTTATCCAATTGTACGTATTATAAAATTTGTTATTATTTTAATGATTTGCACGTCACACATCATTTTTTTAAACTCAAATATATTTTGAAATAAGCACATGAGGGACATAAAGGGATCACTTTTCGGGAAACAGCGGTTATTAGGTTAGAAACATTTATTAGTATGACTGGTCCACAGAGATTTAAAAAAAATGAAATTTAAGACTAATAAATGTGCCTGTCATGATAATCCAAAAATCTGTAACTCAAAGTGCCATAATAGTTTGCCAATAATTTGCTACCATAAACCACCCTCACAGTTGAAGATTGGAGCTGCTCTACAACGTCACGAGTTGGTACCTATTTGTGGCACACAAACGAAGGTTTTTCAATTTTTTTCAAACGGACTACCTCTTTTACATTGCAAACTTATCTTGTCAAATTACCGATCAGTCTAGACTTGAGTAACAGGCTTGAGGAATCAAACATATGATACTATGGCAGTCGTTGATTAGTATTCAATGCACACGTGACAGTCATTATCTATATTTTAATTGATTTTCAAAGGTTGTCATTAATTAATTTTATAAATGGATATTTTCTGAACGATTAATTATTCTGTAACAGTGCACATTAGGTATATATTATTATGAGCTGAAATAATAGACATCGCATCTTTAAATAGGTATGCACTTTAATTCATTTTATTAAAATTCAATAACAAATACATATACCTAAATATATCAAAAATCTTTGTTGGATCAGAGAATAATACAATAATAAATATAGATAAATGCACAAAGATAGAATGTAATTAACGATCCGTGTAATTGATATAAATTATATATTTTCCTATTTGAGCTACATTAATTATGACAGTAGAGTCCAACTATGTATATTATTAAATAGAGACTTATAAGACGTATTTCATACTCGTAATGTACAATGTCTTAAATAATATCTTTAACTTATAATATGATGTTAATTTTGCTTTGTTAGGGAAAGTTGGACTAGATTGGATGGCATTAATAAGCCCTCGGTAAATCTCAGTAGACGCCAGAATTGAACCTCGTATTTCTAGTGGCAGACGTTTAATAGCATCAATTGAGTCAAATTGGTGTTTGTCTGCCAACTGTATCATCATTTGGGCGTATCTTTGCAATTTTTTATCTCCCATGGACCTTGGATTCTTTTCCTCACACAATACCTTAATATCTTCTTTTTCGTCATCCATACATTCAGTAGGAAAATAGCATCTACCCCATGATTCACTGTCACGAACTAGATCCCGGGCAATGTTCACAAATTGTAATCCCTACAAACAAAATTGCGAAAACAAGTATAAATAACAGTTTTGAAAAAACTGATCTACAAAAACTTACGTTTCCTATTTGGTATGATTTTTTAATTAAGTAATCATCCTTTTCAACAAATTCGTACTTGTCAATATTGTATCTATACATGATTATATAAACACACATTGCGCCGAAACTTCCGGCCACAAGTGTGAAATATACCAGTAAATCGTTTTCATTTTTGTACAATGTACCATTGAGATCCAATTGAAATCCTTCAAGTAACTCTTCAAATGGCCTACGAGGCAAAAGAAATACTATTCTCGAGAATGCACGAAAAATTGCCAATTCTTCTTTTGTCAACTCGGACTCGTATTGTTTCCAATCAATGATTATTTCATGCGGTTTGGAATGAACTTCAAAACCTGATTTTCTGTCAGCGAAAACTTCGTTGAGAAATTTGTGACAGAGTGTCAATTTAACTTTTTTGTTTTCGAAATCTGATTCATCATCGATCATGTTATCCGTAATACGAGTAAATCCATATATAATTAAGAAATCCAAACGAATTGCTAAAAAAAAAAAATCATTAGGTCTCATTAAACGGTATTATAATAATAAATGTAATTAGAATTATGATTATTTATGTATAGTTTATAATGTTATTTATGAAGAGCAATTTAAAAATGCCTCAAATTTATCATAAACAAATAATATTTATTGTGTAACACAATTAAAATAAATATACTCCAGAATTTCTAATCAAAAATGATTGTGAAAAAAATTCAATTGGTACCTACAAAGCAAAATCTCATAGTAAAATATGTTCCATATTCGTTATAAAATTCTTCGTATGGAAATATTATTACATTTTTTTTTAATATTATGTAATAGATATTTTGTTAAATTATTATTTAGTAATTACTAATTAGAAAAACAAAATGTAAGTCTATACGTAGTAAAATATTAGTAATTAATGATGAAACAAGTATTGACAATCTTATAATAAAAACTTTATGTTGGTTGATGACCGTTTTTCATGGTTAAAAAAGAAGTGTTCAAAAAAAAGGTCTTTTATCACACAATTTTCCATATTTTTTCACGCTGGAGCTTAAATTGGTTTTGGTTATTTTAAAATTAAACCAAAATTAAAATCTTGAATTCAACTTATAGTCAAAACTGAATAAATCATTTATTCAATATCGGGGTATTAAATCGTAATAAATACTTTGAATAAAATATTTTTAAAAAAAGATTCGTATTTAACATACCGGTATGGAATAAATAATTAGAAGTGCCGAATAAATTCGACGAATCTAATAATTGAATACAATATTTCAAGTCCTCCGTTACAATAGACGGCATTGTATACTCCGATGTCACGAATGCCTTAAACATCTGAGTAATGAAGTTCCAACTAATACTGAACTGATGTGGGTATAACAATGAAAACGTTACGATCATACCATACGCTTTGTCGTAACAAGCTCCTGCCAAGACTACCATCGCGGTCGTTATAAAGGTAAACAGTGCTTCTTCTAATGGCACACCGTTGGCTATGAATAAGTTTAGACTGGTCGATTCATTTAAATGCCATACGTTCTCCTTCAGGGCCAACCGATTGATCCACAACAGGTACAAAGTCGGCACGACGATCGCGAAAGACGACGGTATAAGATGCTTCATGAAATAGTTTCCGGCACCGTACCACATGAGCATTATCACGGGCGAAGCCCAACACATTATGCTTCCCAGATAAAACGTTTCTCGTCCCGGGACGGCCATACCGTAACCAATGGCCGTTGTGAGGCTGAGGAATATGATGGGCATCCAACGGATTGTATGGTAACTCTCTTTGTCATGGTTGAAGTTCATGCACGGGGTCTTCCACCGGACGCAGAGGTAGGCCCATAGCGACACCAGAACGACTTGCAGAACAACGGACATGTACTCTTCGACGGGCACATTTCCTATGGAGGCAGAAATTTGTTCGGGCGAATACGTCCGAGCTCCGTTGAGAATACTGTAGTTGTAACACAGCGACGTGTAGAGTAGTGCTACGATGCTTATGAACGCGATCTTGGCAGCCTCCATGCGACACATAAACGGCCGGGTGATCAAAGCCAATACGCCGATAACTGGAAGTGTGCATTTTAAATGCATGTCCATGTAGGTCAACATTTTCGATGATGTTATTAGGTATTGAGATTTAAAATTAAAGACAGGTACTTATATAAACAAATGAAAAATCAACTGAAAAAATAAAATAAATTAAAAATACGTTTATTATTAAATTATTTTTACTACACTCTTACAAAGCTATTTTAAAATCGTAACACTTAATTTTTAAAAATAAAACGTCGTATTGTGATAAAAACGTCGTTTTAGGTAATTTTCAACGCCAAAAAATACCTTCAGTGTATAATGCAAACATTTATACTTACCCAATGGCCGTGTGATTTTAATATGCAATGATTGTGTTTGAAATACAAGCTCTTTAAATAAAATTTACTAAGTATTAAGCTGAGTTATTATAAAATAAAATAATTATTATAACTAGTGTCGACTCTTTGAAGTCCTATTCATTAAAACGGCGAAATTAACTTCAAACGTATATTTAAATGGTTTTGGTGAATGAAGCGGAAATACCTGTACAAATCATGATATATATGATGTCATGAACGCAGTAAATTTATGCTCAATATTTTTTACGTTAGTTCTACACTTCTACAATTAATGGCATAAATTGTACTTAATATTTGGACTCAGGGTTGGCCAAACTTTTTTGTTTAATATCTATAGTATAATTAGTATACGTTTTTCCTTTAAAGAAAAAATTAATATTATACCATTGATGTACAAAAATTATTTTTGCATTTTTAAGTCTTTATCCCTAAGTAATATTTATAAGTAATGTCTATAAAATATTAATATTAGGTGGTTATTATTTATTTCCGTACGCAAAATTGTACAATTTTCTAAAAATTAATGTTTAACATTAAACTTCAAAATAAATTGACAAGTAACTGTTGGTATAGAAGCATGTCTATTGACTATTTTATTCATTGCTTTTCATCCACCAGTTACTTATAAACTGGGACGCTGGTCTAAATTGTCATCAGAATGTGTAGCTCTGCATTCAGTTTAAAAAATTTCATATGAGAAAAAGCCATTTCACACAAACTGGTTAATCCGTAATAGATACCTATGTAATTTAATCTAGTAAATATACCTATAATAATTGGTTCGAACAAATACGGAGATTGGTTTTAAAACCGTCCGAGATTCACTGTTTGATCACCCCTGCATGTGAACATTATATAGGAATTTTATTAACATAAATGTCAGGTGCTGTAGAAATTATACCTGTCAATGATCTTTTTTTAAAATATATATTTGGTATACAGAGTGTATCAGAAAGAAATGACTAATGCAATAACTTTTTTTATAATCAATATTTTGAATTTTTTTTTCTATAAATACTGAATATAAAAAATTTTAAATTTAACTCTAGATGTTTTTTGGATAAGTTCAAAATAACCAATTTGTGAATCCGATTATAAGATTAATTTTGATGGTAAAAACATTTATCTAAGTCGAGTAGTTTATTTTCTAGAATTTTTAAAAATATCTATATTTTTTTGATTTAATTCATTTGGAACGTAATAATTTTTTTCAAAATATAATTTTAGGAAATTTGCTGACATGAGTATATTTCTTAAATTATGTACTACTCATATATTGTTAAAAAATGATAAGGTACGTTAAGGTAACATATCATTTTCTTTTTTTTTTTGTTGATCAGGTCTATCTGTTACATTTTATGTAAACAAGGTGTACCATATAAATATATATATTGCCTACTATATATACCCACTGACATACTGAGGTATCTCCTGAGATAACAAATGTACATAAATCTGTTTTTATTAGACTCACAGAGACAAGGACTACGTATATTTTATTTTTTAATTAAAATAAATTTTTTATTTTAAAAAAAATATTTTTTTTATCTTTCAAACATCGATAATATCCATTTTATAACGTTTATTTTTCTAAAAATGTTGGCCTTTCAAGGTTTTTTGACCTTTCAATATTTTTTGACCTTTCAACATTTTACTTTCATTATTTTCATTATTTTTAATCATTTTCTTAGTTTACATATAAAATAACAAAAAATCGTATTTTTTCCGGCGGCGAGTCGCCCTCTACGGCTAATGGGTATATTCTCACGGGACACACTATGTGAAATAGGTAACTCAAGAATAATATCAATTATACATATTGATAAAATTCATTAACACTTTTTAGATAAATACATTTTTATTAAGAAAACTATAAATAATAATCGTCTATGATGTAATTATTTAGTTTTTTGATTATTCTATTATATTTTATAAGTATCGTATAAATCAAACAACTATAATTTAAAAAATGTAGTGTGTATGTGGAACTTATACATAATGAATATACAAAGCACAGCCTTAATGCTACGTTACCTATAGTCTGTGGTACAATAAATCTGCAAACATTATTATATTAAACCTAATAATTTAATATTGCTTTGACATATCTAAATAAATAAAACATTTTTATTCCATCGATTAAAACTTGATAGTAAATTATCTGTTTTTTTTATTTTTTTGTTTTTCTTTATTACAAATGTTTAAGATTAACAACTGCCTACATCTAAACGACGAAGATATTGACCACTATTATTATTGTTTGACAGCTAATTTTAACTTCTGAGAAAATCTATAATAATGTTTTATACATTTCCTGTTAACTATATTGTTTTGAAATGAGTGTCAGATGTCCAAGTCCCTCAAAATATCGAATTATGAGTCCTTTTATATGTTTATGAATGGTTAAGAATCGTAACGTACCTATTAATATTGATTAAATATAATTATGTAATTTTCATTCATGGCTCATGCATGATAAAAACTTCTTTTTGTGTAATCTCGATTTTGCCGAAACTGACGTATAATTTTAACAGTACCTACTATCATTTTTGAGTTTTTACTAGTTTCAAAAAATGAAATTTTCATTTACCTGAATACGAGAGGGTTCTACAAAATACAATTATAAATATTGATTAATATAATCGTAACTTTTAATATGCTTATTGTTTGTTTATAAATTATAATATATTTTTATTTAAAAATCTTAAATTTTCTTTTTGTCATGACATAAAACTTGTCAATAACAGTCAATGGATTATCTATTAGTTGTTCACTTATTTTGAACATCGATGTTTTCCAGAAATAAATATAAGAGGGAAATTAATAGCAGGTTGCACTCACTTTCGTCACAGGTTGAACTTAAATCATGAAAGTTAACTTTAAAAAGCTCATCTGAATTTGTTTGTTTTGAATTTGATTTTATTGATTCAACCACTGTAATAGATATACAATGATTAGGAAAATAAATTTTTAGGATCCAAAAAAATTGAAATATTTTCCGTGACATAATTTGATTTTAAATTATTAAGTGGAGTCAAAAACCGTTTCATATTATTTATTAAATGTATTCTATATAACGACCATTCGGGATTGCGAATCACATAATACTGATGATTATAAGTAGGCACTAGGTATATTAAATGTTTATGAGTGAATAATCGTGCAATTAAATGTATTCTCTATACAGAACTTTATCACAAGAATTTAGTAGGCAACGTTTTTATCGATTACCTTTTTTCAATATTATTTCTACTTATCGACACGTGCGATCGTCCTAATGATATTTTAATGGCGTCACTGTCGTGATGAAGACAATTTATTATGTGTATTGTTATAATTATTCTGCCTTAAAAACTTGTATAAGTATCTATGAATATATTATTTTAAATATCATTGTTTTTTTTTTTTTTTTTTAAGAAAATCTGGGTAGGCCTACCAGCTTACCTAATGGCTACGCCCCCGATAAATTGATGGTATTTTACCATAGTAATAATTGTTAGACCTAAAAAAATAAGGGATGCTAAATTAGAACTTGGAAATTCCAAAGGCATTTTTGCACCCCTCCAGTTGTGCCAATGCACACATGCATGTATGTTATATACATTAAACAAATACGAAAAAGACAGTTCATCATTTCATATAGGTACAATCCAATTTATTTTCTTAGTTATCAAATAACAAACAAAGCTTTAAATCTATGTCGAAACTGAGAATAATAAAATAAATTATTTTACACGAAGAAAAAATGTATTTAATATATTATGCTACGAGTAAATGTATTCGTTTTGACTAAATAAACTACTTTTCTATATTCTAACAGTAAATCTACCCATATATCAAAGTAGTTTTTAATCGACTTAAACTACGGATTGCATACTTTTAATGTATAATGTTTTAAATAATATCATCAACTTATTATATTTTGATAATTTTGGTTTGCTAGGAAACTTTGGACTAGAATTGATTGCATAAATAAGCCCATCACGGTATATTTCAGTGGACGCTAGAATTGTATCTCGTACATCACGAGGTAAACGACTAATACAACCCACTGATTCAAAATAGTGTTTGTCGGCCAATTTTAGCATCACCTGGGCGTATCTTCGCAACTTTTTTTCTCCCATGGACCTCGGGTTCTTTTCCTCGCACAAGACCTTAAGATCTTCATTTTTGTCATCCATTAATTCTGTAGGGAAATAGCATCGACCCCATGATTCACTGTCATAGACGAGATCACGGGCCATGTTCACCAACTGTAATCCCTGCAAACAATTGAAAACATAAGTATCAATATTAGATAATAATTTTTAAAAACTTGGGTGAAAAACTTACATTTCCTATTTGATAGGATTTTTCAATTAAATAATCGTCCTTTTCAACAAAATCGTACTTGTCAAGATTGTATCTATACAAGATTATATAAACACACATTGCACCGAAACTACCGGCTACAAGGGTAATATATTTCAATAATTCTTTTTCATCTTTGTACAATGTACCGTCCATATCCATTTGGAATCCTGAAATTATCTCTTCAAATGGCTTGCGGGGCAAAAGGAATGCTATTCTAGAAAATGCACGTAAAATTGACAATTCCTCTTGTGTCAGCACTGACTCGTACACTTTCCAATCCATGGTTACTTCTCGCGGTTTGGAATAAACTTCATAATCGGATTTTCTGTCAGCGAAAAGTTCGTCGACAAATTTGAAAAGGAGTTTCAATTTGACTTTTTTGTTTTCAAAGTCTGATTCATCATCAATCATGTTATCCGTAATACGAGTAAATCCATATATAATTATGAAGTCCAAACGAATAGCTAAATTTAAAAAAAATCATTATTGTTAAACAGTATCATAGCTTATAGTGTTATCATAGTTAAATTATTATGCAAGAAGAGCCCAGTAAAATTTATATTACAATACATTTATTATTTTTAATCAAAATATTTATGAAAACAATTCGAGTATACAGCATAATATCAACATAAAATAGCTCCCATACATAGGTATCTCGCTACAACAATATTAATTGTGCAGAGATTTATTATTTAAAGTTGATTCCCCAAGGCTTTTATTTTTTTCGCTATAATAATGTAGATGAAAATTCATTCTAGTTTGAGCATAACCACCCCGCAATGCCACTATCTGCAAGACGCAACGCTTACCAACCACCGGCCAATCGCGATCGATAATGGTCACTGGTCAGCCACCCGTTGGCGTGTTAATCTGGAGATCGGGAGTCTAGTAGGAAAGTAGTGATCAAGAACGTTCAAGTTTACTGACGGTATCAGTGTTGAATTCACGAAACAAGTTATTATTTTCTTTCGTGGGCTAAAGTATATGTTGAATTTAGATCTATTTAAAATGTTTTGTACATACAAAGTCGGTCACCCAGGCTGGTACTATAGACTATTGGTCTTAGAATATAATGTTTAATAAGTTTCTTTGGGTAACTAGGTACAAGTTTGAATATTGACTTAAATAGGCCAACATTTTTTATTGGTTGAATAATTTAATGTAAAAAGGGTAGTGATCATTTGAAAAACAGAATTAGTATGGTCACAGTAAGGTACATTTTGTGTTAAGTACCCATATTTAAGAATTCCAAAAAAAAATGAACTTTGAATAACTGCATTATTAAAAAATTGTGGTTACTATGCTTGGCGAATTACCTAGATATTATCTTAATAAAAAAAATGCCTCTCGTGATTAATGGTATAGAGTGGATACCGATGTGAAAATCATTGAAATTAATTTTTAAAAAATGAATCAACTTACCGGCATCAAAAAGGTAGTTGGATGTACCAAATATATTCGACGAGTCCAACAATTTAATACTATATTTTAAGTCATCAGTTACAATAGTAGGCATTGAATATTCCGATGTCGCGAATGCTTTAAACATCTGAGTAATGAAGTTCCAACTAATACTGAACTGATGTGGGTATATCAATGAATACGTTACGATCATCCCGTAAGCTTTGTCGTAACAAGTTCCCGCCAAGACGACCATAGCGGTCGTTATAAACGTAAACAGTGCTTCTTCTAATGGCAAACCGTTGGCCACGGACACGTTTAAGCTAGTCGATTCATTTAAATGCCATACATTCCCCTTCAAGGCTAACCGATTGATCCACAACAGGTACAAAGTCGGCATAACGATCGCGAAAGACGACGGTATCAGATGCTTCATGAAATAGTTCCCGGCACCGTACCACATGAGCATTATCACGGGCGAAGCCCAACACATTATACTTCCCAAGTAAAATGTTTCTCGTCCCGGGACGGCCATACTGTAACCAACAGCCGTGGTGATGCTGAGCAAGAGGATCGGCACCCAGCGAATCATCTGATAGCTCTGTTTGTCATGGTTGAAGTTCAATAACGGGTGCTTCCATCGGACGCAGATGTAGGCCCATAGCGACACCAGAACGACTTGCAGAACAACGGACATGTACTCTTCGACGGGCACATTTCCTATGGAGGCAGAAATTTGTTCGGGCGAATACGTCCGAGCTCCGTTGAGAATACTGTAGTTGTAACACAGCGACGTGTAGAGTAGTGCTACGGTGCTTATGAACGCGATCTTGGCAGCCTCCATGCGACACATAAACGGCCGGGTGATCAGAGCCAATACGCCGATAACTGGAAGTGTGCATTTTAAATGCATGTCCATGTAGGTCAACATTTTCGATGATGTTATTAGGTATTGAGATTAAAAAAAGAGAGATAGGCACTGTGTAATCAAACGGAAAACCAACTGAAAAAATGAAAAATATCAAGAATACATTTATTACAAAATTGTAGTTTGGTTTATATCACACTCTTATAAACATATTTTAAAATCGTTACACCGAATCGAAACACTTTATTTTTAAGAATAATGCTAAAACTTATACTAACCTTGGATGATTTTAATTTTTAGGTTTGAGTTGTGTTATATATTAATAAATAATAATAATTTTATTTAAAATCGTTCTTTCATGGAAAACAATAAATCCATAGGTAACATATTATACGATATGGAGAGTTAATTCAAGAATAATATTTAATAGTATCAATGATGATATTACATAGATATATGTCATTAATACTTTTTCGATAAATAACAGTTTTATTTAGAACTCTACAAAGTATAAAAGTGTATACCTTAATTACATAATATATTTGATAAATATAGTATGTTTAAATCAAATAAATTCAATTGAAAGTGATTTTAAAAATATCATTCATAAATTATCGATGGTAAATCATACTATAAAATGGTGCCTAATTGATATAATACTACTTTGTTGCTTTTTGTAGGGTTATACTTTCATGTCTATTGTAAGAACAATATAAATATGAATACTATTGTAAGAACAATAAAAATATGGCGTCTCGGCGTGGCGCATTGGCTGCTGCCAGTTGCAGAATGCGACTGGGAGTAAGTAACGGCCACAACTAATAGCTCCCGGATGGGTGACCACCCGGATTCATAGTAGTTAAAAACCTTGCCACACATACACGTGTTTGCTACCTACCGTAACAACCATAACTTTACTAAAAAAAACAACCTATTTTACCAACCTTACCCCTATCACAGTTCATAACCCCTACAACAGCTAATGGCCTTAGTCGCCGGGCTCAAGTTTAATAATAATAAAAAAATAACTAAATCAAAATATGAATAAACGAATATTAAACCACTTATCATTTAGATCTGAACAGGACGAGAAATGTCTGGTTTTACAATGTAATGTGTACTTTTAGTTTGTATGTCTGACATTCTGACAACACATTTTGAAGCTGAAAAATTGCTTAAATCCTCAATATTGAAGGTGGTGGTGACTGCTAGCAATTTTACCTCCCATCGTACTCTTTTACCAAAAATCTTATTAAAATTTAAAATCGATCCATCTTTCTACTATTTGAAGTGTGCATTATTTAGTGTACTATTTAAGTGCACTTAGCAAATTCATTAATAGTTTTACTTTGTAAGCACGATACAATGACTCTTATAGTATTGACTAGTTACATAATAATATACCTAATGTTTTAAATTTGTATTTTTAAACACAAGGAAACATAAATTATTATTCACAATTCCCTATGTATTAATGTATTATTTATTCTAAATTACTATTAAAGTTAAATTTACTTTTTGCAAATTATGACTTTGTAAGAAACTCAAACAGAAAACTGCATGTTATCCTTTATCTGCGTTTATGTATCTTCTGTACTTTTTGCCCTAATAGGAGTTACTTTATGAATAAATAAAAATATATATATAGATGGGTGATTAGATAAACGCTCTACTGGACCTAGTCATTTATTAAGTAAGCCACTGTAAATTGTAATGTATGCTCTAAGTTTGAATTAAATAATAAATTATTGCTTTCGAAAAACTATTTTGAGCGAAGACGTCGTCCGTCAGCATAAACGTTTCATTATTTTATTTCAATGATATGTCTATTAAAAACTGTGTTTTGTCTACAATTTCCAGTTATTCCTTATTTTAATTTTTTCCAATTTATGAAAATTACTGTGAATTTTTTACTTTTGACTCTCAATGTACCAACTAGATTTACTTTTCTACCAAAAAGGTATTAAAATTGAAAATCAAAGCATTTTCCTGCTATAATAAGTGTCTACTGACACGGAAAAAAATTAAACCCGTTATTGTAAAGTAAATACCTCTCAGAGTTTAATATTTTAATTTATAATAAATACAGACATTTGGTGGGTCGCTGGGACAAATATAAAATATAATATATTTTCTTCGTTGTATTTATAATTTATTTTTACATTTAACTTTTAAACATTATTAATTTTCCTTTTATCTTTTTGTCTACTTGTCATAGTGATAATAGATCTAGGAGCTCAGGACAAAATACAGTTCAAAAATCTTAAATGATTAGGTCTAGGAAGGTACATAACGTATTGACTTCTTATGTGTGTACTATTATAAATTTAATATTACAGTACGTAGTACATGTGTTGACTTACCTGATAATGATGTTGTTATTAAATATTTTAAACTGAATTATTTAAAAACAAAACAATGATAACTAGTGTCGATTACTTGAAGACTTATTCACTAAATGAATGGAACGAACTAGACATTTATTTATTTAAATAGAATTTTGAATGGAGGGAAAAACTTATGGAATACTTGAGCTTTATGCAATACAAAATTGTAATTAATGATAATAAATATTATTTTATGAACGTGGAAATGTACATGTATAAGTACAATATTTTATAATTCATTACTTTTATTAATATAATCCAAAACAATAATGGCTATCGGGAGACATTTTTATTATAATTTATTATAAAAACATGGATTTATGAAATCTGACGAGCAAAGGTGAATTCCATTGATATGCATTTTTTATATATCAGTACAGAGATTTAGTTATGATATCTGATATCCTACCGTTTTATTTTAATATGAACAATTTTTGTCTATTGGGTGCGAATTTTTTTTTACTGAATTCAAAATTTATCATAACTTATAATAGATATAAGTTATATATTATGTAGGCTAGGTTTTAAAAAAGTCAAATAACTATAATCATCACAAATATTTTTATAGTATTCTTTGCATATTATAACTGTGATCGATGAAGTCTTACTATTTTGTATCGTCATAGTTGTTTTTTTAATTCTTTACTCTCTTTAATGAAAACATACATTTCTTATTTTATTTTCTAAAGCAGAATATTATATGGAGTGTTTCAATCTACAAGAATCAAATTTCAAACAAGTAGTTTACTAGTCATAAGTAAATATTTAGTGTTTAGGTGACCAGAGTATTGGTCTAAATGGTATAAATTCGATTTTTATGTATAGAAGTATTCCAAAAAATAATCAACTTTGTAATGAGGAATTAAAAATGCACGTTATCTTAAGAAAAGTAAATAAAAATATTTCAAAATAACAATGATGAAAAATGTTGTTTCTTAAAAACCTAGGGCTCTTTCACGCGTAGCCATTTAGCAGCGCTGCTTTAAAAAAACACGAAGGCATATGAATGGTTTCACTCACGACCACAGTTACTGATTAGAAATTCTACTGACGGTAACATTTTTGGTTGGCTTCGCCTCAAAATGCGGCGTCTAAGAGCTCATTCACGTGTAAAAGGGTGCTGAGCGGCTAAAAAAATATTTAAAAACGTTAATCATTTTTGAAATAATGCGCATGTCTTATGTTAAATGGATCAACCGGTACATTATAACATTGTTGAATGTAGTAACCTATTTATATAATTTATCAGTATGTATTAAGTATACACTTTATAACTATTGTAGGTTAGGTTAGGTTAGGTTTGTATTTGGTCTCAATACTATGTGGTACTCATACATAATGAATTCACAGCCTAAATCCTAGGTACTTTACCCATAGTGCTAAAATAAAGCAATCATTTATATTGTAATTAATAATATTTAACTTCACTTGGACATTGTCAGCCAACTTTAGCATTGTATAACCGTATCTTCGCAGCCTTTTTTTCTCCCAGGATACAAAAATATTTATCGTATTGCATTTTACAGTTAGATTTCACAATCTGTTTCAGTCAATTTGCACATTACACAAAATATTTTAAATATTTTAAAATTACGGGGAGATTGCATACTTGAAATTTGTTTTGCCCCTCACTTGAAAATATTTATCATACACAAATTAATTTTGTTTTACCTCGTCTAAACTTCAGATTTTTTTCTAAGCCTTACTGTGTTTAATTATTTCGTTTGAAAGTAAATTTTTCAAGTATAAGAACACAAAATTGTTTTTTTTTTCATAAACATTTATTTTTTAAATATTTTTTTCGTATTGTTATATCATTCCAGCAGGTTATAGCAGGGTTTGAAAAAAAAAACTGAGTGAATATAAAATTTAAAAAAATACTGTGAATACAGTAAATATTTTGAAGTCAGTGGCACAAACAGTTTGAAGTGTGCAATCTCCCTGTAATTTTAAAATATGGTAAATATTTTGTGTAAGTTCAAATTGTTGGAAAACGAAAGTGTAATCTAACCTAACCTGTGATGTTTAATACCGTAAAATCGATGTCCTTTGATGAGGAGTCTCCTTGGATATGGTACAATTACCGCGGTGAAAAAAAAAGAATAAATTGTAAAAATACTAATATACATATATTATTATCTACTCATGGCCCGGAGCCCGATATAGTATCATTGACTTTCATCCTTAGTACACGCATTTTCATAAATTAATGCAGAAACTACTCATTCAAATTTTGATTTAGGCACATTTTCATCGTTAAAAAAAAATCAAATGTTTAACAATTAAAAGGAAAAAAAATAGATCTATTTGAAAAATCCAAGTTTATATCAACACAGTACAAAATGTGATCGAAAAATGATTGACGAGTCAAGACAAAAATTAATTTCTATTTAAGTTAATATTATATAGAGAATAAAAAAATGATTATAACTAATATTCAAAAAAAAAAAAAATAATAATCAACTTATACCAGCATCGAATCGTCGTAGTTGGGAGTGGCAAATATATTTGACGAGTCTAACAATTTAATGCAATATTTCAAGTCATCCATTTCAATATAGATTATGATATGAATATTCCGAAGTCGCGAACGCCCTAAACATATTATGACTAATGAATTTCCAAATTACACTAAATTGATGAAGGTATATCAAAGATAACGTTACACTTATCCTGTACATGTGCAGCTTTGTCGTTACAATAAGCTTCCTCCAAAACGACCATCGCGGTCGTTATAAACGTAAACAGTGCTTTTTTCCAGTGGAAAACCTCTGGCCACGGATACGTTTAAACGGGTCGACTTAATCGTAGATGTCATACGTCCCCCTTTAGTGCTATCCGATTGATCCATGACAGGTATAAAGTGGGAATCGTTCTCGTTCTAACCTTAGGTTAAGTTTTTCACGAAATAGTTGAAGGCACCATACCACATGAGCATTGTCATGGGGGACGCCCTACAGCTTTATGATTTTTATGTTGACTGACTGTGTTTAAAATGGAAACACTTTAAAGTTTAAATAAAATTCACGTAGTATTCAAATTAATTATTACAAGACAATAATTATAAATAGTGTTGACTGATTGAAGTCTAATTCAGTAGACCGGTGAAATTAACTAGAAACGTATTCTTTTAAATTGAATTGTTGAATGGAGGGGATGTATTCAAATCATCTAAATAAGACAGTAGTTAAAATATTATTTCATAACATTTATGTGAAATCATTTGACTTTTCAATTAATTCTAATGTCAAATATCTTACGTGCTAATCTGCTACGCATAGGTGAATTTATTTAATATACATTTTATATTGACACAGTCACGTAGGTAATTTAGGATGATCCAGAAGAAAGACGAACAACTTAATCATAATATTTAGTTGTTTTAAATTTTGGGTGGAGTATTTGTGGGGTATTGGTTTTAACCTTTCACATTGTGAGCACATTGTTTGTGTGTTCAAGGACACTTTTTACTGAGGAAAAATTACTTAAATTTTTAGCTTTGAGAGTATTATTTAAAAGTATATAGTTCGATCACGAAGGGATGGAGGGGAGTTAACATTAAAACATTCCCAGAACATTATATAGACTTATAACTGGGAAAAAAAATCATGGACTAAATATATTAATTTTTTTGTTGTAACGGTAGAGACTGATCATTTTTAACAAATATTTATGTAAGTTATCTTAGCTATAAAAGAAACATTTCGAATATGCAATCTACTGTATACTTACAGCAGAGCGAACAAATATGTTGTTGTGTTTTTTTTCTGTCTGTTTCTGGGGTAATAAAAATGCTCAAAATAAATAATAATGCTCTGATTTCGGACATCGGCATCTTTCCTGATAAAAAAGTAAATCTAGTAGGTACTTTCGAGAGAAAAAAATTGAAAATTCCTAGTAGTTTTTGAAAAGGTATTGAAAGAAATGATAATTTTGGCGCAAAACCAATTTTTAAAAAAATTGCTTTTATTTTTTTGGTGTAACTTAAAAACTAACAACAGTAGACTCTTAAAATATTCACCAAATATTTATATTAACATTTTCTATGTGTGGTAATATTTTTGAACTTTTTTTAATTGTTCATAATTTTTCTAATACAAGAGTCTTTATAAAATGCTTTTATAGCTGATCAAAAATATTAAAGATACATTGATACGATTATTTTTACATGCATTTAAAATTCATCAAAATCCCGAAAAAGTATCCTGAAACAAATAAAAATGTACTAATTATTTTTAAGTTACAATAACAACAACAATTTTTCAGGAAAAATTAATTCAACCTACTTTATTACTAATATGTTTATTACCTAGTAAATAAATAAATTTAATAGCTATAATATTGTAACATATAGGTACTTAAAAATATAGACCAACAGACCCCTATATTTATGTTTCTATGGTAATAACATTCAGACCGTCTTCGCTTAGAATCATTTATTGTCATTTATTATACTATGATTTTATATCATTTAATTAAAGAGTGACACATTCATTACAGTTTTCCACTTATAACCTAAAAGTACCAACACCCGAATGGTTTCCAGTGAATTCAGAATTAAGTCTTCTTTCATTTTTCGTTCCTGCAAGATTTTTGCTGTGGGCCCGTAAGCCCTGTAAAAACATCCAGCCACTGATCTTTTTTTAATTATCATTTGTTTGTAATACACAGTACATAGATAACATTTATGAAACATAATGAACGAAATATTTTAGAATTTGTATTATTAGTTGATAAGATGTACACAAAATTACAAACCGACTTGAATACAAATTTACAATTACCTATTCAAAAAAGAATTAAAATCACCTAGTGGCTGTGGCTTTATTCAATTAATTGTGTTTGTAGGGATGTGTTTCTGTAAATCATAGTAATCATTTTTTAAAGAGGATGTTACACCCGCATGTTTTGTCTCCAGGGGATGGAATCTTGATGATTTTACGGGTCCACTTCGGTTCCTAGAAAAACTAAAATTTCGGTTTCGGTTTCTTTTCAGTTTTAATGAAAATTAGAGTTTCGGTTTCGATTGCTTCTCGGTTCTTAAAAAATGAAAACTTCTTTTCCTGTTTTAGTTTAATATTTATGAAAGAAAACTTAAGTCCCGATTCGATTCTTTAAAAATGTGTAATTAAATATTAGCATTGTCAAGAGTATTAAATAATTAAAATATGTACCGAAATTAACTTTAGGCCTTTAGTCGGAGGAAAATACAAGTACCTAAAAGTCTCGGTTCCGGTAAAGTTACGGTTTTAAAATTAATTTGTATAATGGTTTCAGAGAGATTTCGGTTTCCAATATTCAAAAGCTTCCAGTTATTTTCGGTAAGGTTCTAGTCCCTAGTTTTCTTCTTACACTCGTACGACACATACAATTTTCGTACTCCAATTTCAATGATGTGCTGTTAGTTTGATATTAGAGTGAATTGACTAGTATAAAATGTGAAGGTAAGATTATTTTTTTTTTTTTTTTTATTGATCTTAAGCTTCGGCAACTGAGGCCATTAGCTGTAGTAGGATTTGTATTGTAGGTTTGTATTGTATATTTTTGGGACGGTAGGGGGGAACACGTGTGTGTTTTTTTTTTGGCAGAATTTCGAATGGGGCACCCGTAGGTTTCTGCCATGCCCCGGAGGTGGGGGATGGCAGCACTTGTTCTCCGGTCACCGCGACTTGTCCGGAGAAAAATGCCGCCCGGTATCCGAGGATCGAACCGCGACCGGCTGCGTCGCAGCGGAGGTAAGATTATTATCTAGGAGCCCACGTAGACTTCTATTAGTATTATTATTTTTAAGTATGTCATGATCTTTTGAAACCCTTTATCTGATCATAAAGTACTTAAAAATAATAATATCAATAAAAACCCTAGATAATAACCTTATCTTTACATTTTGTAATAGATCAATTCACTCTTATATCAAAACTAACAGTACACTATTGAAACTGGTGAACGAAAATTTGATAAGGCATAAATGTGTAAGACGGAAAAAACACAAGCGGGTGCGGTTTTATTTAAAAATGATAAAAACAAATTGTAATTATAACAACTATTATGTAACTTTAATGTCATAGTACAAGGGGAACATAAATTCGATACGAGTTTTCTTAATTCATTTTTTTTTAGTTAGAAACCATTCAAGTTCATTCATGTACCCAAAATAGCGACCAATTTGTAATATCGTAAATTTCTATACAATTATTTGAATAATATAGGTAACAATAGTTCTCTGGTGTATATAAATTATAATATGTTTGATTCGATGTTTAAAAATGTAAACAATTCGAAAAGAAGAAGACATACCAAATGATAATATACAATACACTTGTTTTCATTCGTTATTGGTACATAGCCCGATATTACCTATTAATATAATATTAAAACCTTAACTATTCATTGAAAATAAGTTATTGTCCATTAATTAATTATTATTACTACTTCATTTAAAATACTTTCAGAAACATTATTATTGATTGATTTGTTTATACGCAACAAAAATAGTTTTAATGGTAGTAATTTATAAATATTTTATTTGTATTAACCATTACGTAATGACCCTAATGCTAATGCCTTTTTATATCTAAATGTTTTAAAACGATTTCATTATCACGCTATATAAATTGTATACTAATATATTACATATAAGTATAAAATTATGTTTAAATTTAGATTACGTAACTGAATTATTATTCCTTATACTTTTACTTTTATTATAAAAGCTCGAAACTGATAAGAAAAAAAAATTGTTGAACCCCGTTTCATGGCCAATGTAGTATAATAGGCGATACTTGTATGAAGTTTTGATGTCAAATATTTAGTAGTTTTTAAAAAAAAAAAATTTTGAAACGGTTTCTGTCAAAGTGGCAAAGTGTCAGTAGTGACTAGGAACAATAGTTTTGATTTAAAAACAATATTAGTTTATTAATACAATTTTAGTTCAAACGATATAGGTATAGTATACAAATATATTAGACGTATAGTATTGTATCAATATAGGCTATAGCATACTTTAATTTTAATACGTACCTCTAACAATGCCAATCATGATGATCAATCACATTCGTATAATGTGTCATGTTGAATATTATGCGTTTCTATAATTTATTATACACATGTCATACTGACATAAATATATAAATATTATACAATGAAGGGACCATTGGAATAACTATCAATATATTACACTATCATATTCACTTATTAAAATCCATTATCCACTCGACTACTCTACTACAGTTATGAATTACTATCTTTAACTATAGGATAATAGTAAATGGTGACTGGAGAAACTTAACGTTTATTTTCTTAGTGTATGATGACGAAAAGAGGTTAATATATAGGCATATTACAACTATAGAAAATATAACATTGTAATAGCGAGTATTATATTTTACAATGAAACATAATATTATACAATTTCAAAGTCACAAATGAGTATTTTATAATAATCATTATACACGGTTAAAATTAAAATTATGAATAAAAAATTGAATATTTTGTATACAATTGCAGATTTATATTATATTATTTACTCATCGAAATTTAAAATAAAAATGAATAATTTTAGAACACTATATTATATAACGCTACTTTATAGTTGAACTATGTATTATACCTACGCAAAAAATGTACCTAAGTTTCGACCGATTGTATACTTTTAAATCCACTTAAAAAATGTATTGGATGCTTTTAATGTAAAGAGTATTGAGTACTATTAATAATTTACTCAATTTTGGTAACGACGCTCTGGTCGGATAAGTCGGGCACGACTGTATCGCCTTAATCAGCCCTCGGTACATTTCAGTAGATGCTAGAACTGAACCTATTAAATCTTGTGGCAAATATTTGATAGCACCCACTGATTCGAATTGTTGTTTGTTAGCCAACTGTATCATTTTCGAAGAGTATTTCTTCAACTTCTTATTTCCCAAAGACCTGGGATTTTTTTCTTGACGTAGGATCCGTAAATCTTCTTTTTCGTCGTCCATGTATTCAGCTGGAAAATAACACCGACCCAGAGATTCGCTGTCGCTTACGAGGTCCCGAGCAATATTCACGAGTTGTAAGCCCTTCAGAAATAAAAAATAAATACATTGAGTAGGTCCAAATCAGTACCCGTAGCAGAATAGGAACTTATTTTTAGTTAGTCGAAATAATTTAACGCATAATATTGATGATAAGGCCTAAAGTGAATAAATTAATTGTGTGGCATTAAAAACTCCGCTCTACGAGGGAGCGAGAAAGTTCCGAAACGAAACAGTCTAATAATTTAAATATTAAATATTAAACCAGTAGTAACTTATAATAATATTAATGTTAAATGTAATATAAAATATGTTACATCATTCTATCACATAAATGAATAGCTTTTAAATGTAATCGTCTTATGCCTATATCTAATACCTATGCCGTATGACTGTATGAGTAATAAATATTAATCAATAATAAGTGTATTAAAGATCATAACACTTCAAAACAGTGTATATAATATGATAATATTAAAGTAATCATAAATCTTAAGATTATGATAAGTTTGACGGAGAAAATATATATTTTATATAATAACAAACTGTAGCAGCAACAAGAGGAGAAATGAAAAAAACAGATGAAAAATAATGTGTGTGGCTATTTTAAACCGTCAGTTTCCTGAGGTCGATTGCGTGCGTCCGGCTGATGACCGGAAATGACAAGCCCGCTGCAAGCCTGCTTCCGAATTGTATGTCAAAAAAAGCAATGTTGGTCGACAATAATTATACAGAATTTTGTGTGCGTATTTTTCGTAATAGATATTCGAACTGTGTGATATGTAAAAGTTTTACCAAACGACCAGTTTTTGCCGATCTGCTCACAATATATGACGTGTAGTACATGTAACTACAAAACATTCTATATAGGTACTGTAATGTGTGTTTTATTAATGGTATTAGCTTACGATGAACGGTGATTAGACATTATTATTATTATAATTTGATAAATTATATATTATGTAGATGTACAACGATGATAATCGATAAAAAAATATATAATAGTTATATGAAATATATAACATTCACATCCACGTGAATTAGAAACGACAAGTTAAAAATGGATACACAACTATATTTGTATAATAGCCACTTGTAATTATTTTAATTTGACTTTGTTTTGAAATTCAATTCAATTTTTTGTTTAAAATTTATATATTTTTTTCGATTTGTACAAACTTTGAACCTCAATATTTTTATTAATTATACCATGTAGGTAATATACGATTATAATATGTACATTGTATACCTACGATCTATTTTTATTTTTATTTTTATTTTTAACTTCTTGATATTTACAAAATATCTGATGATTTTTACAGAATACTATGAGAAAACCAAACACTTAGTTCGGCCTAAATATTTGAACTAAAACTCGCGATTTGGAGATATCGCCGCACTGCATGTACCAAACATTGTACTTATTTAGGGCTGAAATTCTGATATTTATTTGGTTTTGGGGTATGTGCAGTGTTATATACAATAGTTTTACATTTTTAATAGTTCTTCCGTAATAGTGAATTGTATGGGTATTAGTATTAACTATAATATACATAACTATTATAGCTAAGTTATCGTAAAATGTACGTTATTAAATGACATCGTTTTATCGGAGAATAATTGTGTAATATGCCTATCGAGCATTACAAATCTATGTTAGACAAAACTATATATAATGTGTGGACATTATGTTTTGGATTACACTCATAAAGACAATACAGTCCAGACTTGAGAAAAATGGCAAAATATTCGATATTTGAATGAAAAAATGTTTTAGTAATAATTAGGCACCGGATTTAGATGAGTTATGCACCTATTTTAGATCATCATTGAGTAGACTTTCCTAGTTTAAAATGTGTTTCGAATGTTTCGATAACATATGAATCAAAATAACTAATTTTGATTTCGCAATTTGAGTTATACATTTTTTTGTGTTTTTTCATCTATTTTTTCATAAGGACTTTTTTATTTGAAAAATAACGAATTAATTGTTTGTCATTATTATATTTTTATATTTTCCACAAATTTAAAAAAAAAATGTATCTGTAACACGTCGATAACGACGACTATATAATAAGAAAAGAACACCGTAGATAGACTTATAATGAATTTTATAAATTTGAATTCTAATGTTTTTAATACTCCACATTATTAGTTGTTCAATGATTAAAATCAGTTATGAAATTAAAATTTAATTAAAATCACTTATGTTGGTAAATTGTAACTTTTAGTTTAAAAATCAATACAAATTTGTAACAGTTTTATGAGCAGCGACATGAACACACAAATTTGTTTAGGGCATTTTTATAGGTTTCTTAAGGCATCGACATCTGGGCCCTATTAATAATAACAGACATCGAGATCGAAAAGAATATTTGAGCGCGTACTAGTCCCTAAAAAAAACGGTTATTCGGTTAAAACGTTCTTGGTGTTAAAGTGGTGGGAATAGCAACAATCGCTGGCCGTCGTAATTGGCCGTTTAGGTCATGAAAGTTTATCACAGACGGAAATGTACGCAGATAAAAGCCCGTGCCTCTATCTGCAATTCGCATTTCAAAACTTTATTTTATTACGTCTTTATAGGACCTATCCATTCGCTCATAGTCTATACGGGTTCGGAGCCACATACACTGTTTAGTTGCCTCAAACAGGAAAGGATTTTAGAATGATTAAAATAGCCACTCTTTTAATACAGAAGAATAAGAGGGAATGGGAGAGTGTGTGATGTCTGCTTTGTCGCACTTACCTACCATTTCCGTTTACCGGCAAGCTACCTACAGTGCTACACACGAGTTTCGTAACGAATGAAGTTCATCCACGTCAGATAAATACACACACAAGTGTATTAATAATAGTTAAAAAAAATTTGTAAATATCTAAAGTCGTGAACAACTTACTTGCCCTATTTTGTACGCGTGTTTAGTCAAATAATCGGCATTGTCGACGAGCTCATTCATGTCATTACCATATCTGTACATTATTACATAAAGGCACATTGCGCCAATGCTTCCGGCTACATAGCTGGTGTATAACATCAAATCTTTTTCGTTTCGAACTAATGTGAACTCAAGATCCCATTGGTAACCAGCGAATAACTCTTCGAATGGTTTACGGGGTAAAAAAAATGCGATTCTAGACACTGCACGATAAGATGCTAATTCGACATCGGTGAACTCGGTTTCGTATTTTTTCCAATCAATTTTCACTTCTTGGGGTGTTTTTTTTACATCATAATCCGATTTTCTGTCAGCAAAAATTTCACTGATAAATTGTTTGGATAACTCTAATTTGACTTTTTTCTTTTTCTCATCTGACCTGGTATCAAACATCTCGTCCGTTACACGGCAAAATGCGTACAATATTATTAAATCCAATCGAATACCTGAATAAAAAATATTCAAAATTATAGTATACATTGATAATTAAAATAAACTAAAATAATGATCATTTTTCTCTTAAGAGGATGTCGTACCCGCATATTGTGTTATCACATGTATGATATAGAAAATTTTCGTTCACTAGATTCAATAGTGTGCCGACGAGTGCATCGACCTATTATAAATTTAAAGGTACAATTATTATCTAGGGTCCCTCATAACTTTTTATTGATATTATTATTTTTAAGTTAGTTTTAATAATTTTTAAATATACATTTAATAACTTAATTAAAAATAATGATATTAATAAAAGATTAAATGGGGCCCTGTATAATAATCTTATCTTTAAATTGTATAATAGGTCAATTCACTCTAATATAAAAAATAACAGCACACTATTGAATCTGGAAAACGAAAATTTGCTATGTCGTATGTGTGTAAGACGGAAACAACACGCGGGTACGACATCCTCTTAACAAGTGGCGTCTTGGGAAATTTATGCTTCAGCAATATAGCTGAATAAAAAAATTACACCATTAACAAAAACGATGCTAAAAAATCATATGTATGTATAAATTATGAATTGTATTGGCATAAGAGATTTGAATAATATTTTGAAGTTCTTTGAATTTTCAATCGAAAATATATTTTATAGGTTATTATTATTTGCAATAGTTTAAAGTTTTTAAGAAGTATAAAATACATTGGGCATTGAACATTATTTTATTTCAACTATTATTATACGTATTTTGAATTTTCGCATACCAGACAGATAGGTTTTCATATTATAATTTATCTATATGAGTAATTTACAAATATAAGTGTATTATGATGATTTATTATTTTACCAACATAATATATTGATCCTTCTAGTATTCTCAAAACACTTATTGTTTATCTTTTAACGACGATTATTAACTTACCGGCATGGAATAAATAATTGGATGTACCAAACGCATTCGAAGTGCTCAAGACCTTAACGCTTGTCTTAATATCTCGTGTCACGTCAGAAGGCGTAGCATATTCCGATGTCAAGAATGCTCTTAACATCTGTCGAACGAACTTACAACTAATGCTGAACTGGTGTGGGAAATCCAACGAATACGTGACGATCATACCGTACGCCTTGTCGTAGGACGAACCCGCCAGGACGACCATCAGGTTCGTGATGAAGGAAAACAGCGCTTCTTCCGGCATCAACTTGCCTGAGTCGTTGTTGCCGTCGTCGTCGACGGTCATTCGATCAACCCAACACATGTACAACGTAGGGCCCGCGATCGCAATCGACGACGGTATGATCTTTTTCACAAAAAAATTTCCGGCTCCGTACCACATGAGCGCGATTGCCGGGGACGCCCAGCACATCATGGATCCCAAGTAGAAGGTCTCTTGTCCCCGCGCGGCCATCGCGTAACCGACCGCCGTGACCACGGTCAACAAAGATATGGGTAACCAACGAATCAACTGGTAACTGCGTTTGTCGTAGTTGAAGTTCAAGCACGGAGTCGACCACTGGACGAACATCAAGGCCCACAACGAAGTCAGAACGGTTTGCATGACGACGAACATGTACTCCTCGACGGGTACATTTCCGACGACGGCTAGAACAGCCCCGGGCGAATATGTCTTGGCCCCGTGATTGTATACAAAATAGCTGTACCACGGTATCGTGTAGAGAACAGCTAAAACGCTTATAAATCCGATTTTAAAAATTTCCAATCGATTGATAAACGGCCGAGTTATTAAAGTTAAGACACCGATCACTGGTAGAGTGTACGATAGATGGGCGCCAATGTAGGTCAACATGATGCGTCGATGACGGTTTACGAAAACTGAAATTCGTAAAATTCTAATTAATTAAATAAATAATTATTTAGCGACTTCAATCGTAATAAAGATATTTCTTAGTAATTAATATTATTATAATGTATGCCTACAACGTGTACCTGCAGGTATATACCTGAATTTGATGCATCTAGATTACAGAATAAAAAACTAATCGATTATTGGAAATAATATTATACGAATGGTAAAATATATAACATGAGCATTGAGCACTACAGATTAAAATTGAATTTCAACAGATGGGTATCGATATATAGGGTTACCTAGAGTAACTACCTATTGTAATAATTATAATCGTTTAAATGTTTAAAATATATTATATAAATATAATTAATACACAGTTTATAGGGCATACAGGTGAATTTAAGTAAAATATATTTTAAAACAACAATATATATATAACACTCAACCAAATGTTGTGGAATGATCTCAAATTTTAGTAGTTTTTTTTGTACGGTCGATGTCATCTAATACCTATAAGCATAAACTTTTTAACATTAACCGGATCAATGCCTGAAAAAAGATCATAATTGGTTTACAGATTCAGAATTCAGATAGACCTGAAATGTTCGGTAAGTTCCTCGTAACTAAAAAATCAATGAAAATTAAATTAATTAAATTAAAAATCACCAGAGCGAAACTTGTTACGTTCAGATTATTATGAAAATAATGTTTTAAAATAGGTAACAAACAAAACATTTATGGCTCACCAAAAAATTTATAAATTAAAAAAATATCTCTATTCAAATCCTAGTGTAATAACGTCATAAATTCATAAATAAATACTCATTATTATTCATAAAACTAGTATAATTTAATTTATTCAAAATTGTGTAGTTATTTTATTATTATGCCCCAACGTTTCAACTACTCAAGAGTTTCTTAGAATCACTAATAGTCTTACAGCCACACAGGAAAAGAAACCAAGGTTAAAATATATTAATATGATAGTAATATAATATAGAAGGTATCAAAAACTGAATTAAATATATTATATTTTTATTCAAACATCAAAGATTCTTTGTTCCATTTTAATATTAACGTCACTGTATAATATACGAACTACGAAATGCGTCAAAATATTATAGTCTTAGAACGTTGTTCAATGACAGAATTTTAAGTCACAATATTGTGCAATCTAACATTTAAGTTCTACTATTATTAGATTATAATATGTTATGCTCGCCGGTACTAATTCCGAGCTATTGTCTAACTATTAGGTTGTTGTCTGTGCCGTCAAATCGTCTATAGTATTTCAATTTCACGATTTCCGACGGTACGTAATAATTTTACGCGATATATATACCTAACATAACATGTAATAAGTAGCTTTTTCATTTGGAGTTAAATTATTGACGAAATGACAACCTTCCAGGTTGCGCACCACTGGTCTAATAAATGTTACACTTCACACGAATGACATTTCTGCCGATCATATAAAACGCAAATGCCAGGCAGGATTTAGAAATATATTCTGATGAATGGGCTGCAGGTGGACAGGTATTTCACAAACTGAGGTTTTAAAACTGTAAATCACCAAACCTCATATTATGTCAATGCGCAGGAAGAGCCCACACTCGAATCATTGAGAGGTCATGGTTGGACGCAAAAATGTTATTATTTCAAAACGAGGGGCGATCATCTGATAATCATTTGCAGTGCCGTTTTGATCACTATTGCTGATGACTTTACCTTCAAAACAGTATCCACATTTCTTCACATTGTCGGAAGACATTCAGAAAGTGAATCAACAAAAAAATAAAATAAAATTTTCTAATCATTAACCATTCAAATTACATTTATATTAAATATATATCGAAGTAAATGACGACGTATGCAGAATTAGAAACTTGTCTGTAGAGCGTATACCGAATTATCACCGACTTTTCAATCTGTACGCACCTAATGTTATCAAAAAAATGAATAATTATATAAACCATATGGCTGGAAATTAATTTTGTCCAGTAATTTGCTCATTGTAATCTCCCTACAGTAACGACACTTTAGGCAACTGGAAAGTGATATTTTAGACTTTAAAATTAAAATTGAATGTTGAAAAATGTTTGAGCGAAAAGAAATGAAAAATATTTATTATTGATCTTTTAAATTTGTTTCTCAGACGATTTAAAAAAAATAATAATCATACGAAGATAATCGAATTCAAAAAAGGAACCTACGTAAATGATGTGTACATAAATGAAAGTCCTAAATCTGGCGAGAAGGAATATAATCTAAAATATTTTACTATTATTGGGGACGAAACTAAATTTATTTCATTGATAATCCACACATATAATTCAATGACAAGATATTCTTAAATAATTATAAAAATGCTTTTAAAGACTTACGTGATAAATAATAAACTACTATAAAATCAAAAGAACAAACGACAAAATTAAAACAATTTCGAGTTTTGGAGTTTTTTGAATTTCGTTAGCTGCAAGCAAAGAGAAACTAAACTTTGCATGGTTCATATACTCAATTATATAAACATATTAAACCATTAGGCCGATAATAATTTAATGTGGTTAATAAACGATTATGAGTACTTAATTTTCTAGATTAACCTTTTACTTAGTACCTATGGACATAATACTAATAGACCTCGACACGTGCCCCTAATTATAAATCTAAGTGTTTAAATAAATTGTTTATAGTTCGTCAATAGTATATATTTAAAAAAAAGCTGGTTATGTATTGAAGATAAATTTGGGCCTAAAAACCACCCCAACACATGTGTCTGATGGTAACTGTTGACCGTTTTATCCTGCCAATTTATAGTCGACATTTAATTTTTTTTTTACGCTGAGAAATGCATTTAATCATAATATATTGACCATTCACAAATGCTCACTTTCAAAATATTCAATGTGGTAGGTAATCAACAAATTTCAAAAATATATTTACTAAACATTTTAAATAGTGGTCCATCAAACCAAAAATATTCGCAGGTTTGATATCTCCTTAAATTTTAATTAATTATATATTCCATACACCACTCATCTCGATGCAACTCACTTTATATTATGTATTTTTCATATACTTTTGTACATTTTTATGTAACTATACGTAAAAAAAACCTTTTTTTTTGTTTATATTGATTTATATTTTTTATTTCATAATTTTTGAGTTTCGTCTTGTTTGCGGTTTCTTAACACTAATGTCGCCGACTACAAACACTGTTACTCACATAATATATATACATATATTGTACATAATTTATTCATAATAAACTGGATTTTTCATAAACTAAATATTTCAAAACCTTTTGTATTTGTCAATAGAATATTAATAAACAGTATACGAAACAAAAGTCATGCACAAAAATTAGTTTATAATATTACCATTTAATGCAAACTATGGAAGTATCCACTTAATTAATTACACGTATAAAATATCAATAAAATAAACTCGAATGAAATAAACTAGATGTCAAAAAAAATTTAATTAATCCTGATAGTAACAGTAATTAGTGTTATAGTGTATACCACAGTGAACTTATTATAATTATAATTGTGTATGAATAGTGATTAATATAATAAATACATTTATAGCAGATAGATAAATACAATAATTTAAATAAAAAATTGGTTTAAAATATATAATTAAACATAATAATCAATACCATGATACATAATATACGTACAAGACTAAAGGTTACATTATATTAATCTCATAATAGTATAATACTAAAATAGTATTTCATTATATCTATATATTTCTTATGATTGAACATGACAGGTAATAAATATAGTCAGATCAAAATGTTGACTGATCAAAAAATCGACAAATCAAAAACTAAGACATAAATATGTTAAAATAATTAAGTAACTAAACGATAAAAACACGTATAGATAGGTGTTGTGTTAGGCATATATGTATAGGGCACGAAAATTACTACCTGACCTAAATATTTCACCTTAATCATAATTTATTGAAAGTCAAATTGATGTTTATTGCACTTAATAGATAGGTACTTTTTGAGTGCCAAGTGTTAACTAAATAAATGACTTTAATTAGGTAGGTACTTATAACAATATTTAGTAACATTGAGCAACGTTCTATAAACTTACTAAATAAATAAATAGAGTGAAAAAATAAAGGTAAAATAATTGAATTGGATCAATGAAGAATGCAAAGTAATAATTCTAAATCTAACAAAGACAGAAAGATCAAAATAGAATTTGTTATGAGACCGTAGCTATTAACATTATACAATACATCTAATCATTCTTTGGTCATTATTCTCACTATAATCACATTACAAGCCATTATAACTAAAGTAGTTATGCAACATACTGAGTGCTTATTATGTAGATACTTATAAATATTATCACACAATTTTGCCATTTTGACATTAAAAGCTTATTGTTAGAAAATTCGGACAAAACGGAACCGCGTGAATACATCAGTGAACGTTAGGACTGAACCTTATACATCGTGGTTTTAAAAAAAATGTTTAAGTACTTAAAAATTGATTTTGTGACACATAAAAGCTAAAATAAACAGTTGAAATCATTAATTATGAATTTATGAATAAAAATGAATATTAAATTTAAAAAACTCATCTTAACTCTTCAAGATTTCTAAACGAATAAAATGTTTCTATAATTCACTGAAAACCATAATACTCCTGTATTAATAGCTCCATGGACATAATATAAATTATAATGATGATATTCATATTTAAAAATCAACTTATAACACGTATTGAATGCTTTTGATGTAAAGTCCTTTGAGTATTATCATGCATTTATCCAATTTTGATAATTTTGCTTTGTTTGGAAATGATGGACTTGACTGGATGAGATATATAAGGCCTCGATAAATTTCAATAGATGTTAGAATTAAACCTCTAATTTCTAGCGGCAAACATTTAATACCATCCACAGCTTCAAATTGGTGCTTGTCAGCTATCTTTATCATTGCATTAGCGTATCTTAGCAACTTTTTATTTCCTAGTGACTTTGGATTCTTTTCCTTGCACAATATCCTCACTTCTTCTACTTCGTCGTCCATATATGCAGTTGGAAAATAGCAACGACCCAACTTCTCACTGTCGTTGATGAGATCCCGGGCAATATTTACGAATTGTAAGCCCTTAAAAAAAAAAAGAGTGCTCATATTGTCGTGTATCATTATATAAAACCTTGTCAAAAACAACTTACATTTCCTATTTGATACGTTTTTTTAATCAAAAAGTCGTCCTTTTCAAGAAATTTGTATTTGTCAATGTTGTATCTGTACATGATGACGTAGACACACACCGCACCAAAACTCCCAGCCACGTTATTGCAATATCTTAGTAAATCGTTTTCGTCCCGATATAAAGTACCCCCCATGTCCAGCTCGAAACCTGCAAGAAGCTCTTCAAATGGCTTACGAGGCAAAAAAAATGCAATTCTAGACAATGCTCGAAAACTAGCTAATTCGGCGTCAGACAGCACCGATTCGTATTGAGTCCAATCGATGTCTACTTCGTACGGTTTTGATTTAACATCGTAATCTGATTTTCTGTCAGCAAATTGTTCTTCGACGAATTTGTAATACAGATTTAATTTTAGTTTTGATTTTTCAGCGTTTGACACCGATGTGTCGTCAACCACGTTATCCGTAATACGACCAAGAGCGTAAATTATTATAAGATCCAATCGGGTTCCTAAATGAAAAACAAATAAGGACCATAATCTTATGCACTTAATAGTTAATATAATAAACATATTATTATGGTATGGTAATATTGTTTAATTTAAGTCGAAATGTCATAATTTATTCCAATAAATTCTCAGGTTGATTTAAAATGGCATTGACAATTAATATACGAATTATTTAATTAATTAAAAACATTTTCAATTAATAGTTACGAAAAATGATTACGTGTAATATAAATAATGTATTGCAGTTTTCCAATCTTCACTTAAAACCTATTTCATTGCATATATTCGTTTATATTTTAAAATGTAACCATCGTGATAACTTACCGATATGGAACAAGTAAATGGAAGTGCCGAATATATTTGAAGAATCCAATACTCTGATACATTTTTTTAAATCGTCAGTGACGATAGAGGGCATTGAATATTCCGATGTCGCAAATGCCCTAAACATCTGACTAATGAATTTCCAACTTATACTAAACTGATGCGGGTATATCAACGAAAACGTTACGATCATGCCGTAAGCTTTGTCGTAACAAGTGCCAGCCAACACGACCATCGATGTGGTTACAAACGTAAACAGCGCTTCTTCCAGTGGTAAACCCCCGGCCACGGTCACGTTCAAACTTGTCGTCTTGTTCGTATGCCAGACGTCCTCCTTCAGGGCTATCCGGTTGACCCACAACAGGTATGCCGCCGGGATCGCGATTGCCACGGACGACAGTCTTATGTTCTTCACGAAATAGTTGCCAGCACCGTACCACATGAGCATTACCATTGGGGACGCCCAACACAAAATGTTTCCCAAATAAAAAGTTTGCCGTCCCGGGACGGCCATCGCGTAACCTGTGGCAGCGGTGACGCTTAGCAACAGGATCGGCACCCATCGGATCGACTGATAAGTCCGTTTGTCGTGGTTGAAATTCAAAAACGGAAGCTTCCACCGGAGACACAGCACGGCCCACAGCGAAGTGAGCACGGTGTGCAGGACGACCGACACGTACTCCTCGACGGGTACGTTGCCCGCGAACGCCAAAACTCGTCCTGGCGAATACGTCCTGGCCCCGTTGAGGATATTGTAGTTGTAACACGGCGTCGTGTAGACGAGTGCTACGGCGCATATGAATGCGATCTTAGACGTTTCCCAGCGATTGATGAACGGCAGTGTTATTAGCGTTAACACGCCGATAGCGGGAAGCGTGTACGTTAAATGGATGCTCGCGTAGCTCAACATTTTCGTCGGTCGAAGGAGGCTGAAAAACGAAAATAATATTGTGTAGTGTTACAATTGTCTGTCAATAGGTAATCGAAAAACATTTTAATTACATGGTTTTTGCAATTTTTCCAACGAAACATTTTAAACACGTTATAAAAATATTAGCTAAATATTTGTAAACACTTCATATTATCAGAATCCTATTATAACAGTTTATTCAAAACAATGGCTTTGCGAAGGAAGGCTAAGGGTGTCAAGTCATAGGTAATGGTATGAATAATTAGGCGTGTAATTAGGAATTTGTCCTTTGAAGGGAGGGAGGGAGGGAGGTGTGGATATTTTTTTTTACCATGTGCACACTGTTAATAGATTTCTTTATATTCATTATACTAAAGAATTATATTTAAATATATTCTGTCGTTACGTCAGCACTCGACCCCACAAGTTACGAAATAATAATTAAATATATCTTCCAGGCGTTGACAGTGCAAAATTGTATTTATTTTCTTATAAATGTTCTTGTGTTTTACATTATTTCTACTCACACACGTGCTCCGTAACCCTACAGTTCTAAAACCCTACAGTACCACAACCTACAGCTAATGGCCTCAGTTGTCGAAGATTCAATAAATAAATAAAAAAATAAAGTATTTCTACTATTTTTAATAGTAATATACAATGTAACCAATGGCAGCCTTTTAAATAAATTAAATAAATATTCTTTTTACGTGAGCCGTAAACTAAGTTTATGTAATTATGTATAAGCTACCTATAGCTACTTTTAGGGTTTGAAAAAATAAGCTATAAACACCCTCCAAGTCTTAAAGAATCTTTTGATAGTGATTTAACTCTTATTGAAAAAGATCCACTAGTTTTGAAACTTAATTTAAATCAATTTTTTATTTAAAATGTTAGCATGTACTTATTTATTTTTAATTTTGACACGTTTTGAACAGCTATAACTGGTTTAAATATTATCTACTAGTATTTTTTAAATCGACATATTTCACTTTATTCAAATTTGATTATTTTTATGAATATTAAATATGTGACTTAAATTTTATAGTAAAACAATTTCGAATAGAATAAAATATTTACTAACCTGATGGTTATGATGAGGATTTATGTTTTGACTAAGACTATTATCTAAACGAATTTAGAAATATGTTCAACTAACTTGAAATACAAATAATAATACAAATAACTTTAATACTTTTAGACCATATTTTTCACAGATACTCAAAGGAAATAATTATAAACATGCGTTTATATAAATAAAACTTAAACAGTTTGTGAATGGAGGGGAAATTATGAAAACCATTATCAATTTATATAACTATTATTACATAAACGCAGAAAATTTATGTTAACGTTCTATTTCAAGATTTATTACAAAAAAGATGAATACAGGTAAAAGACATACAAGGGCATGGGTGAAATAAATCATATACTTACATTGTAAGCCGGAAATAAAGAGTCAATTTTATCAGAGTATAAAAATATCCTGTTGCGATTGTTTCCTTCAGTAAAATCTAATCGTTAATTATAATTGGTATCATTTGTGTAATATTATACAACTGCTGGGTACAGTCAAATCTTGAAAACTTGAATCTTTTTCTTGCTCCTTAAAAAGTCTATACACAATCAATGCAATATTGTCGGTTACTATAAACAAAAATGTGCACAGGTAGATAAAAAGTCAAACATTATACATTTTTTATTATTGCTTTTATAATGTTGAATTTCATCATAAAAAATGTTAAAATAAGATTAAACAAACATTTTACAATGTACATTTAATACTCAAATAGGAGATACAATAACTATTCAAAATAATCAACTATGCTATCGTGTATCTACTTTTCATTGCACCAAAAACTTTGTTGTACGTTATTCGTTCATGTATTCGTTACTCATAAATTGTAGATGACATGACGTCACTTAACGTTAATATTACAAATCCTAAGATATTTTCTAGGAAACTATTACATTTGTCAGAGTAAATGTTAGAAGTACAAACGTTGTTCTAATTTTAATTCGATTAATTGTATTATTTAGTACACTTATGTCTTATTTAAAAATAACTGTTCCATCGATCGTTGAACATTATCATTTGACATTTTAATATGACACATAAATAACTATTTGATATTTAATTTTAGAATCTTAATTGTTTCATTGTTTTTGTTAAGTACCTACTTCCGACTTCAAAATTGTCCTACCTATAAAATAAAGAAAGTAAAGCTACTAAACCGAGTTTAAATACGTTATTTACTCTGTTTCTAGATATAGACAATGTGGTTTGACTTTTGTGAAGTTATTGTATAATTACTTATCTTGGTGCATTTTTTAATCATATAACAATCGCAGTGAAAGCGGTCCATCTTTGAAAATCATATAGTTAAATGCCATCTGTTTGAATAAAATAATATAGTCTTCAAAATACCTTCAGATTCAACATCTTGTAAATTAAAAAAAAAAATTATTATTTTAACTTGTTTACATGCCTACTATTTATAACCGTATAAAGTGTCTGCGTTATGTATTTCAAACAATGAACCGTACAAAAGGAACTTTTATAGCGATACACTCGCATGAATAATCATTTACAACTAGAGTTCTTGGATGGTTTTCGATGTTGTAAAGTCTGAATTTTGCTCTTTATTGATTAAACACGAGCTGAGGCTTTAAATAAATTTAAAAAAGTTAATTAACGTTTTGTGATTCAACAATCCGGTTTCTTGTTTTCGATGTTTTTCAAAACTTCGTTATAAATTCAATACGGCGTTACGTATAGGCAAAATAGGTACATCGATGCGGCAGGGTCACGGAAGACATCGACTTCAACCGTTGGCAAGCCAATAACATTTCAAACTAGTATTCTTCGCAATAGGCCAATATAATATCCAACTCTTATACGTTTTATTGTTACATTTTTTGTATCGCATTTCAGTCTTCCACCGTTTAAACATCTTAATGTTGAATTGATTAAAAATAAAAATATTACTTCTAAAATAGTTCATACTTTTTATTCAAAAAACTCATCAACTCAAATAATGTCAGTAGTTGTTACGATGTATTGTTTGACCTCTCAAAGCTCATGGAAAATGTTGACTAATAATTATAATATTTATTGACAAACGTGGTAGTTACAATAATAATAATGTAACACTTATGATATAATATTCTATTATATTTTAGTTTCAAGTAAAAAAAGATATTAAAATTTATTAAAATGTCAAGAATTAAGTGTTATTTTGTTATTTTATTTTATTTAAATACGTATAAATTATACAATAAGCATAAGGAAATGCATGATATTTTGGCTTGTTGGCGTAAGGGGAAGAACCATCTAGTAATGGCACTTGATCTACATAAGGGGTTAAAATTAAAAAATAGTAAATGTTTAACTATAATATAATTTAAGACTTTGAACTTGACACGTCAAAAAAAATATTTGGAAAATGTTATCATGTCTCTTGGACACCAATACCTATAATTATTTGATGAAAAATTCAAGTTTCAAAAATTATTTATTTTTGAATTAAGTCATATTAAACTAGTTTTGGTTGATTATATTGAAAATTATTTTAAATTAATCATTGGATCAAAGTATCAGCATTCAAAAAACAAATCTTTATACAATTTTTATCTGAAAAATCACCCAAATAGTTGAAAATTGAAGTATTTTGAAAAAGTGGCAATAATAAATAAACAGAAACAAAGAAGTTAAAAAAATAAAACACTCATCATTGGTAAATAATACAATTTATATCAACTACATAAAAACATAGAATCATAATATTTCATAAAAATAAATAATACATTATGATTAGTAAGATTACAATTCTTCTATTGCCTATTAGTGAGTAAAAAAGATCATCCATACTATATAAAAAATAAAGTTAGGGTACCTCCACTAATTAAGAAAAAACAACTGCATAATGTTACATTCCACTTATAACAGGTATTGGAGACTATCGATATAAAGGACCTTAAATAATACCTTATATCTATCCAACAAAGTTAATTTTGCTTTGTTAGGAAATTTTTCACTATACTTGATGGCGCAATAATAAATCGCTCGATAAAGTTCAACAGATGTCAGAATTAAACCTCTTATTTCAAACGGCATACGCTTAATAACATCTATCGATTCCCTTAAGTTTTTGTCACATAATTCGTTCATCTTATTAGCGTATCTATTCAATTTATCATTTCCCAGAGCCCTCGGATTCTTTTCTTTACGTAAGACCCTTAAATCGTTTTCTTCGTCCTCCATGTAGTCAGTAGGTAAGTAGACACGACCCCACGATTCGCTGTCGAAGACGAGATCCCGGGAAATGTTCACAAATTGTAGGCTCTTGAAAAATATGACCCATGAAAATTAATAAAAATAAATTGAGACATTGTTAAAATGTACTTACATTTCCTAATTGATATGCTTTTTTAATTACATAATCGTCCTTTTCAACAAAATCATATTTCTCAATATTAAACCTATACAAGAATGAATAAACGCACATCGCACCGAAACTTCCTGCTATCAAGGTAAAATAATCGATTATGTCTTTTTCTGTTTTGTATATTATCGCATTAGTAAGATCAAATTCATAACCAGCGAGTAACTCTTCATATGGCTTACGAGCCAAAAAAAATGCAATTCTTGATAATGCACGAAAACATGCCATTTCCTCATCGGTGAACTCTGCTTCGTATGGGGTCCAATCAATAATTACTTCCTCTGGTACTGATTTGACTTCATAATCTTTTCTGCCAGCAAAACACTCACCAATATATCTCTGGAGAAGCTTTAATTTTAGTTTTTTATTTTCCATATTCGATGCGTCATCCATTATATTATCCGAATAACGAGCAAAAGCGTACTGCAAAAGAAGATCTATACGAATTCCTGAAAAAATATTTAACATCGTTCATTAAGTATAAATTACTGTATTTGTGTAACTATTAAAAATTGATATTACTTAATCTAACTAAAAAGCTTAAAAAAAATCCAAAAAAAATTTAATAATAATTTTAAAAAAGTGTGTCACAGCTCCTTTCAATTTCTAAAAAAATGAGACTAGAATGCACGGTAGCAATTTTTTTTTGAACGTAATTGACGATTTGATTTTTAATTCATAGCTTTAAATATAAATATTTACATTTTTACAGTTCAAATTTATTACGACAACTTACATTTTATACAATTTCCACTAATTATTTGTTTTTTAAATTAAATACACTGCTTACATGAGCACACTCATTTATTTTTTTTCTAAATATTTTAACTGTACTAATAATATGACAACTAATCAAGAAATAATCATTGAATTCATGATTGGCTATTAGAATAATTTTTTTAAATATATTAATTGAAATATGATTATAATTTATAGTTATAACATACCATAATGGTATAAATAACAGGAAGTGAACATTGTTTTTGCGTTGTCCAGTGATTTCATAATAGTTATTAAATCTTCCGTTACAATTGAAGGCAGAGAACATTCTGGAGTGACGAATGCTTCAAACATCTGACAAATGAATTTTCTACTGATACTAAACTGATGAGGGTATATCAACGTAAACGTTACGATCGTACCGTACGCCTTGTCATAACAGGCTCCCGCCATGACAATCATGGCAGTCGTTATGGAGACAAACAGAGCTTCTTCTAAAGGCAATCCTTCAGCCACAGACATGTTTAAACTAGTATTCTTATTCAGATGCCAAAAGTCCTCCTTCAGGGCTATCCAATTCACCCACAACAGGTATAACGTCGGCACCACAATCGCGAAAGCGGAAGGTATCAAAATTTTTACGAAATAGTTTCCGGCCCCGTACCACATGACTATGATCACCGGAGACGCCCAACACAGAATGCTCCCAAAATAAAACGTTTCTTGTCCCGGAACGGCCATTCTGTAACCGATGGCCGTGACAATGCTCAGCAACAAAATCGGTATCCATCGGATTGTTTGATAACTCTGTTTGTCGTGGTTGAAATTTAAAAACGGAAATTTCCACCGGACACAGAGCATTGCCCACAGCGAGGTTAGGACGATTTGTAGGATGACGGACACATACTCTTCGACGGGAACATTTCCCAAAACGCCTAAGAGTCTTTCCGGTGTATAGGTCCTCGCTTCATTGGCGATATTATAGTTGTAACACGGTGTTGCGTAGAGAAGTGCTACGACGCTTATAAATGCAATTTTAGTAATTTCGAAACGATCGATAAATGGCCGAGTTATTAACGCCAATACTCCGATAGCTGGAAGTAAATAAGTAAAATGGAATCCCATGTAGCTCAACATTGTCACTTGTTCGGCCAAGCCTGAAAAATCAAAAATATTTTCTTAAATTTACTATGTACATTCAATTACAGTATAGTTACATTAAAAATATTATGGTCAGCTATTTATTTTCCTATGAATGCCTAAATACAACAGATCTCACCAAATTAAATCTTGTTATTAAAAATGATTAGCACAAGAAATTAGCAATAAAACCAATTCATTATTATTTTTAATGAAAATGTGAGATGCTAATAATGTATATATATTATATGTTGAGAATAACATAGTAGCAATAAAAATCAAACTATGATAACATAAAAAAAATTATTGATATTGAGTATAGTATGCATTAGAAACCAACCAAATATGTTCTAAATCTTGAATATGTGTACCTAAATATATACTCTTAAATGTTCAATTGTGCACGAATAAAATAAATATGCACCCAAAAAGTATTTAATCAATTTAAAACTATGAAACTCTACTAACTATAACTGTAAATATTCACAAAAAGAACTCCGACATTGGTATGCACGAAAATATGATAATAATTATATGCAATTAGAATCTTAAAATATAAAATAAATGAATAAATGTTAAATTATTCAAAATATGTATCAAAAAAATATAGTAGTTAACTTTATGTCATTAAAACAACTCTGTGCTCATTTAGCATATTATGTGATCAATCGGAATACATTTTAAAATGCGTATCAATCCATTCTCTATTTATAAGGTTCCCGGGACCATGTTTCAATTATTCCTTGTCTAGATGATAATAATTTAAGTTATTGGTGAAAAATTAAAATCTACTTCAATTCATTAAAATCAATTTTTAAGTTATACAACAGAAAAACAACACCAATTAGCAAAAAACTAGTTTTGTGTAAAAATTCCATATTTCGATAAATTTCTTTTCTTTTCTTGTGTATTTTTAAAATTGTTGGGAATTTTTATTACTGATTTATTATATTAATTAATTTTGCAGTCGATTATATTATCTGTTAAAATACATTTATTAGATGACATTTAAGTTTTAGATTTCACTTGAATTCCAATAATTTGATAAGAGGAAGTTAATTTTAATTTTAGTTGCTTCTTCGATAATCGATAATTTTTAATTTTTAATCTTTAATTTAACATTTTTTATTTAAGTATTTTCTTATTAAATATTATGCATAACAAAAATGTACTAACCTGATTTTTTCAGTATTATGCGAAACTCTTTTACCATTCACTTGTATGAAATTATGAATACGAATTATAGATACTAGTTGAATATCCCTCATAGAATTGATTAAAAAATATATGAAAATTTTCGCTAACACACATTCTTATTTAAATGAAATTTTTACATAGTTGAGAATGGAGGAGCTGTTCTTAGTTATTAATAACTATGATTAGTGTGAACTGTGAACTCGAAAGGCCAAATAGATAATAAATGTGAATTGTTATTAATCTGCAGTGCCCCTCACAAGACATAGGTGAACAAAAAATAATCAATTACCAAAATATAGATACAACAACAGTTGAACAAACATAAACAACAAATATAATAACAACAAGAGATTATAACGCTGTGAGAGCCCCACAGTCCTGACACCCTGAACTCATAAATACAATTACCTTTCATAAACTCAGCAATTTTTTCGAATCTCTTCCATACAATTTATTATCATATGTATCAATAATATGGATACGAAAAATAAATAAATGATATTAGTGGAATGATTGATTAAAATCATTTTAAACCTAAATTATGGAGTTTTGCGACAGCCCATGCGATGAAAATGCCGCCAAGATTTATCAGTAACGAGAACATTACAATCATTATAGAAGTTGGCCAATCTTTTTTTTTTTTTGACGCTTGCAATAAATGTTTTACGATGCTGGTTGAAGAGTAGGAAAGAAGTTATTAAAATTGAAAATTTTATAATTTTTAACTGCAAAATAATTTAAACATTTTCTAGATTCTGTAACTATGAATTATTTGTATCTATCTCTTAAAAACTATAGTGCATTTTTTACTTTTGACCCCCAAAAGTACCTGCAATACTAGTTTCTCTTTCCTACCAGAAAAGATGCCGTTGAAGAAAATTGAAGCATTTTTACTGTCTCAGAATAAGGTGATGATAGATACACAAAAAATCAATCTAAAATATACTGTTTCTTAGAGAACGCAGTTTTTAAAATGCTGTGTAACCTTTGTTGTTAGATTGGTGGCATCTTTCTTAGTTTCTTTATCTCTTCTGAATATGAAAGGAGGTCGTTCATGTAAGAATTATTTATGTATTAAAATAAAGAAATATGTGTCGCCTATCGAGGAGATAGCAACTTATGCGGACACGTAAACTCATAGCCCGTACGCAACTGAGTATAGACATTAGACACCGAGCCACACTAAGTCACAAGTGCCAGTATTAATATTTGATATATTTCAAAATATTGGAAATCGTCAATAATACATAACGTATAATCGTAAATAGGTTATCTATTTGCTTTTTTTTAAGCCTCAGCGTCTAAGGCTATTGTCTCCTACAACTTTATAAAGGTTCACATTTTATCTTAAATCAAATTTATATTAACATACAACCATACAAGTTACAAGTTGCAAAATATAGATTCAATTGGTCTTAATTATAAAGGTAATTGTGTTTTTTATGTTGTCTATACGAAGGGCTTCTGAGAGAATGCCTGGTACTCCTGCTTCCGGTTTATCCGTTTCGGAAATGTTTATTGTGTACTACGTAGTAAGTAGTTTGATTGGTAAAAGTACTTATAATATAATAATGTTACAATCCAAAATATCTGATGACACTCTATCTTAATTCGTTATCACTATTCACTAATCAAAGTATGTATTTTGTCGATTCAGATTATAAGTTTGGCTAGTTTTTGAACGATTTAGTTTTAAATATAATATCTGGAATGACGCACTCAAGTTATCTGTGGAATTTCGGAGCTTTTCCGACGATTCATTATTTTTATATCTCGTTTGGACGCTAATATTGTCTTTCACCACGACTTACTAATCAAATTCTAAAAAAATGATTTTATTATCTATTGACGATTTTAATAGTGTGGAGACATTCATAAAAATGTCCATTAGTTTTTTAGAGCATCTACGATGAAAAACCATCAATAAGTCAAAATCTATATTAATTTTCGTGTGTGCTTTATGCATTTATCATAGATAAATAATAACTGCAGCTCCTGTAGGCATCTATGTAAGATTGACACTTTTCGAAAATGTACACATTGATAGTTTTGATGAACATTATTTTGTCATAATATATTGTCATTCTAATACTATGTGAGTATGTGACAGAAATTGGAAGAATTCCAGCTTTGATACATCTTTGTATGAGCATTTATAATATCTAAATATTGTTATTCACAGTTTATTATTACTTTATTAACAGCCTCAGGTTTATGTAATGCCCTTTCAATGTTTAGATATAATACTGTTTAGGTATGCTTTAATTTGCGGTGGTATAAATACATTTTTCTTCTATATGGAAAATACAATTTATGGCCGCTAAAGAGTAATAGTAATAATAATTATATTAAATAACAATAAATCTCTGTACAGTGAACAGTATGTATATTACAATATTAATAGGTGTTATGTAATTAGTGAATTTATTACATGACATAATATATACCGATAAAATACATACATGCTTGCGTATATAATCATTTAATTACCTATAGTATCTAACTGTTTGTAAAATTTGAGTTTTAAAAACAGTTGTTTTCGCCATTGACAGAGCAAAGCCCAAACCAAGGTCAGAATATTTTGTGATACGATATTTCTTCAAATTTCCTGAATAATAATCACAGGAGACACGTCTAGGCTTCGTTAAAGATGTTATAGTTGTAACTCATCTTGTGGTGTAGAGAAGTGATAAAAATAAATTCCATAAATGCAATATTAATAGTTTTCCAGCTATCGAGAATTGGCAGCTACATTAAAAATCAAAAATGTTATGTATTTATACGTTACTAATAAATAATGAAAACATAAAATATACACTACCAGTGTGTACCCAAAGTCCATATAAGACATTTATATTTAAAAACCTGTAAAACATTCAAATGAATATATTCAAATATTTTTTTATAATTTGAATACGTATTTTGAATCCATTTTTTGTACTTTTGTATTTTTGTACTTTGTATTTGTATTTTTTAATGATTGTTTATTATTACACTCAAACTTCCCCCGAAATCCATAGCGTACCTAGTTTATTAATTATTTAATTAATAGGTATATCGATACTTGTAATCTAGTTGTATGAGTACATAGATCGATTATTAGATCGATTTCCTTGATGATCAAAAACGAGTGTAAGCGGCCTATTTATTTAAATATTTATAATTAGGATCTATCTATTTACTAACTAAAAATTGACATTAAATCAATTTATGTTGACTAATGAACTTATTAAATGTATTAATCTTTCCCAAAATGTGAAGTCGGATTTACATCGTTCTGGATTAACAGCCATAACTCATAAATGCGCTCATAGTAGTTTTTAATTTAAAAAAAAAATCAATATTTTATCGGAGGTGAATCAAAGGCGACCGTTGCCAAAAATATTAGGCAATTCCAGCAATTATATTATTATTCTTATAGTTGTTTAATTTGTATGTAAATGTCACATATACGTACCTCAGAACTGATGTTCTTTAACTGTGCTATGTATCATTCACTACCTCGTGACTGAATATAAAACAATTAATAATGCGATTAATAACAAAATTATCAGAAAAAAAATTATGAAATTAAAAAGTACACGCCAAACATTCATAAGAAAAAATTATACATTCTCTTAAATTAAACTCACATCAGATTACTATTTCAAAAAATGACAATTTTATTTTATATTATTTTGAAAACATAATAACCCCATTGATATTTGAATGATATTTTTTTGTTGTTTTATTTTATTATATCATAATAAATTTTACATTGTATTAATTTATTATTAAAAAATGTCATAATATGCGTTCGTTCCCGCAAACGCATAACAGGTTATCATCAATTTATTATTATTTTAGCTTATGACCTATTATATCTGCCGCCGACCGGTCTCGCACACATACACTCCACCTGATGATAGGAATAGCGGCTGGCCTCACACACGACACACCTAATCACACAATACACATTATGGCACGACACGCATTTCTTAGTTCGATAGTATTTGACCGGCGAACCCGATCACTATTTGAATTACTACATCGCTACACGTCCAACTATTCCGCCATTATTGTAGGTGGTGTTGAAAAGGCAGATTGGCGTCCTAGTCCAGTCATTTAAGCTCCAAAATTTGTGTTTTGAGGAATTAAATCGGAAAGTTTTGAAACTTTGCAAAAAGTTTGGTTATAGACTCCTGATTAACCAAAAAAAAGTCGCCATTCCTCCGAGGTCCGGAAGTGTCCGCCATCTTGGATTTTAAGTGCGACTTTTCAGTTTTTTCATATTATCTTTGAAAATACTAATATTATATCAAAAATACTTCTATACAAAAATGTAGCTGATAAAATTTTAAACAAATATAGTTTTATTTTTATTTTTGTAGCTTGAATAGGTTAAGAGCAAAATTTAACCATGTCTTATAATATTAAACGCCGCGCGCTATAATACTATATATAGGCTGCACGTAGGCGGCGGTCCGCACATGTGTCCACTAGAAAACGCAATATTTACGTTTTTTATATATATTAACATATTACAAATAAACATTATTATTGATATACGCTATATTATAAATAATTAAATATTATATAATCATATAATATTATATACACCGCGTATTATATTTTACTTAACCTGCAAATAAACGTCGTAAAGTATTTAATGTTCGAAGTCTTACTTTGCGTGGCAGTATACTACAAATGGCGTTAAATAGAGATGACGAGTTTGGTAAAATAGTTTGGAAAAGGATTATTGGTGAACCTGATCTCATAGCTGCCGAGGCAATTTACCACCATGACTGTTATGTGAAGTTTTCTCGAATTCCTTCCATTTCAACACAAAAAAGAGGACGACCCAAGGTAAGCAATATATCAGAATCCATGGATATAATTTTTAAACATATTGAAGAGAGCGAGGAATGTCAATTTTCAATAGACGATCTTATTGAAGAACTTGATGGCTATAAACCCGATAAAAAAACAGTGAGTAAAAAGTTGATGGAAAAGTATGGCAGTGATATTATCATTAGTAGCGGAATAGGTACAACGTTTTGTTTCAAATCGGTCGGTAATCGGATACTTAAT